GTTCTTTCCTTCGCAATTTTTTGGAATAGTTTCAGAAGGATAGGTGTTAACTCTTCACTAAATGTTTGGTAGAATTATCCTGTGAAGTCAGCTGATCCCAGACTTCCGTTTTTGGCCACACAATGCAGCATATGGTATCTTAGTTGCCTGACCAGGGGTTGAACCTGCACCCCCTGCACAGAAAGCAAGGAGTCTTAACCACTAGACCACCATGGAACATTGATGCAAAAATCCTCAACAAAACACCCGCAAACCAAATCCAATGATATATTAAAAGAATCATACATCATGATCAAGTGAGATTTACTCCAGGGAGACTGACGAGTTTTCAATATCTGCAAATCAAGCAGTGTGATATACGACATTAACAAACTGAAGATAAAAACTTATGATCATCTCATTAGATGTAGAAAAGGGTTTTGATACAATTCAACACAGATTTATGATTTAAAGAAAATTCTCCAGAAATTGAGCATAGAGAATCTTTTCTACCTCAACATAATAAAGACCATATATGACAAATGGCTCAGACAATAAAGCATCTGCCTACAATGCGGGAGACTCAGGTTCAATCCCTGAGTCGGGAATATCTCCTGGAGAAGGAAATGGCAACCCACTCCAGTATTCTTGCCTGGAAAATCCCATGGACAGAGGAGCCTGGTAGGCTACAGCCCATGGGGTCGCAAAGAGTTGGACATGACTGAGCAATTTCACTATGACAAATCCACAGCTACCATATATTCAGTGGTGAAAAGCTGGACACACTCCCTGTAGGATCAGGAACAAGAGAAAGATGTCCACTCATACCACTTATATTCAACATGATTTTGGAAGTCTTGGTTACAGCAATCAGAGAATAAAAAAAAATAAAAGTAACCTAACTTTGAAGAGAAGAAGTAAAACTGTCACTGTCTGCAGATGACATGTTACTATTCATAGAAAATCCTAAAGACACTACCAGAAAACTATTAGAGCTCATGAATGAATTTTGTGAAATTATAAGATACAAAATTAATATACAGAAATCTGTTGCATTTTATATACTAACAACAAACAATTAGGAAAGAAATTAAGGCAACAGTCCTATTTACCACCACATGAAAAAGAATTAAATACCTAAGAATAAACCTACCTGAGAAGTCAAAAGACCTGTATTCCAAAAATTTTAAGATGCTAATGAAAGAAATTGAAGACAGAACAAACAGATGGAAAGATATACCATGTTCTTACACTGGGAGAATCAATATTGTCAAAATTAACATATTGCCTGAGGCAATCTACAGATTCAGTACAATCCCTATGAAATAACCAAAGGCATTTTACACAGAATTACAACAAAAAATTTTAATCCATATGGAAACACAAAAGATCCCGAGTAGACAAAACAATCTTGAGAAAGAAAAACAGAGCTGGAGGAAATCACACTGTCCTCAGATTATACTACAAAGTTACATAACCAAAACAGTATGATACTGGTACAAAAACAGACACACAGATTAATGGAACAGAATAGAAAACCCCCCCAAAAAAAGAAAACCCAGAAATAAACCCATGCACTTATGGTCAATTAATCTGGGACAATGGAAGCAAGAATACAAGACAGAGAAAAGACAGTCTCTTCAATAAGCGGTGCCAGGAAAACTGGACAGCTGCATGTAAAACAATGAAATTAGAACATTCTCTAACAACACATACAAAAAAAAACTTACAGTGGATTAAAGACCTAAATGTAAGACTGGGTACTGTAACACTCCTAGAGCAAAACACAGGCATGGCACTCTTTGACACAAATCAAAGCAACATCTTTTTGTAGCCATTTATTAGAGTAATGGAAATAAAAACAAAAATATACAATTGGGACCTAATCAAACTTCTAAGATTATAAACTTTTGCATGGCAAAGGAAACAATAAACAAAACAAAAAGACAACCTATGAAATGGGAAGAATATTTGTAAACAATGAAACCAACAAGGGATTAATTTCTAAAATGTACTAATAGCTCATAGAGAGCAATAGTAACAAAAACAACTCAATCAAAAAATGGGAAGAAGACCTAAATAGGCCTTTCTCTAACGAAGACATAAAGATCACCAATAGGCACATGAAAAGATGATCAACATCCTAATTGAAATGCAAATCAAAACTGAAAAGAGGTACAACCTCACACTGGTCAGAATGGCCATCATTAAAAAGTCTACAAATAACAAATTCTGGAGCGGGTATGGAGAAAAGAGAACCCTCTTACACTGTTGCTGGGAATGTAAACTGATACAGCCACTATGGAGAACAAACAGTATGGAGATTCCTTTAAAAAGTAAAAACAGAGTTACCATATGATCCAGCAAATTCCACTCCTCAGCATATATCCACAAAAGATAAAAACTCTAATAATTCAAAAAGATGTATGCACCCCAGTGTTCACTGCAGCACTATTTACAATAGCCAAGACATGGAAGCAACCTAAATATCCATAAACAGATGAATGGGTAAAGAAGATGTGTTATATGTATATAAAGCAATATTAATCATCCCCCCAAAAAAGAATGAAATAATGTCATTTGCAACAACATGGATGGATGTAGGGATTATCATGTTAAGTAAAGTAAGTCAGAGAAAGACAAGTATCACATGATATCATTTATATGTGGATCTAAAAAAAGTGATGAACTTATTTACAAAACAAACATTCACAGACATAGAAAACAAACTTATGGTTAACAAAGGGGAATGAAGGGGTCGGATAAATTAGGAGTTTAGGATCAATATATACTCATTACTATACATAAAATAAACAGACAGCAAGGTCCTTGCTGTAGAACAGGGAAGTATATTCAATTCTTCTAATAACCTATAATGGAAAAGAATCTGAAAAAGAATATATACATACATATATATATAAATGAATCACTTTGCTGTACCCTTGAATCTATTTCAACATTGTAAACGAACTATACTCCAATAAAAATTTTAAAAACTGAAAAAACTACCACTATCCAGCAATTCCACTTCTAGGTCTTTATCCCAAGGAAACAAAAATCACCATCTTGAAGAGATAATCTGCACCCTCATGTTCAGTGCAGTATTATTTAGAATAGCCAATAGCCAATGAAAATAACCTAAATGCCCATCAATTGATGAATGGATAAAGAAAGTTGGTGCATGCATATATACATACATAAACACACACACACACAAAGGAATGTTACTGGCCATTAAAAAGAAGGAAACCTCGCCATTGCACCAACATGATTGGACCTCAAGAGCATTTTGCTAAAGGAAATGTCAGACAAAGAAAGACAAATACCATGTGATCTCACTTATATGTGGAATCTTAGGGAAGAAAACAAATACAAAATACCAGACTCATAGGTACAGAAAAAAGGCTGGTGGTTGCCAGAGGTGGGTACTGTGAAGTGGGATAAATGGGCGAAGGTGATCAAAAAGTACAAACTTCCATTATAAGATAAATAAGTTCTGGAAATAGAATATACATCATGGTGATTATAATTAACAATATTTTCAATGTATATTTGAAAGTTTCTAAGAGAATTAATTTTAAAAGTTCTCACAAGAAAAAAAATTGTACACTATGTGCTGTGATTGATGTTAACTACTTATTGTGGTGATCATGTCACAATATATTTATCAAATTATTATGCTGTATACCTTATACCAATACAATGCCAATTATATCTCAATAAGACTGGAAGAAAATTTTTAAGTAAAGATAGCTTTTAAAATAGAGCAACATATTCTAGATTATTTAAAAAGCACAACCAAAGACAGAATGTCCCACTATACAAAAATACAGTAAAAAAGGCTCTGACAGAATTTGGCCAGAACACCAACAATGTCCACCATACTGGTTAATCTAAGCCATTATAAATTACTCTCCTAAATTCTTAGAAGGAAAATAAAATTGTCCATATTTAGTAAATAAAATTTCTTTTTAAAATATATATGTGGTGTGTGATAGCATTGAGCACCTTGGCACTCCATGTACATTTCATTGTACATTTCAGACCTGTATTATTTTGGATATAGTATTAGAAGCTATAACAGAGACGCAAGATAATAATGGATTAAACAAGTTGGAGTTTATTTCTCTCTTCTCTGAAGAGGCATGGTGATTTAGTCTTATAAATTCCTCAGGAGCAAGGCTCATTCCACATTACTGCTCCGCTACATACACTATCACTGTGGACTATGTACACTATCACCTTGTGGACTATGATGTACCAATATGTTCACACTGCAGCCAGCAAGAAAGGGCAAAAGGGACGAGGATAAGCATTCTTCCTTTAGAACTCTATCTAGACGTGACACGTTACATCTGTCACATGTCAGTATCTATAGCTTTGTCACAAAATTCTACCTAGGTGCAAGAGAGGTTGAGAAATGTAGTCTTAATTTTTACATGTTTGGCTAAATTCTGATGAGTTTGGTCTATTTTTTAAAAAACTGACAGAAGCCAAGGAGAACATGTATTGTGAACACTGCCATATACTTCTTGTATAAACTATGCATATTAATGCCACTTTTCCTTGGCAAAAATATTTTCTCTTTCATAATTACTTTTGTGAGGACCAAAACATGCAGCTATACAGGTGAACAATTTACATTGGCCATACATGGCAATTCAACTTATGAAATTTTAATTATACCTATAATTTAATTAATGCTGATTTCTTGGTTACAAATGCAGACTTCATAAACATTTGATTAATTGATAATTTCCAGGAATACAGAGATAAAAGCAGGAAGTGAGTTTTTAACATTTATGTTGAATATGCACTAATATGCACAGTTTATAAAAAGTAAATGATTGTTGCAAAGAGAAAAAGGTAATGTATGGTTCAAAGGAAATTGTTGAGGCTAAGAAAAGGTGAGAATGTTAAAGAAAAGTAGCTACAGCTTTCTAACGGGCTAATAAATTTCTTTTAAAAATAAATAGAAACAATAACTGCCTTGAAAGAGTAATGAAACATACACAACTCACTTTTTCACTTATAAAAATGTTATAATCCAATAGGTTTTGTTCTGTGTCTTGGTTATTTTCAGGAAGAACTGCAAATTCATTCTTTTCATTCCCTAATTTGTAAAGAAGATGCTGAAATTCAACTGCAGATTCCAGAGGCTCAATTCCATAAGAAACATTTTCAAACTGCAATATTCCTCTGTAAAATTAAGGACAAAAATTTACTGCTTTTAATTCTACTTTATAATTCTAATTTTAACTAATTCTATAATTAATTCTATATTATAAAACTCTGACAGAATTCCAAAAAGAGGAGGAGGAAGGAAAGAGGGGAAGGAGAAAAGGAAAAGAGAAGATACAGAATGTTTTTGGGCTCTGTATTTTGTCCCACACTTTTTGTATTTCGGAGATGACTCTGAAGAGACCAAAAATAAAAATTTTCCCAATTCCAAAAACTAACTACTCATCTAATTTTTTATAGTTATAAACATAGTTGAAATTATTAAATCAGAAATTACATAATCAGTTTCTTAGGTATGCAGCACTACTGTGTATACAGCATTACTGTGATCAAGTCATTCCCCTGTCCTCCAAGTCAGTGACTTAATGAAAGCAATAGCATATAGAAATCTGTAAAAATTTTGATCTGGTTTGCACTGTAGTGATCACATTGCTTGTATAACAAAAGGATACATAATGAGCAATTTTATCCATAAAAATAAAATTTAGCAGTAATTATAAGGCATTTATGAATTTTATGTACATAATCTGAATAAGAAATTTAAAGTAATAAAGAGTAAACAACTTTTCTAAGTATTCTTCCCTAAATATAGGTAACAGTTCTAGTGACTATTCTCTAAAAACCAAATTTCAGAATTCCATGTAAAAAGCACCAAGTAAAATTCGTTTGTGAAAACAAAGATCCTACACTACAAAAATGAAGATGAAGAACGTCCTGACAGAATGGAAAGCCCTCCCAGCACTAAGAAGGAAACTTTATAATTCTTAGAGAGTTTAAGACAGTGATATTACTAGAAAAAATGACTACTATAATAATTATTTGTTTATATAGAAGTGCTTCCTCTCTCTGAAGATGATTTCCCGTGTGAAAAGGGCATGCTTCGTTTATATCTCCAAACACTAGGCTAGTAACTGGTACAAAAATATTTGCTGAAAAAAAAGCTACCCAGAACTTAGCTCCTCCAATTTGTTGTAGTCAAACATGTTCATCTCTCATTTCCACAATAAAGAAAAAGGGCAAGGACACCAGGAAATCTAAACTTTCAAGGAAGTTAGACAAGTCTCTGGTCTGTCCAGGAGTTGAGGAGAAATAAGAGAAGAAACATATTCAGAGGAATATATCATTCAGTGATAAGATGGGAATATCCACATGGGAGTATTCTCCACACGGAAATCCTCCACCAGCTCCACACTTAGAATAAACTAACCAGTTCACTGCAGCCAAATATCACAACTATGGTGTTTGCATATCAAGGACAAAAAATACATAACCTCAGTCCAGAGCACGTGCTAAGTGTGACAAAAGAATTCGGATATCCTTCAATATATCCTTGGTAGTAGCATTGAGCCTATGAGGGAGAAAGTAAAGTGGTTACCTAGGAGTTAACAAAACTTTCTAATGATTTCTTAACTTTTTATACTTAAAACTTTCTGAATACTTTTCATAGGCTCTGTACTGTTTATATCATTGTGAATAAAAATACATTCAGAAAACAAGTCTCCTCAGGTTTGCCACTTTCACTGTATTAATGCCTCTTTTCAGATCAATGCTTGGGATTATTTTACACACTGTTTCCAAAGTTTTATATCATATTTTAGGTAAAATTATTTTCCAAAATACAAATTTAGGTCATCAATAAAAAGACAAAGATTGTGAATCTGGATTTTCTTTAAATTCTGACAGTCTGCTATAAAGAGATGTCTAAAATTTAAGGTCACAAAAAAAAAATTAAAGATCTAGAAAAAGATATACCACACCAACACAAACCAAAAGGGTACTCTGAAGCAATACTAATATTGGAAATGTAGACTTTAAGGCAAGAAGCATTAGTAGAGATAAAGAGGGACATTTCTTAATGATAAGAGTTTCAATTCACCAAGAAGATATAAATATTCCAAATTTGCATTCACTTAATAACATAGCTTCAAAATATAAAAAGTCAAAAATGAAATAATAATAAAAATAAATGCATAATCATACTAAAGATTTTTAAGCAGACATTTCTTTCAGTAACAGGTAAGTCTAGCATTCAGAATCTATAGAGGACTTGAATAGAATGTTAACCTCACAGAGATAGAATACTACACTTTAAAACTATATGTAATACATTTTTCTTTCACAGAGTTCTTAACTACTTTTTATTGAAGCATATAGTTAATTTACAATGCAGTAGTAGCTTCAGGTGTACAACAAAGTGATTCAGTTATACATACATACATACAAATGTACTCTTTTTCAGATCCTTTCCCATTACAAGTTATTACATGACATTGAATATACTGTACTATACAGTAGATCCTTGTCATTTATCTATTTTATAAATAATCACATGTATATATTAATCCCTAAGTCCTAATTTATCTCCCCCTCCATCATCCTTTCCGGTAATCACAAGTTTTATTTTTCTATGTCTGTGAGTCTATTTCCATTTTGTAAATAATTTCACTTATATCATTTTTTAGATTCCACATGTAAGTGATATCACATGATATTTGCTTTTCTCCATCTTTTTTCACTTAACATATAAATCCTCAGGTCCATCTTTGTTGCTGCAAATGGCATTACATCATTCTTTTTTATGGCTGAGTAACATCACACTTTCTTTTTAAAAAACACATAACATTTACAGAAATGAAACCATATTCTGGGCCATGAAACACAACAATAAACTTTAAAGGACTGAAATCACACCAAATTCAGTCTCTGACCACAGTGCAATTAACATGGAGACAGAGCAAACATCATTACAAACAAAAAAGGAAGATTATATAATTTCTACAATTTCAGGGTGCTATATATTTTGGTATAAATCAATGTAATTTTTCTTATTAATGCACTCTTTTATGTTAGAAGTAAGGTGAGCAAGAAGGAGCAATATAAGGAAATTAATGGTCCTTTCCAATTAGAAGTAATATATATCAATAATATTCAACAAATTTTTATTATATGCTATGTGATAGGCATTTTTCTAGGCACTAGGGAGGCATCATTGAATAAAACAGACCAAAAACTCTGGTCAAATGAAGATTATATTGCACTGAGGAAACAATAAATAAAGTATGTGATACATCATATATTGATAACCACTATGGAGAAAAACAAAAGAGGAGAGGTAAAAGAGTATGAAGATTAAGAGTGCAATTTAAAATAGGGACTGGACTCCCCTGGTGGTCCAATAGTAAAGAAATCTGCCTGCCAATGCAGGACACATGGGTTTGATCCCTGGTCCACATGATTCCAGCAAGATTCCACATGCTGCAGGGCAACTAGGTCCATATGCCACAACTACTGAAGCACCTGCACCCTAGAGCCCATGCTCAGCAACAAGAAAAACCACCACAATGAGAAGCCCAACCACTGCAACTAGAGAGCAGCCCCCACTAGCCGCAAATAGAGAAAGCCCACTTGCAGCAATGAAGACCCACCACTGCCAAAAATAAATTAAAAAAAAAAAAACCTTTTTTAAAATCTTAAATCTGGACTAGTCAAGGACTAATTGGATGGTTTTGAGAAAAGAAGTGAAGAAAATGAGGCAGAGAAACATTATATCTTGGGAAAGAGCAGACATCTGGATCAGAGGAGAGAGAAAAGTTCTTGAAAGGAGAACGTCTTGTATATTTAAAGAATAGCAAGGAAGCCAATGCGACTTGAACAGAATTACCAACATAAAGAGTAACAGGAAATGAGGTCACAGAGGTAAAGAGGATCAGACTGTGTACAGCCTGCTGCTGCTGCTGCTACTAAGTCACTTCAGTCGTGTCTGACTCTGTGTGACCCCATAGATAGCAGCCCGCCAGGCTCGCCCATCCCTGGGATTTTCCAGGCAAGAGTACTGGAGTGGGGTGCCACTGCCTTCTCCGGTGTAAAGCCTGCAGGATACTAAAATGATTTTCACCGTTTCACCCTATTTAAGGTTTTTTATTTATTTTTATTTATTTTTATTTTTGGCTGTGCTGGGTCTTTGTTGCTGCATGTGGGCTTTCTCTTGTTGGTTTTCACTTTGTGAACAATAACTCATCCCATGAAGGCTTCTGAGTAGAGAAGCAACAAGATCTGACCGGTTGGTCTTTTTTCTTTTTTGATCTGACCAGGTTTTATTAATAGGATTCATCTGGTTGTCACGTTGAGACCTGACCCAGGGAATGAGCAAAGTGTGGAAGCAGGGAGACTATTCAGGAAGTTATCACAATAACCCAAACTAGACATGATGTTTATTTGAAAAACAGTGGTATCAGCAGACAGAGTCAGAGGAAGAAGGTGGGTTCTAAGTACATAATATGAAAGGTAGAATCAATAGGATTCATCAACAGATGAGACAGGAATAAAACAAAAGAAAAGATCTCAATCTACGATTTGGGGTTCAATAATATTTGTGCTTGTTTTTACTAGTATTTCATTTCTGTTCATTTATTCAACAAAATATAAACTAATTAAATTGTGCTGCAGAGTAGAATATACTAAGTCAATCTAATTCGTCTTTAATTTATCAAGACTTCAAGAAACCCTAACAATGGGTGAAATGAAGCATACATAGGTCACTTTACATATATCCTCTGTGAATAAGGTCTTCTATATTAGGAAATTATCCAGTATAAAAAAGGTTTTAAAAAATCTTTAAAATATATAATTTAAATCTTACCTGAATATTTGAAGAATGAGAATTCATAGATCCTTGATTATACATATAAACCATGAAATTATTTGCTAAAAAAAATCTGGATATAAAAAAGAGTGAGAGAATTTTAAGTTATTCTTTTTGAAAAAATACAAAGCAGCAATCAGCAAACTTAGCACCCTCAAGGCCAAATCTGACCTATCTCTGTGTTTGTAAATAAAATTTATTTGCCTATAGCTATACCCATTCACTTACATATGGTTCATGGTAGCTTTCATGATACAACAGCAAAGATGAGTCATTTTGACAGAGCTATTATGCTCTTCAAAACCCTAAAATATTTACTATCTGGGTCTTTAGAGAAAAAGACTGCCAATTCCCGACAAAGGTAGTATTTTCTTTCGAACTGTGTGTAATTTTTGCTCGAAGTAATATGCATTTACTCAAAACAATATTTCCCATCTTATTATACTCCTTTAAAAAATAAGGAAAACAAACTATAAGACAAAAGAGAAGCATTTTAAAGTTTACAAAGATACGAAATGGGTGTAGGATTATAAGAGTTTTTTATTCTTTCATTCCTTTTCAATTTTACTATCATGAATATATATTACTATAATGAAGTGGAAGAGCATCCTGTAACAGTCACAGTTCAGCCTTCTCTGGTATCACTCGTTGTCCGCACTATGCTATTTTACTTATGCTTCCTCTCCTGGTGCTCACTTCTCAGTCCAAAGTAATGTAACTAGACCACCCAGAGTAGCTTCTGCTGAGAATCCTCCATTAAAACGGATGCCATATAATGACCCCCTCATTGTCAAATCCAAAAAGAAAAGGCAGTTTGAGTCAAATAAAACTATCTGATACACTTCACACTACTGACTATACTCCCCTTCTTTAAACCATCTACTCTTCAACTTCAATCATACCATTTACCCCGGATTTTTCCTCATATCACCTTGTCTACTTGTAAAGTCCCTTCATCTGGATCCTTATTTCTTCACTTAAATGTTTCCCTGGCGTTCATTTTCTGGTTGTTTTTCCCTCTCATCATTAATATTTACCCCCACCTCCTTAACTTGTTCATTTCCGGTGCCTCAGTTCAGTTCACTCGCTCAGTTACATCCGACTCTTCGCGACCCCATGAACCGCCGCACGCCAGACCTCCCTGTCCATCACCAACTGCCGGAGTCCGCCCAAACCCACGTTCATCGAGTCGATGATGTCATCCAGACGTCTCATTCTCCGTCATCCCCTTCTCCTCCTGCCCCCAATCCCTCCCAGCATCAGGGTCTTTTCCAAAGAGTCAGCTCTTCACATCAGGGGCCAAAGTACTGGAATTTCAGTTTCAACATCAGGTCTTCCAATGAACACCCAGGACGGATCTCCTTTAGGATAGACGGGTTGGATCTCCTTGCAGTCCAAGGGACTCTCAAGAGTCCTCTCCAACACCACAGTTCAAAAGCATCAATTCTTCGGTGCTCAGCTTTCTTTATAGTCCAACTCTCACATCCATACATGGCTACTGGAAAAACCATAACCTTAACTAGATGGACCTTTGTTGACAAAGTAATATCTCTGCTTTTTAATATGCTGTCTAGGTTAGTCATAACTTTTCTTCCAAGGAGTAGGCATCTTGTTATTTCAGGGCTGCAATCACCATCTGCAGTGATTCTGGAGACAAGAAAAATATAGTCAGCCACTATTTCCACTGTTTCCCCATCTATTTGCCATGAAGTGATGGGACCAGATGCCATCATCTTAGCTTTCTGAATGTTGAGCTTTAAGCCAACTTTTTCACTCTCCTCTTTCACTTTCATCAAGAGGCTCTTTAGTTCTTCTTCACTTTCTGCCATAAGGGTGGTGTCATCCGCATATCTGAGGTTACTGATACTTCTCCCAGCAATCTTAATTCCAGCTTGTGCTTCCTCCATCCCAGCGTTTCTCATGATGTACTCTGCATATAAGTTAAATAAGTAGGGTGACAATATATAGCCTTGACGTACTCCTTTTCCTATTTGGAACAAGTCTGTTGTTCCATGTCCAGTTCTAACTAATATATATATTTTAAAAAAAGATGGCTCTGAAACCTACACTTCTCTCCCGTGACCTAAAATAAATATAACTGGCTATTCAAGGTCTTCTGTGATTTCATACAAATTTTACGATTATCTGTTCTAGTTCCTGAAAAATGCTTGAGTATTTTGATAGAATTGGACTGAAACAGTAGACTGCCTTGGTTAGTAGAATGGACTTTTAACAATATTAATTCTTCCAGTGTGTAAGCATGATGTACATTTCCATTTATTTGCATTCTCTTCTATTTCTTTATCAATGTCTTAGAGTTTTCAGAGTACAGGTCTTCACCTCCCTTCATTAAATTTATTCCCAGGTATTTTTTTCTTTGTGATGCAATTGTAAATGGGATTTTTTAAAATTTATTTTTCTGATATTTCATTATTAGTGCACAGAAATGCAATAAATCTACACATTAATTTTGTATCCTATAATTTTACTGAATTCATTTATTAGTTCTAATAGTTTTTTGGTGGCATCTCTAGGGTTTTCTGTGGTATCATGCCATTTGCAAATAGTGACTATTATAGTTCTCCCCTTCCGATCTGGATGTACATTGTTATTCTGTTGCTAAGTCATGTCCGACTTTTTCCATCCCCATGAACTGCAGCATGCTGGGCTTCTCTGTCATTCACTATCTCCTGGAGTTTTCTCAAACTCATGTCCATTGATTTGGTGATGCCACTCAACCATTTCATCTTCTGTCACCACCTTCTCCTCCTGCCTTCAATCCTTCCCAGCATCAGGGTCTTTTCCAGTGAGTTGGCTTTTTGCATCAGGTGGCTAAAGTACTGGAGCTTCAGCTTCAGTATCAGTCCTTCCAATGAATACTCAGGGTTGATTTCTTTCAGAAAATTATTTCTTTTTAATTGCTATGATTAGGACTTCCAATACTATGATGAACAAAAGCAGTGACAGCAGGCATCTTTGTCTTACTTCTAGTCTTAGAAAAAAAAGCTTTTAGCTTTTCATCATTGAGTATGATGTTAGCTGCGGTTTGTAAAAATGGCCTTTAACATATAAGTGAAGGGGATTAAGAGATATGAACTATCAGTTATAATACTATAAATAGTTTGTAATCTATAAAAATATATAGTCACTACATTGTACACCTGAAACTAATAAGATATTGTAAGACAACTATACTTCAACCAATCAATCAATCAGCCTTACTGCCACTGGACATTTCTCCTGTATATCCTCTGACACAGACCTGTCCTGTTCCCTCACTGCCCCATCAAATCTCTGCTACCATTGTGCCCAATATCTAATTTTTTTCTGCCACCTCAGTTATATCTCATAAAAAAAACTCTTACACATTCACAATTATGCTTCTTATTATATCTCATATAACTTTTGTAATAGCTTCATAATTGTCATACCATCCTTAATTATTAGGCAGGCAATTTCCAAAAATAGAGTATACACATGCTCGATCCATTTCTCAGGCTCCAACACCTTTATTTTTTACTATTGCTTATAGTTTGGATCATATATTCAAATGCAGTATGCATTCTCTCTTATGCACCTGAGACGCTCTTTAAGTTGTCATTTACTATTCTTCCCTTCTCTCTAAAGGAGTAGGTTAACTCTTCTTTTACTCAATGCCATTCTTTGCCATCTATAACACAATGAATCATTATTTATATTTCTCTCTTTAAGAAACTTCCTGTCAGCCAAAATACTTCATTTTTTCTTTTCTTTTTTCTCTGCCAAACATTTCTGGAAAAGGCATTTTCACTTAAAACTCTCAGTTTCTCACAATTCAGCTCTCCTTAATACCACATAGTCTAGTTCTACACCCAAAATCTAACTGAAATCAACCTCTTGAAAGTTACAAATTGCTTCCAAGCCAGTATTTCTCAATTGGTTTTCCATCAAAGAATTAAACCCTATATAAAGTTATTTAAATTATTTTCACAGTATTCTTAGGGATAGTATGTAGCTGTTACTTTTTTCCATAAACTATTCACCAGCTCCCACAGTACTGTATGATCTAATTTCTTATACTAAATCCCTTATTTCATATTCTTGGTGGTGAGCCTGCCTCCCTGATCAAACCCTAACTGATACAGTTACAGACTTACTTCTTTCTTATTACATCCTTCCCTGATTATATAGATCCTGCTTGCTCTCCTAACTTAAGATCATACAGATTAATCTTCAGATGAATTCTTATTCTTCCTGTTCCTAGCCTCCCTATTCACTAAAGACTACCTGAGGCATTAGGACCAAAAAAATTAATTCACAGGAAGCATTTGTTCATCTGAGACAACTAAACATTTTAATAACTACATTACTTATAATATTCTATTTTTATCATAAGCAAATGAATTAATATAAGTAAAATTAAGTCTAAAAGTAAAAAATAAAAAGTTACCTTTGCTTAAGGTGCACAGTATACGGTTTCTCATCTATTGAAATACTATAGGATACCTGTTCCTAGAGAATCCAGAACAACTGAGAGTAAAGACAAATGTAATAGAAGAGGTAAAACAACAATTTTATATTGACTAATCCTTCCAAATAATGCTTTAAAAGTCTCAGACTATGTGTGATTTAAAATTTGCAATAATACATCACAATTTTTAACATTTATTACATAATCTATTCTTACTATTTCCACAAAATTAGTCCAATATAAGGAGCCATAAAGCACTAGAAACCTATATGTAACTGAATTTTAAACTCTTTTAAAAGAAGAGACTATGTGCCATGTCATAACATCTATTCAATTGCATCACTGGGATATTAAGGTACTCTACTTCAGTGAAGCTTAAAATTAACTTACTCCACTAAGCACAAACATCATTTATTTTAACCATTTTCCTGAAATGTATGCCCTATTTCCTATATTTTTAAGCAGATTTTTAAACAACATTTGGCATAGATTTTTTACTCCAACTCTACTAGTCTCAAGTTAAAACATGACAGTGAGTTGCAATATCAGTTTGTCAGTGAATCTAAGAGATGAGACTCTATCTTTTAAAAAGCGAACACGTGAAAAGCAAGAGTTAGAATATCGTTAAAAAGAAAACTCAGTAAAAACTAAAAAGACATAAATACCAAAACATAGGATCAGTGAAAATAAGAAACAACCAGAAGACAATACAAATTTTAAAAAAATAATAATAATAAGGCAAGCTGTTAAAAGGTCTAGTAAATGGTTGAAAATTATTATATAAGATATTAATTTTAGGGGAAACTGAATGAACTTATATGGGAATTCAAGGTAGTATCTTTGCAATTTTTGAAACTCTAAAATCATGCCAAAATTTTTAAAGTTTTTTTTTAAGTAAGACCAGAAAGAAGCAAAACAAGTATATGTCAGATAAAAGGCAGAAATACCAAACATAAGATCCTGACACTGAAGCAGCAGCATGTCCTAGCTTTAAAATCTTGGACCTGGAGGAATCAACCTGCCTGACTTCAGGCTCTACTACAAAGCCACAGTCATCAAGACAGTATGGTACTGGCACAAAGACAGAACTATAGATCAATGGAACAAAATAGAAAGCCCAAAGATAAATTCACACACCTGTGGACACCTTATCTTTGACAAAGGAGGCAAGGATACACAATGGAAAAAAGACAATCTCTTTAACTAGTGGTGCTGGGAAAACTGGTCAACCACTTGTAAAAGGATGAAACTAGAACACTTTCTAATACCATACACAAAAATAAACTCAAAACAGATTACATATCTAAACATAAGACCAGAAACTATAAAACTCCTAGAGGAAAACATAGGCAAAACACTTTCTGACATAAATCACAGCAGGATCCTCTATGACCCACCTCCCAGAGTAATGGAAATAAAAACAAAAATAAACAAATGGGACCTAACAAAACTTAAAAGCTTCTGCACAACGAAGGAAACTATAAGCAAGGTGAAAAGACAGCCTTTAGAGCAGGAGAAAATAATAGCAAATGAAGCAACTGACAGCTCAATTCCAGAAAAATAAATGACCCAATCAAAAAATGGGCCAAAGAACTAAACAGACATTTCTCCAAAGAAGACATACAGATGGCTAACAAACACATCAAAAGATACCCAACATCGCTCATTATCAAAGAAATGCAAACCAAAACCACAATGAGGTACCATCTCACGCCAGTCAGAATGGCTGCTATCCAAAAGTCTACAAGCAATAAATGCTGGAGAGGGTGTGGAGAAAAGGAAACCCTCTTACACTGTTGGTGGGAATGCAAACTAGTACAGCCACTATGGAGAACAGTGTGGAGATTCCTTAAAAAACTGGAAATAGAACTGTCATATGACCCAGCAATCCCACTTCTGGGCATACACACTGAGGAAATGAGAACTGAAAGAGACACGTGTACCCCAATGTTCATCGCAGCACTGTTTTTAATAGCCAGGACATGGAAGCAACCTAGATGCCCATCAGCAGACGAATGGATAAGAAAGCTATGGTACATATACACAATGGAATATTACTCAGTCATTAAAAATAATATATTTGAACCAGTTCTAATGAGGTGGATGAAACTGGAGCCTATTATACAGAAGGAAGGAAGTCAGAACAAAAAACACCAATATAGTATACTAACGCATATATATGGAATTTAGAAAGATGATAATGATAACCTGACACAAGACAGCAAAAGAGACACAGATGTATAGAGCAGTGTTTTGGACTCCGGGAGAAGGCGATGGTGGGATGATTTGAGAGAATAGCATTGAAACATGTATATTATCATATGTGAAACAGATCACCAGTTCAGGTTCGATGCATGAGACAAGATGCTAACGGCTGGTGCACTGGGATGACCCTGAGGGATGGGATGAGGAGGGAGGTGGGAGGGGGGATTCAGGATGGAGAACACATGTACACCCATGGCTGACTCATGTCAATGTGTGGCAAAACCCACTACAATATTTTAAAGTAATTCAGTTCAGTTCAGTCGCTCAGTCATGTCGGACTCTTTGCAACCCCATGGATCACAGCACGCCAGACCTCCCTGCCCATCACCAAATCCCAGAGTTTACTCAAACTCATGTCCATCGAGTTGGTGATGCCATGCAGCCATCTCAACTTCTGTCATCCCCTTCTCCTCCTGCCCCCAATCCCTCCCAGCATCAGGGTTCTTTCCAATGAGTCAACTCTTCACATGAGGTGGCCAAAGTATTGGAGTTTCAGCTTCAACATCAGGCCTTCCAATGAACACCCAGGACTGATCTCCTTTAGGATAGACGGGTTGGATCTCCTTGCAGTCCAAGGGACTTTCAAGAGTCTTCTCCAGCAGCACAGTTCAAAAGCATCAATTCTTCGGTGCTCAGCTTTCTTTATAGTCCAACTCTCACATCCATACATGGCTACTGGAAAAACCATAACCTTAACTAGATGGACCTTTGTTGACAAAGTAATATCTCTGCTTTTTAATATGCTGTCTAGGTTAGTCATAACTTTTCTTCCAAGGAGTAGGCATCTTGTTATTTCAGGGCTGCAATCACCATCTGCAGTGATTCTGGAGATAAGAAAAATATAGTCAGCTACTATTTCCACTGTTTCCCCATCTATTTGCCATGAAGTGATGGGACTGGAGGCCATGATCTTAGTTTTCTGAATGTTGAGCTTTAAGCCAACTTTTTCACTCTCCTCTTTCACTTTCATCAAGAGGCTCTTTAGTTCTTCTTCACTTTCTGCCATAAGGGTGGTGTTATCTGCATATCTGAGGTTATTGATACTTCTCCCAGCAATCTTAATTCCTCCAGCCCAGCGTTTCTCATGATGTACTCTGCATATAAGTTAAATAAGTAGGGTGACAATATATAGCCTTGACGTACTCCTTTTCCTATTTGGAACCAATCTGTTCTTCCATGTCCAGTTCTAACTGTTGCTTCCTGACCTGCACACAGGTTTCTCAAAAGGCAGGTCAGGTGGTCTGGTATTCCCATCTCCTTCAGAATTTTCCATAGTTTATTGTGATCCACACAGTCAAAGGCTTTGGCGTAGTCAATAAAGCAGAAATAGATGTTTTTCAGGAACTCTCTTGCTTTTTCGATGATCCAACAGATGTTGGCAATTTGATCTCTGGTTCCTTTGCCTTTTCTAAAACCAGCTTGCACATCTGGAAGTTCATGGTTCACGTACTGCCGAAGCCTGACTTGGAGAATTTTAAGCATTACTTTATTAGCATGTGAGAGTGCAATTGTGTCGTTTTTTGAGCATTCTTTGGGATTGCCTTTCTTAGGGATTGGAATGAAAACTGACCTTTTCCAGTCCTGTGGCCACTGCTGAATTTTCCAAATTTGCTGGCATATTGAGTGCAGCACTTTCACAGCATCATCTTTCAGGATTTGAAATAACTTAACTGGAATTCCATCACCTCTACTAGCTTTGTTTGTAGTGATGCTTCCTAAGGCCCACTTGACTTCACATTCCAGGATGTCTCGCTCTAGGTGAGTGTGAGTGATCACACCATCGTGATTATCTGGGTTGTAAAGATCTTTTTTGTACAGTTCTTCTGTGTATTCTTGCTACCTCTTCTTAATATCTTCTGCTTCTGTTAGGTTTCTACAATTTGTGTCCTTTATTGAGCCCATCTTTGCATGAAATGTTCCCTTGGTATCTCTAATTATCTTGAAGAGATCTCTAGTCTTTCCAATTCTATTGTTTTCCTCTATTTCTTTCTTATCTCTCCTTGGTATTCTTTGGAACTCTGCATTCAAATGGGTATATCTTTCCTTTTCTCCTTTGCTTAACAAAAATAAGCTATCATTTCACTCTTGGCTATCATCAAAAAAATCTACAAATAGCAAACATTGGCAAGGATGTGGAGGAAAGGCAATCCTTGTTACTGCTGATGGGAAAGTAAACTGGTGCACATACTATGGAACACAATTGGAGGTCCCTCAAAAAACTAAAAATAGAACTACCATATGATCCAGCAATTCCATTCCAAGGTATATACCTGGGGAAATAAAAAAATATTACTTTGAAAGAATACACACATCCCAGTGTTCACAGCAGCAGAATTTACAATAGCCAAGGCATGGAAACAATACAAATGCCCATCAAAAAATAACTGGGTTGAGAAGATGTGTTATATCAATACAATGAGATATAACCCATCCATAAAAAAGAAATGAATTTCTGCTATTTGCAGCCATAAGGATGAACCTAGAGAATATTATGCTTATGAGATGTCTGAAAAAGACAAATACTTATGATATCACTTATATGTGAAATCTTAAAAAATACAAATGAGTGTATATGCAAAACAGAAGCAGACTCACAAACAGAATCACAGGCTTGTGGTCCCCAAAGGTCTAGGGAAATAGGGAGGGGCAAATCAGGGACATGGGATTAATAGATAAGATAGATAACAACAGAATAAGCTGTATAGCATAGGAAATCACAGCCATCATCTTGTAATAACCTTATAATGGAAGATAAGCTGTGAAAATACTGAATATCTATGCAGTACACTTTAAACTATACAATACTGTGAAACAACTATACTTCAATAAAGAAAATACAACTGAAACTAATACAACATTGTAAAACAACGATACTTCATTAAATATATATCAGAATGAATAAAATTTTTAAAATAATAATAATTGTATATATACTTTGTATGGTGACAGATGGTAACCAGACTTACTGTGGTAATCATTTCATAATGTATAAAAATACTGAATCCCTATAGAGTACACCTAAAACTAATAGACTGTTATATATTAATTATAACCCAATAAACATGCTAAAAATAGTAGGTTAAAAATTTTAATGGGCAAATAATTTAAAAGACATTTTGCCAAAAAATATTTAGATGGCTAGTAGCTTATGAAACATCATTTTTCATTAGAACAATGCAAATATAAGCTACAATGAGATACCACTACACATCCAATAGAATAACTTTAATCAAAACAGACATCAGGTGTTAACAAGCATGTGGGAAAACTGAAATCCTCATATATTGCTGATGAGAAATGTAACCTAGTAAGTCACTATGGAAAATAGTTTGTCAATTTCTTAAAATGATAAGCATAAACTTACCATATGACACAGCAAAGTCACTTTTAAAAATCTATTCAAGAGAAAGAAAACTATATGTCCATACATAAATATTCATAGCAGAATGATTCAAAATAGTCAATTTCTGAAAATAATCTTGAATTAAACCACTAAATGGATAAACAAATGTATTATAAACATTTATTAATGAGCAAAAATTAAGGAAATATTGATAAATGTTGCAAAATGGATAAGCTTAGGTGAAAGAAGCCCAATAGAAAGTCCTATAGTATCATGTTTCATTTTTATGAAATGTTTAGAAAATGCGTAACTACAGAAACAGATCAGCAGTTGCCAAGGGCTGGGGATGAAAGCAGAGAACTACACACAGGCAGGATGGAACTTAAGGCAACAGACATGTTCTAAAACTGGATTATGGTAATGTTTACATAATTCATGTACTAATAATCATTGAGTTATACACTTACAATGGGTGAATTCTGTGGTGTCCAAATTATACCTCATTAAAACTGTTAAAAATAAAGTGTTATCAAAAGATTGGCCACTGGACTTCTCTGGGGGTCCAATGGTTAGGAATCTGCCTGCCAATGCAGGGGACTTGAGTTCGACCCCTAGTCGAGAGGATCCTACATGCCACAGAATAGCATGTTCCACAACTACTGAGCCACACTCTAGAGTCCACAAGCCACAACTACTGAGCCTGAGTGCTGCAACTACTGAAGCCTCTAGAGCCTGGGCTCCACAACAAGAAAAGCCACTGCAATGAGAAACCCACGTATCACAACAGAGCAGCCCGTGCTTGTCACAACTGGTCCATGCACAGCAACAAAGACCCAGCACACTCAAAAAGATTTAACGGATTAAATTTTTTTAAAAAAAGATCAATCACTTGTAAGCAAGGCATGCTGTCTTGTATTTCTTTTTTTTTAATCTCCTAAGGCTCTTAGCATATAACTATGCACACAAGTCCAGAGAAATATCTGTTAAATAAATCAACAACTAGGATAAACTATCATCTTTCCAATAAAAATAACAGAATAATTGGTTTATACTCTCTGAAAACTGGTAAATGCAAGGGTAGAGATTAAGGAAGAAGATTATACTTAAGACAGATTCTCCTTAGCAATATTGGAGAAAATTATTCTCTTCATCTGAATCATCTAGATACCACTCAGATAAGACTCTAATTCTTTTACGCTATATTCTCTCTTTGAACTTTTAAAAATTATTTTACCATGAGGAAATGACAAATGTTAGAAAAATTAGAACATTTTGATTTATATATTTGCTTTTACCATCAAAACTTTAAATTACTTATCAGTAGAGATATTGGCTATTTATACTATAATAGAATTTATGTATTTCACTGCTATGTAATAAACATAAGAAATTTCATATAATAGCATTAACTATGGAAAATCTCTTACATTTTCTACTTCTGAATTATCACTTGTATTTGCTTGGATTTTCTCTGGAAGTATGATTTGTAGAAATGAATTTTGAAAATCTGAAGAAAGAAAAAAACAGTTAATAACTGTGTCCTAAACTTGATTAAATATTTGTGCATGTTCTTTTATAAGACTTGCTTCTGCAAATATGAGTTATCACCTGTGTACTCCTATAAAAATATTGAAAACAATTTAAAAACAGATAAGAGGAACTTTCCTGGTAGTCCAGTGGCTAAGACTCCATGCTCCCAATACAGCAGGCCCGAGTCTGATCCCTAGTCAGGGAACTAGATCCCACACGCCTCAACTAAAGACCGTGCATGCCACAACAAAATCGAAGATCTCACATGCTGCAATTAAGACTCAGTGCAGACAAATAAATAAATACTACAAACAGATAATATTACTACCTAAATAAAATTAAATCTATTATATAAAACAGATTATAAATATTCTAAATTAAGAGGAAAAAGAACATACAAATACAAGGCATCCAGAAAATAAGTGAAAAAGTCACAGATTTTTATGGTGAAAAACATTTACCAAACAAAGGTGGGAAACTGGTAAAGTGTTATCACCAGCTAAGAAGTCTCAACAAATTTCTAGATAAGCTAAAGATGAAAGAGTGATAGTTGTTGAGAAATTCTAGAAAAACGCTAAAAAAAATTTCAGAAATCAGATGTGATAAATACAACAGAAAGTATTCTCTCCCATGGATATACTTAGGAACTAACTCTAGACTTAGCCAAGTAACTTACTTTGGCCAATTAGACAATAAGAAATGTAAAACAAGCAAACCTGAAAAGAGATTATGCACTTGTGGCTTGCCCTCCTACTGTCTTCAAATCTGAAATTGCATGTAAACAAGCCTGAGCAAGCCTACAGGAGGGTGGGGGGCTATGTGAAAGGGGGCCAAGGCACCCTAGCTGAACACATTCCAACAGAGAGACCAATGTGTGAGACCATCCTACACCATTCAGCTGTCAACCAATTCAGGAGCTGACAACAGCTGCAGGAAAGAGTACAAATGAGCCGCAGATTAGCTAAGCTGGTCCAAACCAGAACAACAGTGCCACTAAACCATAAAATAATGGGTTATGACAGAATATGTCATAGGTTCATGACAGAATAGCAACTGCTGAAGGTGAGGTTCAGTTTTAAATAGGGCTCACTGAGAAGATGGCATTTGGATAAAGACCTGAAGAAGGTGAGGAGGAGAACAAATGAATATCTTGGCAGAACACTCCAGGAAGAAAAAATATCAAGTATTTAAGACTCTTGGAAGGAAATGCTTGGTGTGTTTGAAAAGCCATAAGGAAGCAACTGTGGTTAGAGTAGCATGAGCAATGAGGAAAAGATTGAGATGAGGTCAGAGAGGAGGGAGACAAGCTGTTGAGATCCTACAGGGCAAAACAGGTCAGAGTTAGGGCTTTAACTTTTATTCTTGGAGACATAAGAAACCACTGGAAGATTCTGAGCAGAGAGACATGATCTGACTTAGATTTCAACTGAAGGATGATATATTAATTACCTATTGCTGCATAACAAATTATCCCCAAATTTAGCAGCTTAAAACAATAAACACTTATTAATCCCTATGGTCCCTGGGTCAGGCATCTGGGCAGAGCTTAACTGAATGCCTCTGGTTCAGTGTCTCTAGCAAAACTGCAATCAAAGTGTCAGCCAATGCTGCAACCATTTCAAGGCTTGACTAGCACAGGATTCACACTTCAAAGCTCATGCACTTAGCTGATGGCAGGCCTTGGGTCTTTCCAGGCTGTTAATGAGAAATCTCAAAAGACCTCTCTATAAGGATACTCACAATAAGACAACTTACTTCCCCCAGAATAAGGGATCAGAAAAAGAGATTGAGTGCAGCACATATACTAAAATTGGAAGAGAAAAAGAGATTGAAAGTGAGCACCCAGGAAAAAGATGGTCTTCCTGTATTCTAATCTCAGAAAAGACATCCATTGACCACATTTTATTCACTAGAAACAAATCATAAAACATAGCTTGCATTTAAGAGGAGGGAATTACACAAAGGCATGAGTCCCAGGATGTGAGAAACATTGGTAATCATCTCATAGGCTGCCTAAGGAGTGCAAGAGAAGAAATATAAATTCGGAATTATCAGTTATCAACATGGTACTAAAAGCTAGACACTAGATAAAATGGAGTAGGGAGGAGCCAATTCAATGAGTGTGTATTTTGGATGCGGATTCAAGCAATGTGTGGGCATTATTTCTTGGTGATTACAAACTGTAGGGAAAATTATTACACTCATGAAACAACTGAAAATTTGGACACAGACTGAAAATTGGATGATATAAGAAACTGTCATTAATTTCTAAGCCATAATCATGATACTGTGGTTATATTTCAAAATTATATTTTTGTCATTTAGAAAAATATACTTAAATATTTAGATATAAAATTATATAATATCTATAATTTGCTTAATAGAGGAAGTGGTAGGGAACATAAAACTGAAGCAGAATTAGCCAAAAGTTAATAACTGTTGAGCCTGTTCTTAGATATGACACTAAAATCATAAGCAACAAAAGAAAAAAAAAATATATATATATACATATATTAGATCCTATCATCATAACTTAAAACTTTTGTGAGTCATGAACACTCGCAAGACAGTGAAGACAACCTACAGCATGAGAAAAAAATATCTGCACATCACTTGACTGAAGGTCTAGTATCCAGAATATAAGAGGAACTCTTGTAACTCAACAACAAAACGAACAACCTAATTTTTAAAATGGGCAAAGAACTTGTGAATACTCATTTCTCCAAAAAAGATATACAAATGCCCAATACATATTAAAAGATGTTCAACATCACTAATCATCAGGGGAATACAAATCAAAGTTACGAAGAGATACCATGTAATAACCATTCGGTTCAGTTCAGTTCAGTCACTCAGTCGTGTCCAACTCTTTACCACCCCCTGAATCACAGCACACCAGGCCTCCCTGTCCATCACCAAGTCAGTGATGCCATCCAGCTATCTCATCCTCTGTCGTCCCCTTCTCCTCCTGCCCCCAATCCCTCCCAGCATCAGGGTCTTTTCCAATGAGTCAACTCTTCGCATGAGGTGGCCAAAGTATTGGAGTTTCAGCTTCAGCATCAGTCCTTCATAACCATTAGGAAGAGTATAATCATTACAAATAAAATAACATGTGTTAGGAAGAATGTAGAGGAAACTGGAACCCTTGTTCACTACTGGCAGAAATGCAAGATTGTGCAGTCAGTACAGAAAACAATGTAAATTTCAAGTTAAACATAGGGCTTCCCTGGTGGTGCAGTGGTTAAGAATCCACATAGCAATGCAGGGGACACTGGTTTGATCCCTGGTCCAGGGGGATCCCTGATCCCACACGCCAAGGGGCAACCAAGCCCCTGCACTACAATTATTGAGCCAGTCCTCTAGAGCCCAGGAGCCACACCTAATGAAGCCCACTTGCCCTAGAGCCCATATTCTGCAACAAGAGAAGCCACTGCAAAGAAAAGCCCATGCACCACAACGAAGAGTAGCCCCCACTCTCCGAAACTAGAAAAAAAATCCGCATGCAGCAATGAAGACCCGGTGCAGCCAAAAATAAATAAATAAATAATTTTTTTAAAGTTAAATATAGAATCACTGCATGATCCAGCAACTCTACTTTTGGATATATAAATCTATATAAAGAATTAAAAGCAGGGACTCAAATAAGTATATGGCATACATGTTCATAATAGCTCTATGCATAATATCCAATAGGTAGAAGCAACTTAAGTATTCATCAACAGATGAATGGATAAATAAAATGAAATATATATTTTCCATATATATTTCACACAATGGAATGTTACCCACACTTTCAAAATAGAAAATTCTGACACATGCAACAAGCTGGATAAACAGTGAAGGCATTATACTAAGTGAAATAAGCAAGTCACAAAAAAGAAAAATACTGCATAACTGCACTTACATGAGGAAACCAGAGCAGACAAATCCATAGAGACAGAAAGTAAAATGGTGGTTGCCAAGGGCCGAGGGAAGCAAAAAATGAGGAATTAGTGTTAAATAGGTACTGAGTTGCAGCTTGGGAAGATTAAAAATATGTTCTGGAAATGGATGACAGTGATGGCACAACAAAGTGAATGTACTTAATGCCACTGAACTGTACACTTAAAAATGGTTAGAATGAGTAAAAAATAGAAATCAGAGAACTGAAGAATACAATAACAGAACTGAAATTTTCAATAGAGGGGTTCAACAGCAGACTAGATCAAGTGAAAGAAAGGATCAGAAAACCTGTAGACAGATCAAGAGAATTCATCTAATCAGAGAAGCAAAATATTTTTTACAAATGAAAGAAAGAATGAAATGAATGAAAAAGAGTGAAGACAGATTCATGGATATATGGGACACAATCAAGCAGAGCAGTATACACATTATAGAAGTCATAGAAGGAAAAGAAGTCAGGGTGGAGGGAAGAACTTATTCAAACAGGTAATGACTGAAAATTTCTCTTACCTGGGGTAAAAAAAATTAACATCCAAATCTAGAAAGCCAAAAGAAAGTCAAAAAAGGAATTCAAAGAGAATTACACTGACATACATTATAACTGCCCAAAAGTAGAGACAAAGAGAGACTCTCAAAAAGCAGCAAGAGAAACACAAAATGTTATGTACAAGCAGACTCCCGTAAGACTATCAGTGGATTTTTCAGTGAAACCTTGCAGACCAGAATCGAGTGGGATAATACATTCAATATATAGTACTGAAAGAAAAAATTCCACCTAAGAATACCATGCCCAGCAAAGCTGTCCTTCAGAATTGAAGGAAAGATAAACAATTTCTAAACAAAAGTTAAAGGAGAATGGCCTCACAAGAAATGTTACAGTTCTCTGTACTGAAACAAAAGCATATTAATTCATAACAGAAAAATACATAAAAGTATAAAACCTAAGGTAAAGCTGGGAAAAAAGAGAATCTATAAAAATAAAGGGAAAACTGAATATAGATGTTTTAATTAGCTTCTACTTAAAAAGGCAAATATGCAATATCAGTGAAAACCATTACTTGTTTAATGGGTATAGGGCTTCAGTTTTGCAAAATGAAAAGGCTCCCAGAGAGATGTTATAGAACAACGTGAATATACTCACCACTGCTGAACTATACACTTAAAAATTGTTAAGACAGCAAATTTGCAGCATAACATATACAAATGTCATTCACTTTTTATATACCAGAAATGAGCATTGGAATTTGAAATTTAAAACACAATGTCATGTACATTAGCATCCCCAAAAGTTAAATACTTAGCTATAAGTCTAATGAAATATGAGTAAGATCTCTATGAGGAAAACTACAAAACTTTGATGACAAATAGCAAACAAAAAGTTCAAAATGGATATTGTCAAAATGTCGATCCTTTCCCAACTTGTTCTATAAATTCAGTGCAATCCCAATCAAAATCCCACCATGGTATTTTGTGGTTATCAATAAACTGACTCTAAAATTTATGAGAGGCAAAAGATCCCAAATAACAAACTCAATACTGAAGAAGAAAATCAAACGACTGTCACTATGTGACTTAAAGACTTATAGTAAAGCTCCAGTAATCAAGATAGTGTAATTTTGGCAAGAGAACACACAAAAAGGTCAATTAAACAGAACAGAGATCCCAGAAAAGTACCTATATAAATACAATCAATTGATCTCTGACATAGGAAAAGGCAACATAATGGAGCAAAGATAGTCTTTAAAAAATGATACTATAACAAATGGATTTCCAAATGCAAAACAAATAATCTAGACACGGGCTTTAACACTTCATAAAAATTAACCTAAAATGGATCATAGATATAAATGTAAAATGCAAAATTATAAAACTCCTAGAAGTAAGAGGGAACCTAGATGACCATTGGTAAGGCAATGACTTCTTAGATATAACACCAAAGACATGATGCATGAGAAAATAATTGATAAGCTGGACTTCATTAAAATTAAAAACTTTTGCTCTGTCAAGAGAAAGACACTGTCAAGAGAATGAGAAGTTACAAACTTGGAGAAAAACATCTGCAAAAGTCACACCTGATAAAAAATTGTTATCCAAAATATACAAGGATCTCTTAAAGCTCAACAATAATAAAAAAAATTTTTAAAAAAAACCCAACTTTAAAATGGGAAAAATACCTGAACAGACACCTCATCAAAGAAGATATATAGATGGAAAATAAGAAGAAGAGTAATGTTCTATATCATATGTCACTAGAGACTATGACATTATATAGTCATAGAGACTATGACCATTCTATACCTATTAGAATGGCCAAACTGAAGAACACTGACAACACAAAATGCTGGCAAAGATGTGAAGTAACAGGAACTTTCATTCACTATTGATGGGACTATAAAATGGCATAGCCACTTTGGAGGATAGTTTACAAAACTAAATATATTCTTATCATATGATCCAGCAAAAACACTCCTTGGTATTTACCCAAAAGGAGTTGAAATCTTATGTCCAAACAAAAACTTGTACACAGATGCTTACAGTAGCTTCATTCTTAACTACCAAAACTTGAAAGCAACCAAGTTGCTTTTAGTAGATAAATGGATAAATACACTGGTATATACAGACAATGGACTATCACTCAGTGTTACAAAAAAATAAGCTATAGAGCCCTAGGAAGACATGAAAGAACAATAAATGCATATTACTAAATGAAAGAAGCCAATCTGAAAGGACAGCATACTGTAAGATTTAGACCATATGACATTCTGGAAAAGGTAAAACTGATGGAAACAGTAAAAAGATCAGTGTTTGTCAGGACTTAAGGGGAAGGGAGAGATGAATCAGTGAAACACAGGGGATTTTTAGGGCAAAGAAATTACTCTAGTGGATTCATGTCATTATATATTTGTCAAAATCCATAGAATGTACATCAAAAGTGAACCCAAAGGTAAACTATAAATTTAGGGTGATAATGATGTGTCAGTGTGGGATCATAAATTATAACAAATATACCACTGCAGTTGAAGGATGTCTATAGCAGAGACTGTACACATGTGGGGACAAGGGAGTATATGGGAAAATTCTGTACCTTTCGGTTTTGCTATGGACCTAAAACACTCTAAAAATAAAGATCATTCATTTTTTAAAATGGTTGAAGATGGCAAATTTTATGTTTTTTATATTTTATCACAATTTAAAATAATTTAAAAACAAAGATAATACATTTTTTAAAATGGGTGAAATATTCAGTAAAGTTCAAAACAGACCAATGGATTTTAACATATTACAAAAAGTTCATTCCACATTGTAACTAACCTTTACCATTTATCAAGTGTGTATTTGGTGTAGCAGCCAAAGGGGAATACTGGTAACCATCTGAAAAGGCTCACAAAATACTTCTCCCTTTCCCAACCACATATACTTCAAATAAAACACTTAGCAACAGATCAAATGCAGAAGTAGATCTGAGAATCTAGCTGTCATCTATTAAGCCAAAGCAGATTCACAACACCACTCTAAATTCTTTGTTTTGGAAAATAGAGTTTTCATTTTTAAATGTATTACTTACATTAACATATAATAGGTCTATTACTGTAACTGACCAGGACCCTAGGGGTCTGCCCAGGACAGACCTCCCCTCCACGTCTTCTGCCTACCTCTTGTCTACAGAAAAACTGTAGCCAAAGAATAAATTTAATCAGAGAATGGGGGTGGGGGGTGAAAATACAAAAGCAAAGGGAAGTAGCCAAGCAAGAGAATATAATAATAGTTCAGCCATTAAAAAACGTCAAGGACCTTCAGTTCCTCTTCAAGAGCTAGAGATAATATTCTGAGCTGTAGATAATATCCTTTGAGTGGTTTTGTAGCACCTGAAACTCCCACCAGGTGGCAGAAGTTAACGCGATGACCAGACCGTAGACATGACATAAGCGGCTCCATCTTGCACAATTCCAAAAACTGACATTTTTTGTATTGCAGGATAAACTATTATTGTACACAGGGCAAGTTATTTTACTGGATCAGATTATATCTGAGGAAAGTCAGTTTTTTGGAGTCTGAGTTCATGAAGGTTTTGGAGTGCTTTTGAAAGCAAGAAATTCTGAAGTACTGCATAACAGAACTACAAAAAGGGGAGCCCCCCACCCCATTTCAGATTTGGAGTCAGGGCATCAGAGATTTGTCCTTGAGCTTATTAAAAATCACCTTCCTTCCTCAGGAGTCCCTTCTCTATGCCTACGCAGCGCCTAAAAACGGCCCGGTTCCCTGGTGGGCAAAAGAAACCACCAAAAACGAGGAAAGGGACTTGAGAGTCCAGTTGCCGCGCAGTGTGACCCAAGCAGGTTACGCGTGTAAAGAAGGCAAAGAAAAACCTTCTTACTCCCCACACCGGAGTCACAGGGCATCCATGGGCTTACCGGGTCTTGACATTAGCAAGCCACGGAGACCCGCTAGCCACATCATTAAGCGGAACATAGCGTGACTTCTGGGCTTTTTTGAGAGGACACTAAGCCCAGCGACCGTTGGCCTTCGGTGAGCTGCGTTCTCGCGAGGCTACCTACGCGGGAGCCGGGTACTCAACGCCCCGCCCACCAGTCGCCTGAGGGGCGCGCCGGCTCTCCCCTCCTTGCGTTCTGGCCTCTGTCGCGCTCTTTTACTGACAGCCCGCCCTTCTCGATGGCCCGGTGCCCTCGCTCCAACCCCCAGTTCATCTGAAGGTACCAGACCACCCCAGCCCTCTTCGTCGCGGTCATCGTCCTCCCACAAACCTTTTGCTTCTTGTCAGTCAGTTCAGTTCAGTCACTCGGTCGTGTCCGACTCTTTGCGACCCCATGAATCGCAGCACGCCAGGCCTCCCTGTCCATCACCAACTCCCGGAGTCCACCCAAACCCATGTCCATGAGTCGGTGATACCATCCAGCCATCTCATCCTCTGTCATCCCCTTCTGCGCCCAATCCTTCCCAGCATCAACGTCTTTTCCAATGAGTCAACTCGTCGCATGAGGTGGCCAAAGTATTGGAGTTTCAGCTTCAACATCAGCCCTTCCAATGGACACCCAGGACTAATGGACTGGTTGGATCTCCTTGCAGTCCAAGGGACTCTGAAGAGTCCCCTCCAACACCACATTTCAAAAGCAATTCTTCGGGGCTCAGCTTTCTTCATAGTACAACTCTCACATCCATACCTGACCACTGGAAAAACCACAGCCTTGACTAGACGGACCTTTGTTGGCAAAGTAATGCTTTTTAATATGCTTTTTAATATGCTATCTAGGTTGGTCATAACTTTCCTTCCAAGGAATAAGTGTCTTTTAATTTCATGGCTGTAATCACCATCTGCAGTGATTTTGGAGCCCCCCAAAATTTAATTCCTTTCAAATCCCAAAGAACAAGTTCTCTCTCACATCAATTAACAGAATGGCAGGTACACAAATGAAAAGGTCCTGTGGGAACAGAAAATACTTAGAGAAACCCCACATCTAAACTCACATTGGAGATGCGATTTTACGGACACAAAGGCTTTCAACAAGGTTATTTCAGCCTGAAAAAAGAACAGAATGAGCAGAAACATGGCAATGAAAACAGTTAGCCTCTCCGTATGCACAGGGAGATTGGTTCCAGCACCCCCCATGGATACCAAAATGCTCAGATGCTTAAGTCCCAAAATTGGCCCTCTGGTTTCCATCTCTGCAGATTCAACCAACCATGGATACTGAACTGTTTTGCCACTTGCAGTTGGTTGAATCCACGGATGCAAGCCTGCAGATACAGAGTGTCACTGTATTTTTACTGGGAATTAAAAAATCGCTTGTAGGTCAATCTGTGCAGTTCAAACCCACCTGGTTCAAGGGTCAATAGTATACACATAGCTTGCACCTCAACAGGAACAACCAATGCTATAGTAACACTTATTTTTGGGTGTAAATTTCACCTCACTTCACAGTATTAGAACGGTTATAGTAAATGCTTTGACTTGTTAATTGGTGCTAAATATTTTTAATGAATTTTCAGTTTCCCATTTGTTTTCCCCTCCTTACTCTTTCCTGTTTAAATCTTTTAAAAAGCAGATTTTACATTATTCTTATTTATGTATATGACTCTATAATGGAAGGCATGTCCCATCCAGAATTTATATGGCACATAATCTAATATGGTACCTCCAAGATAGTAGTTTCAGTAAATATTTATAGACTTTTATAAAATCTGGTCTGTGCTTAGAAAACCTGGATTGTGCTTAACTATATGGTTAGTAGACCCAGGCATTTGCATGCCAGAAAGGGAAAACGTAATATCTTGAACAACGTAATAAGTCTGTGAACATAGGCATACAGTGACACCAAACTTACATATAATTTACCCTTGATTATTAAAACATCTTTAGCAGATGCCAAAGAATACCTTTAATATTTTCAAATTTTGAAGTGGCATCTATGACCAAGAAATTTTACAACTTTTAAAATAACAATCCAAGATAAATCAAGGACAAACCTAAGTGAAAAAAGGGCATATAAAATATGTAAAAATGCACATAAGAGCAAAAGAAGTTCAGGCTGATCAAATAATCTTTTAGAATAGCTTATTCCCTCATGGTCCAGCAATTAAGACTGCATGCTTCCACTGCAGGAGGCATGGATTCAATCCCTGGTCAGGGAGCTAAGATCCTACCCGACCTGTGGTGCAGCCAGAAAAAAAAAAATCCTAAACATTCAAAGATCCAAGAAATTATTTAATCCTGAGAAAGTTTTAAGTTGCAGAGTTAATATTTACCAACTGTAAAATTTCAGTGATATGAATTACAATTGCAAAATTTTTGGAACTATATCAGTGACAAACACAAAACTTTTTAGTTGTATATTCATTCAGAGTTTAAATTGAAGACTATTTGGGATTGTTTACAATTTTTATTATATACCTGATTGTTAAAATAATGTACCATCTTCAGAGGACTACGATATGTGTCTTCTTCAAGACCAATCTGTTTTTCAAGGCTTTTTCAAACAAAAAGCCTTTGTTCACAATTTGCCAGAAGTCTTGAAAATTAGTGAGATAGTATCTGTAAACATTTGACTAGTAGTTTTATCTAAAACTAGTATGTTTTAATTAATAAGGTTATAAATAGCTGAGTATTTAAGAAGTTAATGGACAACACAAATCAGAATTTCAAGTATTTTATTTATTGTAAATCTTATGTTTGTATGTGTATATATATATACACAAACCAAAAATTTTTTAAAAAACTAAAGAAATTCAGTTATTAAACTTATTAATAAACTTTATTATGAAAGGTTGTGAAAAAATTTTAGGTGCTTAAATTTTCATCATTCATACCATTTCTTCCATAGTAAAAATTCACTTTTTATCACAGCTGAGACAATAACTCACAGATACCACTAATTTTCTTGCACTTATCTAAGAAAACTTTTTCTTTCTCCAGCCTAATTTCTTGAAAAATATTAGAATCAACAAAGACATTATCAAGCACACCTTAGTAAATGTAAACATTCAAAAGTATATTAATAGCAATCTTTGAAGTTTCAGATTTTGGACTTAAAGTGCTCATGAGATTCTCAAGTGGTTTTATGATAGCTCAACTGATTGAAGATATTATAATTGCTCCTGCTTTTTATTACAGCTATGAATCAACAACATATCTGATTAGTTCTATTAAATACTTCGTACCTTAAAGTGTATAATTTATTTAAAATGATGCTATTGTAAAAGGATGCTATGTTTTAACATGATTCATAATAGAAGTTCTATTTTTAAATTAACTTGACTAATATTCATTATCCATAGATAGATCCATGGAATCTATTATCCATAGAATCCATAGAACATTTATCCATAGAATGTTCGTAAAAATGGAAGATAACAACTGTGTGTATGTATACACATACACACTTTTAGTATGTTTTTGCACTTTTTAAATAGCATTATATCATCTTAATTGTGTATTTTGTGCATTCTTCTGAATACAGAGTATTCCTTTATTCATGTAGTGAATGAGATACACAAAATTCTAATGTATGATAATTATTTGTGCAAGATTAAAAATATTAGATATTAATTGGCAGCTAATTAGTTTTCACAGGTATTAGATTATTACATGTTCAACCAGAAACTACACTAGTGATAACTAAGGTCAAAATTCAGAGTTACATTTAAGCACATAATGACAAAACTTGAAACAATACAGTTAATTTGAGAATCATTATAATAACATAATTAAAATAACATAATTCATGTCAGATGCATTAACCTCACAGATGACTGAATAAAATGTATTCAGTAATGGAAATGAAAATGTTATTCTAAATTCCCTGGCTTTACTGCATTTCTTCTATTTCTCATTTCCCACTACTCAAGTTCTGCTTTTCTGTATTAATAAAGTCAGTTTTGTGGTATTTTGTTTTCATTCATAATTGCAGCAGGAAGAAAGGCCTTTCAAGAAAATATCAGGAAAAAAAAAGTATTAGCTCAGTTCCCTGAAGATGTCTGCAAAATGAAAGGCTAAAAAAAAATCAAGTGAGGGAACTATACAAAGGAGGTGGAGGCGGAGGAGCAGGACGAGCAGGAGCTAAATTTCCCTGAAACGATTCTTTGGGCTGTGGTGGAGGTGGCCTGTGAAGAGGTAAAAAAGACAGTTAATCCCATGTCTCAACTGAAATAAAGCTACATTCATAACACCATTCTTAAAACCATCACTGAATTTTACCTGGTGAGCATCTGTCTCACAATTTATATATTCTTCGCCTGATGTTCACTTGGATTTCAGTGCATCCTTACTGCATAATAAAGATTATACTGGAGGACACTACTCAGTGTGCAATTCAATTGCAATTTGAAGGGCTTTTCGGGGTCAGGGAGGGGTGAGATGTATTTTATGCAATGGAAAATATAATAAAATCTTCTCCTTGTTGATGCTAAGCCCATACATTGAGTCCTTCATTTTTCTTGTGCTTTTCAGTTCCAGAATTTCCATTTGATTCTTTTTTCGGGTTTTAAGTTCAGCACATCTAGTTCTGTGTGAAATTTTCAATCTTGACTATTAATTCTGTGATATGATCATCATAGTTACTTTAAAGTCTGTACCTAATAAACTCTATTAACTGGATACCCTCTGAGTTCATTTTCTTGGTTTTAGTCACATTTTCTTTTCTTGTATGTCTGGCTTTTTAAATTGAGATAGTGAAAGTTGTTCAGTCATGTCTGACTCTTTGCAACCCATTGACTACAGAGTCCATGGAATTCTCCAGGCCAGAATCCTAGAGTGGGTAGCCTTTCCCTTCTCCAGGGGATCTTCCCAATCCAGGGATCAAACCCAGGTCTCTTTACCAGCTGGCAGATTCTTTACCAGCTGAGCCACCAGGGAAGCCCAAGAATATAGGAATGGGTAGCCTATCCCTTCTCCAGCGGATCTTCGTGACCCAGGAATCAAACCAGCGTCTCCTGCACTGCAGAAGGATTCTTTACCAACTAAGCTATTTTAAATTGGGGGCAAGCAGTGAAAAAAAAACAACCAAACCTGTAGGAAATAAGTTGAGGGTCTGATTCACCCTTGCCCGTGGGTCCCAACACAAAGCCTAGGATATTTGCTAGAGTACCATCTCCCTGGCAGGGCTCCAGTTTTTGTCCCCTCAGCCCTAGTTTGTTGAAAGCTCTCCACAGCTTTCTATCCTCGCCCATGCAGAGCAGGTAGGACTATCTAGGACAGAAAAATGGTTCCAAAAGCTGAGGTCATCTCTGGAATGCCTTCCTCTCCTGGACCTTAAAAAATAACCCTTCACTTCTTTAGTAGTTTTCTGATGCCTTCATATTTTCTTCTATTATCTAGCTTTTCTAGCTGTTCCTAATGGGAGGTCTGGTCAAACCTATGTGATTTGCTATTGCTTGTTATTATAAAGGTCCTTGCTTCTGAATCTTATGGATACCAGAGGCTACAGCAGCTGTTCAGTGTCTTCTTGAGGCCTCTTTAAAATTTCATTCTGACACTGCATTAATATGACAAAACTTAAATAAAACCTCTTAGAAGCTTTTCTGCAAACTGTGCTATATCTATACTGTTGGTAATAAATACCGTGTCATAAATCAAATTAAAATACAAGGGAACTATTGAGACATTAACCCTGATCAAGTAATCTAAGTGAATTCACTTCAGACCTTGATGGGTACTGCTGAGGCTGCCTGGCTCCATAAGTTGGTACTGGAAATCTGTTTGTCTGTATAGGCTAAAAAGAAAAAAAAAAAAAAAGTTATTACCACAATGTACTCAATGTACTCAATATATTTTCTATATAGGTTATTTTCCACATAAAAATAAACTATTTAAAAATCAATGAATAGATGACTGATAATCTTAACATTTAAAATATTTTGCTTATTCAACATATCTTTGCTACTGAGTGTAGAAATTTAATCTTTTTAAGCTATAGTTTTTAAATTTAATAATAACAAAGTATTATCTTGGCCCTGATCAACTCCATTAGTTAAAAGTTAACATATTAAAATTTCCTAGGTCAATATATTTTAAATAAAACCTTCCAAAAATGTATTGCCAAACATACACAGTTACCTAACTGGTACTGTAAATACCACTAATTTTCAAATACCCTTGATTTCGATGTGGAAATCAGGGAACTTTTGTGCACTGCTGATGTGAATGTAAATTGGTACAGCTACCACAGAAAACAGTATGAAGGTTCCTCAAACTATTAAAAACATGACTACCATATGATCCAGTAATTCTACTTCTGGGTATTTATCCAAAGAAAATGAAACACTAACTTGTATAATTATCTACACCCCATGTTCACTGCAGCATTAATTATGATAGCCCACATATGGAAGAGTCTAAGGGTCCATCTGTGGCAAACACATGTACATATATACGGATATTATTCAACCACCAAACAAAACAACATCTTGCCATTTCTGACAACATGGATGGACTACGGGCATTCAGGCTAAGTGAAATGAGTCAGACAGAGAAGGACAAATATTGTTTGATCTCACTTATATGTGGAATCTAAAAATAAACAAAAAAACACCAAATGCTTAGATACAGAGAACAGATTGGAGACTGACAGAGGGCAGAGAGGGAGATGGGTAAAACCAGATGAAGGCGGTTAAAAGATAACTTCCAACATGATCCTCTACATAGAAAACCCTAAAGACTCTACCAGAAAATTACTAGAGCTAATCAGCGAATATAGTAAAGTTGCAGGATATAAAATTAACACACAGAAATCTCTTGCATTCCTATACACTAACAATGAGAAAACAGAAAGAGAAATTAAGGAAACAATACCATTCACCATTCCAACAAAAAGAATAAAATACTTAGGAGTATATCTACCTAAAGAAACAAAAGACCCATACATAGAAAACTATAAAACACTGATGAAAGAAATCAAACAGGACACAAACAGATGGAGAAACATACTGTGTTCATGGATTGGAAGAATCAATATTGTCAAAATGTCTATACTACCCAAAGCAATCTATAGATTCAATGCAATCCCTATCAAGCTACCAATGGTATTTTTCACAGAACTAGAAAAAATAATTTCACAATTTGTATGGAAATACAAAAAACCTCAAATAGCCAAAGTAAACTTGAGAAAGAAGAATGGAACTGGAGGAATCAACCTGCCTGACTTCAGACTGTACTACAAAGCCACAGTCATCAAGACAGTATGGTACTGGCACAAAGACAGAAATATAGATCAATGGAACAGAATAGAAAGCCCAGAGATAAATCCACGAACCTATGGACACCTATCTTTGACAAAGGAGGCAAGGATACACAATGAAAAAAAGACAACCTCTTTAACAAGTGGTGCTGGGAAAACTGGTCAACCACTTCTAAAAGAATGAAACTAGAACACTTTCTAACACCATACACAAAAATAAACTCAAAATGGATTAAAGATCTAAACATAAGACCAGAAACTATAAAACTCCTAGAGGAGAACATAGGCAAAACACTCTCCGACATAAATCACAGCAGGATCCTCTATGACCCACCTCCCAGAATATTGGACATAAAAGCAAAAATAAACAAATGGGACCTAATGAAACTTAAAAGCTTTTGCACAACGAAGGAAACTATAAGCAAGGTGAAAAGACAGCCCTCAGATTGGGAGAAAATAATAGCAAACGAAGCAACAGACAAAGGATTAATCTCAAAAATATACAAGCAATTCCTGCAGCTCAATTCCAGAAAAATAAATGACCCAATCAAAAAATGGGCCAAAGAACTGAACAGACATTTCTCCAAAGAAGACATACAGATGGCTAACAAACACATGAAAAGATGCTCAACATCACTCATTATCAGAGAAATGCAAATCAAAACCACAATGAGGTACCATTACACGCCAGTCAGGATGGCTGCTATCCAAAAGTCTACAAGCAATAAATGCTGGAGAGGGTGTGGAGAAAAGGGAACCCTCTTACACTATTGGTGGGAATGCAAACTGGTACAGCCGCTATGGAGAACAGTGTGGAGATTTCTTAAAAAACTGGAAATAGAACTGCCATATGACCCAGCAACACCACTTCTCGGCATACACACCAAGGAAACCAGATCTGAAAGAGACATGTGCACCCCAATGTTCATCACAGCACTGTTTATAATAGCCAGGACATGGAAGCAACCTAGATGCCCATCAGGAGACGAATGGATAAGGAAGTTGTGGTACATATATACCATGGGATGTTACTCAGCCATTAAAAAGAATTCATTTGAATCAGTTCTAATGAGATGGATGAAACTGGAGCCCATTATACAGAGTGAACTAAGCCAGAAAGATAAAGACCATTACGGTATACTAACACATATATATGGAATTTAGAAAGATGGTAATGATAACCCTATATGCAAAACAGAAAAAGAGACACAGATGTGCAGAACAGACTTTTGGACTCTGTGGGAGAAGGTGACGGTGGGATGTTTCTAGAGAACAGCATCGAAACATGTATATTATCAAGGGTGAAACAGAACACCAGCCCAGGTTGGGTGCATGAGACAAGTGCTCGGGCCTGGTGCACTGGGAAGACCCAGAGGGAGCGGGTAGAGAGGGAGGTGGGAGGGGGGATCGGGATGTGGAATACATGTAAATCCATGGCTGATTCATGTCAGTGTATGACAAAAACCACTACAATATTGTAATTAGCCTCCAACTAATAAAAATAAATGAAAAATAAAATAATAATAACTTCCAGTTATAAAACAAGTCATAGGGATGTAAGGTACAGCATGGTGACTATAGGTAATAATACTTCATTGCATATTTGAAAACTCCTAAGAGAGTAAATCTTAAAACTTCTTATCACAAAGAAAAAAAATGTGTACCTATGTACAACATGGATGTTAATGAGACTTACTGTGGTGCTCATTTCATATTGTATACAAATATTGAACCACGTTGTACACCTGAAATTTATATAATGTGATATGTCTGAAAGTGAAAGTGAAAGGCACTCAGTTGTGTCCAACCCTTTGCCACCCCCTGGACTATACAGTCCATGGAATTCTCCAGGCCAGGATACTAGAGTGGGTAGCCTTTCCCTTCTCCAGGGGATCTTCCCAACCCAAGGATCAAACCCAGGTCTCCCTCATTGCAAGGAGATTCTTTATCAGCTGAACCACAAAGGAAGTCTGTGATATGTCTGTGTGAATGTGAAAGCCGCTCAGTCGTGTCCAACTCTTTGAGACCCCACAGACTGTAGCCCGCCAGGCTCCTTTGTCCATGGGATTCTCCAGGCACAGGCAAGAGTACTGGAATGGGTTGCCCTTTCCTTCTCCATGATGTCTATTTTATCTCAATTTTTAAAAAATAGAACAGTGGGGGCATCAGGGATGGGAAATTACTGCTTCATGGATTCAGAGTTTCTGTCTGGGGTAAAGAAAAAGTTTTAGAAATAGACAGCAGTGATGATTACACAACACTGTGAATGTAATTAATGCCACTGAACTGTATATTTAAAAATGGTCAAAATGGCAACTTTTATCACATGTATATTTTAGCACAACATAAAAGGAAAAAAAATGTCAAAGACAAAAAATTATATATTACATAATTTCTAACTTGTATATATAGGGACTGTGTGATCATCCTATATATGTAGAAATATGGGAAAATCCCCGAGACTTATGGTTAAGGGAAAAGGGCATAACAGTTTTTGTTTCTTTTTTACAAAAGAAAGGGAGAACAGGGAGATTCCATACATATCCTTCCATTTTAGAAGGATATCTAATCATTTAACCTCCGTGTAATTGGAAAGACTTTAAAAGTCTTACAGTACCAAATGCTGCCAAAATTTACTTTGACAAGAATGCTCATACACCACTGACAATGCAATCACCCAATGTTATAATCCTTTTGGAAAACAGTTTGACATTTTCAAGTAAATATTCAAATATCTTTCAACCCAGCAATTTAACTTTGGTATATCCCTATATCAGAGCTCTCTAATAAGAGTTTTCCGTAACGATGCAAACATTCTATGCCTATGGTGCCCCTACAATAGTGGCCACAGGTGATCTATTGAGCATCTAAAATGTCAATGAGGAATAGAATTCTTAATTTTATTTAATATAACATAAAATTTACTGTACTAGTACCACCCTAGAACTCACACAGATGCATGAGTAACATACAGAATGTTCATCTCAGTTTTATTTGTAATAATGAACCATTGGAAACTGGTAAAAGAAAAATGGATTTTTAAACTGTGTGAAATTTATGTAATATAATATCAACAGTGAAAATAAATGCATTAGAGCTACATCTATTGATAAGAGATAAACCACAAAGCAATGTTAAGGGGGAAAAAGCGTGATGCAGATACATGTGTAAGATAGCAAACAAAACATTATACAGCGTTTAAAAGCAGATAAAGCAATATTTTGTTATTTCTTAGGAATATATGCATATTAGAAAAAGTATATTATTATCCCAATACTCCCTAATACACTCCAAAGGACAGTGATTGCTGGTCTCATTGCTGAGACAACTAGACCTATTATTCCAGGAGCTCAGGACCAGATCTTTAGTTAGATGCCCTGGGGAAGCCAGGTATTGAAAAAAGAAAGATGGCAGACATGGGAAAAAACAGTGACAGCATAAAACCCAGGTCATTTTCTAGGCTTGGTTTCAAGGCAAGACATTCTCAATGTCTAATGTTTTCCTCCCATCTCCTCTAAGCCAGGGACCCTAGTGCTATTCCATTAACTAACCCAGCAGCCATCTGCAGACCACACTCCTACTAAATTCTTTGGAAAATATCTATTTGTATTGCTATGTGTGCATGCTCAGTCACTCAGTTGTGTCCAACTCCTTGCAATCCCACGGACTGTAACCCACCAGGCTCCTGTCTATGGGATTCTCCAGGCAAGAATATTGAGTGAGTTGCCATCTCCTACTCCAGGAGATCTTCCTGACCCAGGGATCAAACCCAACTCTGCTGTGTCTCGTGCACTGGCAGGCAGATTCTTTACCACTTCACCGCCTAGGATATTATGTAAAAATTTTTTAAGCTTTAAAAATGTGATGTGCTGAGCTCAGTTGCTCAGTCATGTCTGACTCTGTGACCCCATGGAATGTAGCCTGCCAGGCTCCTCTATCCATGGAGATTCTCCAGGCAAGAATACCTGGAGTGGGTTGCCATGCCCTCCTCAGGGGATCTTTCCAACCCAGGGATTAAACCCAGGTCTCCCACATTGCAGGCAGATTTTTTACCAGCTGAGCTACCAGGGAAGCCCTAAAGTGTGGTACCATAATATAATAAAGGAAAAAAATTTTTCATTTAAACTTACAACGTTTCTAGGAGGAGTCACTGAAGAAGCAGGTCCAGGAACACTCGCTGGCTGTCTAGAATCTTTTGCTTGATTTTTGCCACCTGATCTGAAAGATACAATTACTTTTGAGCTAAATTAAGATTAAGACATTTCTGCGTGACATAGTATTAATACATAGATTTGTATTTTCCCAAATACAGAAGAATGATACTGGCTGTGGCAGTGGTGACGATCATGATGACAGCTAAAATTCATATGGCATTTTTAATAGTTCTCATCCAGTTTTAATCCTTAGAGTACTAGAACGTTTTATTAATCTCATTTTACAATTAAATAAACTGAAATACTAAGAAAAAATTTAGACAATTGGGCAAGTGTTCTCAAACTCCTCAAGTCTTCCTGAAATCAGAGACTAGTAAAATAATATTCTTAGGTCTAAAGTAGTCACTCTGAATATCAGGAAGTCCAAGAGAAGCAAAACAAGCTGGCTGGAAAGATGTCAGCTAAGAGTTAGACATTGCCAAAAGGACAGTAAGTAAGCTAGGTACAGGAGACAGCTATTACTATGAAACTAAAATTTCAGAGATGCAGACTGGAGAATTATCTACATGGATTGGTCAGTCTGAAGTGTGGAAGAAAGTTAAGAGCAAGAAAGGATAGAAAGATAAATCTGGGGACGACCCTGGCAATCCAGTGGTTAGGACTTGGTGCTTTCATTGCTAGAAGCCCAGGTTCAATCCCTGCTTAGGGAATCAAGATCCTTCCAAACCACTCAGTGTGGTCAAAAAAGGGGGGGGTAGAGGCATATGTCTCAATAAACTGTATTTTAAAAACAAAAAGAAATCTACGTCTGTTTTAGAACACATTAAAAAAATAAAGCTAACATGAAGATTCTCTAGGAAAATATTATGCAGTTTTTAAGTGAGGTAAGTGAGAAATAGGGCAATGAAGTAAAGGTGAGCATGCCAGGCAAGATATGAACATTTTGGAATCATTACTATAATAAAAACTAGCTATCAGGTAACTGCATTGTGCTATGGGTTTTATTTGTTAATATTTCCTTACTTAATCCTCACATGAAGCCCTCCAGAGATAGGTAATATTATTATTCTCATTGTAGAGGATGTAAAGCAAGGCTCAGATACTTATTATTTCTGTTCATAATTCTAGCAAACGATAGCTTTGCTAGAACTTGAACTTAGGTCTGACTACAAGGTCCATGCTAACACATGCTACATTCTAATGCCAATGTATTAGGAATGACTGTTGAGAGACAGCAGTGCAAGAGTCCAACATGTAGACTAGAAATGTCAGGTGTCTGAATTATGACAACCCTTTCTTTATCAAAGATTATTTTCTAAAAGCTGATGATTCATAAAATCTGTTTTTAAAACAGACTTGAATACTTCTAGGAGAACTGATATTGGAAATAGACAAGGAAGAAAAAATTTTAATGGCGTGCAAATCAGAAGTTGTAGCCCCAAATTCTACTTACCCCACTATCAGAAATCAAAGTCAAGTAAAATGAAGCCTAGGGGCCATTTTCAGTAGTATACAGGTTGGTGTCATCATAACCCTTTTCCCTCACCATTGTAAGAGGTGGCTGAGTCACCACTTACCCTTTAATTCCTGCTCATCATGTCAAAAGAATAGAGAGATAAACCAGAATCCTAGTTTTAAACTATCTTCTATGATATGATTATCATCATACATAATTAAATTACTTAGTAAGAATTTAAAAGAAAAATAATCTAAGTACTTATTTGTCTGTGATCTCTTCCTTCTGCAGTAGCTTTTCCGTAGCTGGTCTCTCTTAATGAAGACAAAAACAGCCAATACAATAAGAGGAACAACTAGGAAGAAGAATACCAGGAGTCCGTCCCTCAAGGCAGTATTCGTTTCTAGAGAGAAGGAGTTTATATTAATGATAATTAAATTAGAAGTTAACTTGTATTAACTATAACATACTAGATGATGACACATTTTACATTCATTTTCACACTGTTCAAAAGTCACACTGATATCAACTGAAAAACACTGAGAAGTCTTATTGACTCCTCCTGCTTACCCACTTCATTTCTGCCTTCCTAAAGATAACCACTTTTATTAATTTCTTCTATAATCTTACAGTGTTTCTTCATGCAAAGATAAGCAAGAACAAAATATGTTTTATTGTGAACCTTTCTTACACAAAAGGTAGCATGGCATAAATGCCATTCCACACATTATTTCTTCACTTAGCCATACTACATATCTTCCCAAACCATACACAGAGCACCACCTCTTTTCCTGTACAGCTATACAAAACTCTATTGCAAGGATGCCCTGTAGTTTATTCAGTCAGTGAGTACCCATTAATACTTTCATTTTTCCAATCTTTGCTATTACAAAAACATATTATAATGAATAGCCTTGTATACATGTCATATCACATAGATGTACCTATAGAATAATTTCCCAAAAGTAGAATTGACGTATCAGAGGGCAAATGCACTCATCGTTTTTTAAAGGCGTCATCAACTTGTCTACCACAGTGGTAGTTACAAGTTAGCATGCCATATATCCATACAAAACTATAATTCAAAAAGGTACAGGCACCCCTATATTCTTGACAGCTTTATTCACAATAGCCAAAACATGGAGATAACCTAAATATTCACTGACAGATGAGTGGGTAAGTAAGATATGGCACTTAAACACCATGGAATACAACTTAGCTATAAAACAGAAAGAAATGATGCCATTTGCAGCAACATGGATAGACCTAGAGATCATCATACTAAGTGAAGGAAGTCAGAAAGAGAAAGTCAAATACCATATGATATCACTTACATGTGGAAACTAAAATATAACAGAAATGAACTTATCTACAAAACAGAAACAGACTCACTCACAGACACAGAGAACAGACTTCTGGTTGCCAAGAGGGATAGGAGGAGGGGATGGATTGGGAGTTTGGGATTAGCAGATGCAAACTATTATATATATACTGCATAAACGCCTGATGTAAAGAGCTGACTAATTAGAAAAGACCCTGATGCTGAGAAAGACTGAAGGCAGGAGGAGAAGGGGATGACAGAGGATGAGATGGTTGGGTGGCATCACCAACTCAATAGCCATGAGTTTGAGCAGGCTCCAGGAGTTGGTGATGGACAGGGAAGGCTGGCATGCTGCAGACCATGGGGTTGCAACAAGTCAGACACAACTGGATGGCTGAACTGAACTGACTATATAACACAGGAGACTATATTCAATATCATGTAATAAATCACAATGGAAAAGAACATAAAAAGAATGTATATATTCATATATGTATAACTGAATCACTTTGTTGTATAGCAGAAATTAACACAACATTGTAAATCAACTATATTTCAATAAGATAAATTTTCTTAAAAAGTTAGCATGCTAGCCAGCAATGTACAAGAATTCCTCACAACCTCAACCATAAACTACTGCATTTTTGCCAAACTGGCAGGTGAAAACTTATATCTTATATGATTTTAATTTGGATTTATCTTTTTATACCATGATTTGAGCAACTTTTCATATTTAAGGAAATACTGTATTTCTTTTTCTTCTCAGTCCTTCAACTATTCTTCTATTGGTCTATAGGGTTTTTTTTTTTTCTTCTCAGTTTCTAAAAGTCCTTTATCTATGAGGGAGAAAAGTTTTGTCTATGATATAAATTGGCACTATTTTTCCCATTTTGTCATTTGTCTTATGGTACAGTGCTTTTCTCCATGCATAATTTTATTATTCCAAGGCAGCTAAATTTATCAATCTTATTTTTTGTGGCTTATGGACTTTAAGTCTCATAATTTTAAAAATTCATTAACTAACATTAATTTTGTCTGCTTCATGTTCTTCAGTGAAACAATATAATATATATGAACATAAGTGGTAAACTGTGAAATAATCCTAATTTTAAATTTGTAGAAGTACCAAAACTTTGTTTTAAAAGTTATATGAAACTACATAAAATACTCAACACAATTAAAAATAAAAATATGAAAACTTAAAGCCAATTTGATATATCATTTTATATCTAATAAGAAAAAGACCAAATTTAAAGCATCACTGGCCAGGTTATATTAAAATTGGCACCTTCAAAAATAAATAAATAAATAAATAAATAAAATTGGCGCCTTCATACTGTCAGTGGCATTACACAAGCTCACCTGGAATTTTTATCAAGAACCATAAAAAGGATTATAGCCTTCAATCTAATAATCTCATTATGATAATTTATGTTTCAGTTGGGAAAAATGTATAAGTATTAAGATGTACACTACAATGTCATCAGTGTATATCAAGAACTTAGAAACAACCTAAATGTCAAATAATTAGATAACAGCTAAGTCAAGTCATAACACAATCCATCAATGAATTCAAATGTATAGTTCTGACTTTCACTTCTAGCCAAAATGGGGTAACAGGGGCCAGATTTATCCTCCTAGCTATAGCAACCAAAAAAACCAAGCAAAATACTTAAAGCAATGATTTTCACAACATTGGACATATGGCAATGAAGAGCAGTGATCCCTTAGAGCTTTACAAGGTGAGCTCTATAATTGCCCCAGTTTGCTGCCTAGGGAAAGTTAACAGATTGTGATGAGGGATGTGGGAACCTAGGAAAACTCCAGTGGTTTCCTTGAGGTCAGGAATGGATTCTGGTTGAGGAAGAAGCCAAGATAACTAGAGTTCACAGGCAAAGTACCAGAAAGGAGAAAGCTGCACAGACAAAACTTGACAGATCTGCAGAGAGTTCCCCTCAGACACTCAGTTGAGAACTGATCAATGTATGCATGTAAGGAAATCACCTGAAGCCAGAGAAAGAATCACCTGAAAGGATCAGTGGGAACAAACTCCACACACAACTCACACAGGACTAGGAAGAATGCCTGTTCCTACCACTTTTAGTGGAAAACTCCATAGTTAACGGCATTGAATAGAACAAACAGAAAGGGTTTGCCTCAGTAATGGGGTAAAATCAATCCGAGGCTAAACGCTGCTCAGGTCCCCCTCAAAAGAGCTTTAAAAAAGGTTCTAAAGGACTGTACTAGATCCAAGTAACTTAAGCCCACTTAAGCTTACATCCAAAGCTCATCAGCAGAAATCCCCAAATACCTAATATCCAACAGGCAAAATTCAGTTTCTGGAACTCAGTAGAAAAGTTACAAGACATGCAAAGAAGCAGAAAAAATATGAACCGAGTGAGGAGAAGATTAATTCATAAAAACTAAGAAATGATACAGGTGACAGAATTAGTAGACAAAGACATTAGATATTACTATATCTATATTCTACATGTTCAAGACGCTAAAGACTGAACATGCTATGTAAAGACAAAAAAAGAAGGAAAGAAGAAAGAAAGGGAGGAAGGGAAGGGGTGGGAGAGAAGAAAAAAGGAAGGCAAAGAAAGAGAAACAAAGAAAGAGAGTAAGGAAAAGAAAAGGGAGGGAGAAATAGAACTTATAGAGATAAAAACTTCAACATCAAAGATAAAGAATACACTGGATGGACTTAACAGCAGATCAGACATCACAGAAGAAGAGTAAACTTGAAGAATAATAATAGAAACTATGCAAAATTAAACACAAAGAATAAAGAATTTTTTTTTAATCAAGGCAAAACACTGAGAAGTGAAAGAACTCCAAGTAGCCAAATATACATATAATTGGAGTCCCTGAGGGATGGAGAAAGAAAAGAAAGAAAAAATATTTGAAGAAATAATGACCACACTTTTCCCAAATTTAAAGAAAAAAGCACAAATCCAGAAAGTTTAAGAAACCCCAAGCACACCATAACCAAACACTAAAAATTAGAAATAAAATCTAATTAGCAACCAGAGTTGGGGGCGGGGGGGGGGGGGAAACACACTACAAACAGAAGACAAAAAAAAGATGACAGATTTCTCAGGAAAAACAATGCAAGTCAGAAGACAATGTAGGAACATCTTTGAAGAAGTACAAGTGGTATAAACTGTCACCTTAGAATTCTTTACCTAGTTATTACTCAAGAAGGAAGGCAAAATGAAGACCTTTTCAGATATAAGAAAGCTAAAAGTAAATTTTTCACTGGCAGAAATGTGAAAATAAGTCCTTCAAGCAGAAACTGAATGATACCACATGTAAATCTAACTTTACACAAAAAAGCAGAGCACCAGAAATGGTAACTATGTGGGTAAATATAAAGGCCTTTTCTATTATCTAAATTTCTTTTTAAAATAATCAACTGCTTAAAGCAAAAGTGATAACAATGTATTATAGGTTTAAAACATACATGGTATGATAATACCGTACAAAAGCCAGGAGGACAGAAATGGAAGCATCCTGAAATGGCACAATATCATATGAAGGGAGACTGTGATAGAAAAATATCATTATGTTAGATTTAAACCCAAGCATATCAATAATCAAACAAAATATAATTGGCCAAAACAACTCAATTAAAAGGCAGAAACTGGCCGAGTTAAAAAAAAAAAAAAAGCCAAGACCCAGCTAAATGCTGCCTATGAGAAACCCACTTTAAATATAAAGACACAAACAGATTAACTGACATGGGAAGTGAGGGGATGGTAAAAGGATGCCCAACTTCTGACATGGACCAGAGAGAGCTCACACTCATTTTCCTCTATACTACTTGCCGTTGTACGTAGGTCCACTGTCCACACTTCCTCCGTATCCTTTAGTCTCACAGTTGGGGGGAGCCCAGCCATTGTCACAGTGACAATTTTTATTGCTATTACATACCTTCAAAACAATCAAAATACCACTTTCATTAATTGTGAATGATGTTCTAAATCATGAACTCAAGCATAGAAACCAAGAGAAAAGACTAAATTCATGCAAATCCATACACATTCTTTTTAAGAATGAAGAATTTATCAGGTATCTAAATTCCCCAATATCTAAAAACCTTAAGAAATCTCACCAAGAACTCTCATTATTCAAGCACTACTTTCATGAACAAACCAAAAGAGACTATTACCTACCCCATGTCCATGACACTTTTCCTGAATGTCACAGTCATAATTCAGAATAGAAGCATTTACACATGCGAAATTTCTACAGATCTGAAAGAAAAAGAATTAGTGAGTAAAGAAAACTTGAACACATTAGTAAACTAGCCAGGGGGAAAAAAAGACCTGGATGTAGATGATTTCATTGGTGAATTCTTTCATACTTTTAAGGAACAGTTAATTCCCATACTGCATATTTGATGAAATTAACTGACATAGAACTAACAATCAAAAAGGACAAAGATGACACAAAGGCCTAAAACAAAACCATAATCTATCCTTCTATACAAATATATATGTGAAAATCTAAAGTAAAATATTCACAAATGGATTTTTTCAAATCAGACAGAGATAATCCCACTACTATAGAAAAGGCTCTGAAACTCCACAACTATTCATTTATGTTTTCTTTCTTTAAATTAGAGATTTAAATTAGTTGGATTTTAAAATCTTTACTTTACCCTTGCAGCCTTTTATCTTTTCTCTCATTTTTCTGTTTCAGTCTTTCTGTTCAGCTTCCTCACAAAATCCTCCAACTTTATATAACAATAAATCTATAGTTCGGTTATACATGCATGAAGATGAACAGTGTACTAAGGTTAGGACAGAGAGACAGACATCTCCGAGGAGGATGACCAACTAATATCAAAAATCTTATCTTCTCATCTCCAACCTGCTCCTAGGGTAATAGGCAACTCGTTGCTTTGACGACAAGACAGGAGAAGCAGACAGACAGAAGGATGACTAGCTTCTCCATCAATTGACTAAATGTAAGTCCATTTTCAATATCATGTTTTCCCCCACCCCTCTCAGCTATAACCATTGTTTCCAAATCACCAATCTGTTTAGGGTTCTGCCAGGCTAAGATACAGGCTCTTTGTTCACACTCCATCAGTCTGCACTGTAAGTTGTAGGTCCTACTACTCTGGCAAACTACTTTTTTTCCTCTTTCAATTTTTCAAAACCTGTTGAAATTTTTATCTACTGATGCAGTCTCACATACTTCACACTTTGGAATCTATCCCTAACTAGTTCCTTTATATTTTGAGAGAAATTGGCAGACAAACAGGATAAATGAATATTGCAATCCAGCATCTTTTATAGGTTTTTTTCCAATTCATATTTTCACTCTGAACTTGCAATAACTTGTTCTAACTGACTGTAATGATTACTTTTATGTGTCTGCTTGTATAAGACAGAGGTCCAGGAACCAAGGTGTGGAAGTGGAGTGGCACCCCTCACTATTTCTCTTAGTGACCCACTAGCAAAATGTTTGCTCCCTGCTCCCACGACTTTATGCTCTATAGTTAATCTAAAAGTCTTGATTCTAGAGGGAAGAATGCTTCCGTCAGGAAACACGTCAGTGATTCCACTGAACTGGAAGTTAAGACTGCCACCCACTCACTTCAGATTCCTCAGGCCTCTGAATGAACAAAGAAGGAAGTTACTGCGGGCTGACGTGACTGATCCATTCCCAAGGGAAAACTGGACTGTTACTTCACAATGAAATAAGGAAGAGTATGTGTGGAATATAGGAGATCCCTTAGGGTGTTTCTTAGTATGACCATTATAAAGACCAGTAGAAAACTACAACCACCCAATCCTGACAGGACTAACAGTCTAGAGCCTTCAGGAAAGAAGGTTTTACAGCATCCTGCCAAGTAAAGAACCCTAACCAGCTGAAGTCCTTGCTGAAAACAAAGAGAATAAAGAATCAGGGAAGAAGACAGTTAAAAAATACCAGCTATAGGGACTTTCCCAGTGGTCCAGTGGTAAAGTCTCTGTGCTTCCACTACAGGAAGCATGGGTTCGATTCCTGGTTGGGGAACTAAGATACCATAAGCTGCATGGTGCGGCCAAAAACAAAAAAAAAATACAACATCAGCTATAACTATATTACAGAAATGAAAACTGTAATTATCATGACCATTCCCTCACTTTGTTATAAACATGTGTGTGTGTACATGTATCAAATACCTTTTTCTTCTCCCTTAGTCCCTCAGGTAACATACAATGTATTACCTTTATATCACAGTATTAAAGTATTGCTAACTTTACATGACAGGATTTAAGTTACAGGACATCAAGAAAAGTACACAGTGGCCAAAGAATTAATCTTCTCCTCAAGGTAGGATTTAGTGCATTTTTAGTTACACACAAGATAACAATATTTGTACACAGTTCCACCATGTGTGGAAAATTATGACCATGCTATTGTCTTCAAGATTATTTCAAAGACTGTTATCATGTTGAAGATTATATATAATTAAAGGAAATGCATAAGGACCCCAAGCTAACAAGATGTGGACCTGTAATGTTAATTTCATGCATCAACTTGACTGGCTCACAGGGTACCTAGATATTTGATCAAATATTATTCTAGATGTTTCTGTGGGACATTTTTGGATGTGATTAACACCTAAGTTGATCAAATGTAAAGCAGGTTACCCTCCTTATGTTGGTCTTGTCCAATTAGTTAATGGCATGAATAAAACTAAAAGGCTCACCTTCCTCCAAATAAGAGAATTTCTCCTGCTGCCTGCCTTCTAACTGGGACACTGGTTGTTGTTTTTTTTTTCCTTGCCTCTGGACTCAGACTGAATCGTAACTCTTTCTGGGACTCAAACTTGCTAATCTTTGAGCAGGAAGTACACCATCAGGTGTTCTGGGTCTCCAACTTGCCCACTGCAGATCTTGGGATTGTTATCTTTATTAATCGTGTAAGCTAATGCCTTATTTTTTAAAAAACCTTATACACACACACACGCACACACAACCTAATGGTTTTGTTTCTCTGGAGAACCTTGACCAATTATTTCTCTATTATATTCAAACCAAAAACAACCAAGCTGTACACATGTTGAGGTAAACCACACTTTAGCCCACTGAGCACAAGGCACAACTCAACAGCAAAAGCTACATGGGCATGAGACAAGGATGGGTATTTTTCTACTTCTATTAATTAAAGTCCATTCTAGTGACTGTCACACTCAATGTTTGGGTTCCCCTCAAAACACCTATGCTGAAGCCCTAATCCATGTGTGGTGACATCTGAAGGTATGTAATTAGGGTGTGTTGAGGTCATGATGGTGAAACCCTGGTCCAATAGGATCAGTTCCCTTGTATGAATAGACAACAGAGAGGAGACAGTCATGCCTGTACTTCATGAGATCCTGAACTGTTCCTACACTCAGTTCCAGCCCCTCAAGCCGAGGTCAAGAAGCAGCCCAGCACATCCAAGTACCTCGCTGGGGACACACATCCAACATCCATGCCTCAAGAACCAGGTCTACAGACTTCAGTTTTGGCTGCAAAATGTGAAACAGCTCCTGGGATTTCATTCCGGTCCATTTCAATCACAGTCCACAAACCAGTCCTGCCCATCCAGGGACCCAATTAGTGAACGGACAGTAGCCTTCTTAGGTACCTGATAGGAGCTCCACCCATCCATGCAATTGGTAATAGGCCTGCTGTTTCAGGACCCAACTGTGGACCATGTCTTGGGGCTACCTTCTGAAAGGGGGAGTTCAATATACCCAGGGACCAGTTAGCACCCATACCCTACCAAATTCCTGATAAAAAGTTCATCAACCATAGGTCCCACTGCATATCTAGAGACAGATCTGAAACCAGCTCCAAACCAGGCAGACTAAGTTTCCAGAGATAATCCCATCTGCACACAAAACAGACAAGAGGTCTTTACCAGCTGAAAACTTTCTGTAAAGACTGGAAGAGGTGTTTACCCCCTTCAAATACACAGACACCAATGCAAGGCTACGTGGAAAAATCAAGCAAATATGACATCACCAAAGGAAACTAATAAAGTTCCAATAAAAGGAAAACAAAATTTATAGTAGATGCACAAAAGATAAAGAGAAAGGAATTAAAGCATGCACTACAATAAAATGTGTCACAAAACAGAAAGGGAGGAACAAAAAACTACAAAACAGGCAACAAACATTTAACAAAATGACAGTTAAATAAGTCTTTACCTATCAATAGTTACTTTAAACATAAATGAACTAAATTCCTAAAACAAAAGACACAAAGTGATTGAATGTATTTTTTAAAAAAAGAAAAAAGATCTAACAATATGTTGCCCACAGGAGATTCACTTTAACTTTAAGGATATGTACCAGTTGAAAGTAAAGAGATGGAAAAAGATATTCCATGCAAATAGTAACCAAAAGAGAACAGGAGTAGTAACAGTTATATCACATATAATACACTTTCAGACAAAATCAATCACTAGAGACAAAGGTTACTATATACTGATAAAGGGGTCAATTCATCAAGAGTATATAACAATTACAAGTATTTATGCACCCTATATTGGAGCATCTAATATTTAATGCAAATAATAACAGAATTCAAGGGAGAAATAGACAGCAATACAATAACAGTATAGGGAACTTCCATTTCAATACTGGATGGATGATGCATACAGAAATGTAATAAGGAAACAGAAGACCTGAAGAACACTATAGACCAAAATAGACCAAAAGATATATACAGAGCATTTCATGCAATAGCAGCAGAATATATATTTTTCTTAAGCACACACAGAACATTCCATGTAATAAACCATATGCTGGGCCACAAAGCAAGACTTAAGAAAATAGAAATCCTATCTGGTTTCTTTTTCGACCACAGTAGTATAACTAGTGGAAAACTGGAAAATTCACAAAACTGAAAATTAAACAGCACACTCCTGAACAACCAGTCCTGCCATTTGCAACAATATGGATGGATCTTCAGGGCATTCAGACTAAGAGAAATAAGCTGATGGAGAAAAATAAATTCCATATGATCTCACTTATATATGGAATTTTTTAAAAAACTGAACTCAGAGAATAGAAGGGTGGTTGCCAGGGAATGGGAGAAATGGAGAGATGTTGGTCAAAAGGTATAAACTTTCAATTATAAGATGAATAAGTTCTGGAGATCTAATATCAGCATGGTGATTACAGTCAGCAATACTGTATTATATTCTGGCAAGTTGGTAAGAGTAAATCTCAAAATGTTCTCACCTAAAAAAAAATGTATGTGAAGTGATAGATGTGTTAACTAACCTTACTGTGCTAATTATTTCACAATATATATCAAATCATTACATTGTACAGCTCAAACTTACACAATGTTACATATCAATTGTGTTTTAATAAAGCTGGGCTTGGCTGCAGGGGAGGTAGCAGGGGGACAACAATGGAAAACAAAGATGAAAAATACAGTAAAAGAACCACAGGAACATTATCTGAGGTTCTGGGTTCCAAAGCTCCAAATTTGATTCTGTGGTTTGAGTCAGTAAATTTCCTGCTATGATTTAATTCAGTCTTCACTGAGTTTCTGTGAAATTTAACAATACTGACTAAAATCCACAGAGTAAATTTTCATCCGTTAAAAAAGCATAAGTGGACAGCTTCAGAAATATGATAGTATATTCACTATACTATCTACATTACCAGTGTTTGCTCCAGGGTTGTAAAGACAATCTGATGTCAAGGAATTTATCAACATAACTCAGTACATGAACAAGTCAAAGGAAAATATGTAGTGATTATTTAAACAGCTACTGGAAAATACTTATAAAATTTTAAAACTATTTGTTCTTTTCTTCTTACTGATTACAATTAAAAGGATTCTCCATTAAATGAAAAACACTATCTATCCCAAGCCAAGAGTCAAAATCACATATAACCCTGAAAGACTGCATGCATTCCCAGTCAAGTTAGCGATAAGACAAAGTACGCTATCATGATTATTATTTAAAATTATCCTGCAAGTTTTACCATTGCAATTACACAGGAAAAAAATTCATTGCAATTACACAGGAAAAAAATTCAAATTTTAAGTATCAGAAAGGAAATCAACTTTCTATCATTTACAGATAACAGCTTACCTAAAAAATTCTAATACAATAATAAAAATTTGTAACACTAAGCGTATGGCTGGTGACAAAGTAAATATACACAAGTGAACATATTTTTCTGAATATCAATAATAGCCAATAAAACATAAACAAAATAGCTTCTCTTACCAATAAAAACAAATTAAAAATGTAACATAACAAATTAGAAAACATAATAAGATAAATCTGTGTTATTCATAATAGCAATGAAAATATAAATTACCTAGGAATAACAAAAAAATGAAAAGGAGCTTTATAACTAAAGCTTTAAAACACAACCCCCAAGAAATTGAGAGACATACCATGTTCTTCTATTAGAAGACTAAATAATGTAAAGATCTCGCTTTTTTCCCATTACAAATTTATAAATCTGATTTGATCCCAACCAAAATTCCAAAGCGCTTTTATTTTTTATTTTTTTGGCACCTTGACAAAATGATCTCAAGTTTATCTGTAATAATAAATGAATATTAATAGTGAAGAAAACTATGAAAAAAGAATGAAGGGGCATTTATATAACCAAATATTAAAAATACATTATAAAACTGATAAAAACTAAAAGAAGTCAATACTGACATATGAGAAGTCAGACCAATCAGTGGACATGATGTGAAAAAGCAGAAATCAAGCCCAAGTATATATAAAAATTTAATAAGCAATTTAAATAAGATTTCAAATTAAAAGATTATACTTGAGATGTAGGCAAATAACAAATCATTCTAAAAAAAAGTAACATTAGAAGTCAGCATACAGTCATCATCTCTGAATGAATAAAATGATAAAAAGAAAAAAAGAATGCCAACCTCATACTATACACTCAAACTGGACTAATCAGAAGTATTTAAAAATTTTTAAATGTCCTAGAAAATAATACTCTGATACTATACTAAGAAAAGTCTTTAAAATTTGAAAGTAAAATCGGACCTTCTTTACTTTTCCTTTCTTAAAGGAAAAGAATAATAGATTTGTTTATATAAAAAAGTAAACATGGAAAAAAATAATAAAATCAAAAAAAAGAGGCAAGTAATAAACTGAGCAAATAAATTTTAAAAATGTATTACATTAAGTTTTATATGACATAAGTTACAGCTCTTTAAAAACTGATAAGAAAAACACACCATTTTTTAAATGAGCAAAGAATATTAACAAGCAAATCACAAAAAAAAGGAATAAATATATGGAGACTAAAAAATTTAATGTCACTAGTAGTCAAGAAAGAGCAAAATAAAAAGAAAATGACCAATGAAAGTTTAAAAATAATAGTACCTAATCCTGATTACAATATAGAGAATTGAAACACTTACTATTGGAAACTGCTCAGAAAGTAAACAGTGAAAAACTTTTCTAAAGAGAAATTTGGCAAAACTATATATAAAACCTTAAACAATACTGTAAAGTAATTAGCCTCCAACTAATAAAAATAAATGGAAAAAAAAAAAAACTTAAACATACTTCCCCATTAGGGTAGCCTTTAACTTCAGAAAACAACCAGGATGTTGTAAAATTTTTTAGAAAGTCCTTTACCTCAACATCTAACTCAGCAGCTGAGTTAATGGCATGGCAAAGTGAAAGTCACTCAGTCATGTCCAACTCTTTGCGACCCCATGGGCTATAGTCCACGGAATTCTCCAGGCCAGAATACTGGAGTGGGTAGCCTTTCCCTTCTCCAGGGGATCTTCCCAACCCAGGGACCAAAGCCAGGTCTCCTGCATTGCAGGCAGATTCTTTACCAGCTGAGCCACAAAGGAAGAACGTGGCAAAGGCAGACACAAAAACACAAGGGTCTAAGAATGAGGGACAACAGAATGGGAACTGAAAACTTGGTAGAAACTGAGGCAACCTAAGGGTCCCTCTGTCTTCTTCATGTGTCCCATGGTCCCATAATCAGTCAGTTGTGTTCGCTCTTTCCTCCTCTGTTCTCCTATGAGTTGGTTTCTTCAACTTGTTCAACAATCCTGCACCCTTAGATCTCTCCTATATACCTTAAGCTTGCTATCACCCTTCTAGCCCTACATTATGGCATCTCTCAGAGACTTCTCAGTTTCAGCTCTACTCTTAACTGCCTTTCTTTACTTATGTATTACCCCCACAAATGGAATTAGGCCTAGCTCATCTCATCCAGAACCACTGGTAGTAACTCAGCAGCTAACTCCTGGCTCATGTCTGATCCAAACAGCTGTGGTCAGAGAAGCAGGCAGGAAGCATGGGGAGGACAAGCATTACAACACTTCTAGTACAGTCACATACGCATGTACACACACACACACACACACACACACACACACACACACACTCCTGAAAGTTCCCTAAATGTCCCAGCAAGTAGTACCCTGGCTAATAAACTACAGTACATTGAAAGGGGGGTGGGGGAGGTGCCCAATATATTACATAGAAACAACAGGTTATAATACATGACTCTAAGGAAGAAATCAGAATAATAGAATTACAGAATATAATAATAATATAATAATATATATAATATAATATATAATAATAGAAATACAGAAGGTTCTTTAATGAAAATGTGGAAACTACCAAATTAGATGCAGATAATGAATATTCCAACTCAGTGACCATTATAAAAACTGATCATTTTTGTAGTTAAAGAAAGCATCATATGAAACTAACACAACACTGTAAATCAACTATATTCCAATAAAAATTTTAAATGAAAAAAAAGCTTTATATGGCTGTAAATCATCAGGAGGTATAGCCATTCTTAACTTTATTCTTGGTGGCTTTCTGTTTTTCCAAATCTCCACAATGAGTAGAGATTTCTTTTATAACCAGAAAAGAACCACTCGCTTTGTATAATGATTTTTTTTTATTTCTTAAATTTTTACTTTGTTTAAAAAAACATTTTTATTACCTTTCCAACATCACATCTGGTGCCTTCGTTCACCATGCCAGGATCTGGAACATCGGATCCAAGCTGGAAGTCCACACCCCAGCATTTGGTGCCTTTTCCAGGAGTCTGAATGATAGCAGGCACAACTCCGAATACAGGCAGTTGTTGTACATTCTCACATTGAAGCTTTCCACACAAAGCATTCCTGGAAAGAAAGAGAAATAATGCAAACTACAATGCATCTGGTGTAGATACAAAAGAAAAATTATATATTTTTGTACAGAGAGTTTATTTCTATTTAGCTGAAGGGAATCTCAACAGAGAAAGTGTGTGACAGCAACAGAGATCAAAGTAGCTCTCTTTAACTATGGCAAAGAGAAGAGGTTAAGTACATGTAAAGACGCAAATTCTAGGGTACTGGGGGCGCTGATGCCGACACCTAAGAATCCCTCTTCACTATCTGCTTAGGGCTCAAAAAAGTCTAATATAGTTGATTTTAAATGTGATATAATTCTATAAATGCTTTTACATAGAAAATAACAGAACTATACCGATATTCAATGGTGTCTTTTTATTGAGTTATAATAAAGAGAAGTCAGATTTTGTAATGTTAAACAAGCTTGAAGGAACTCCATCACTCTTCGCTTGGCTAACCTACTTACTGAAGACTCAATTCATTAGTCCATTAATTCACTAATTCAGTATTCAGTTCAGTTCAGTTGCTCAGTTGTGTCTGACTCTTTGCGACCCCATGAATCGCAGCACGCCAGGCCTCCCTGTCCATCACCAATTCCCGGAGTCCACCCAAACCCATGCCCATCAAGTCAGTGATGCCATCCAGCCATCTCATCCTCTGTCGTCCCCTTCTCCTCCTGCCCCCAATCCCTCCCAGCATCAGGGTCTTTTCCAATGAGTCAACTCTTCGCATGAGGTGGCCAAAGTATTGGAGTTTCAGCTTCAGCATCAGTCCTTCCAATGAACATCCAGGACTGATCTCCTTTAGGATGGACTGGCTGGATCTCCATGCAGTCCAAGGGACTCTCAAGAGTCTTCTCCAACACCATAGTTCAAATTCAGTACGAGAACTCTACAAAGACCTCCCTGACTACAATTCCTATTACCAAGGGTGTGCGAGTTAATGTTCTTCCTATATCTCTTCATGATACATTAAGTATCCCTAACGTCAGCTCTTAAGATGCTGCACTGAAATTTCCTTTTTAATTGCTTGTCTTTTGATCTAAGCACACTACCCTATTAAATCTCCCCTATAATATCACGACCAAGTCATTGTAGGATATGGTTTTTCAATTCCTCTAATTCATCACCTCCTAAATATTCTCACACTATCATAACATTATTTTACTTCCTAAGTTAACATCTTTCTCTCTATAACTTTTCCTCATTGGTCCCAGATGGTCGACATGAGACCACACAGATAATATCTTTTCTTTCCTTTACATGGCAACCTTTTAGGACAATTGTCATGGAGGTCCGAATGACTTACTTCACCAGGGCAATATTCTACAATTATTTCTCATGCAACAAGGAAGCTCCCCTCTTAAGTATGTTCCAGTTTGTCTCACTACCTATTGAAGCACAGCGCTTGGAATAGAACAGGAAACTTCAGTTACAGTCTAATTAGCAAAAAACAAGATGTACTGTCATTTACTTCACTGAGATATTATACTTCTATGAAGCCCAAGTTAACAGTAGCTCTTGTGGAAACTACATTATATTACTGATGCCCTTGAATGTATCCTTAGCTAAAACCTCTATTTGATTTTTGCACATGCTGCTATTAAGCCTGCTCTTCCTTCCATCCTGCACTTAAGAGTTAAGTTCTTTTGTCCCAACTTGACATTTGTTCCTTTTTTAAAATTAATTAATTTATTTATTTGGCTGCACCAGGTCTCAGTTGCAGCACTTGGGATCTTTAATTCTGGTATGCAGTATCTAGTTCCCTGACCAAGGACTGAACTCAGGCCCCCTGCATTGAGAGCAGAGAGTTTTAACCACTGGACCACCAGAGAAGTCCCTATATTCATTCCTAAGTCACCATTTACTTACAAGGCAACCTGAGAAAAGTGCTTTAACTTTCTGAAGTTCAGTTTCTTCATCTGAAAAACAAGAGCTAAATAATGATGCCTATGTCACATGCAAGCATGCATGCTAAGTTGCTTCAGTCAAGCCCAACTCTTTGCAACCTTATAAACTATGTAGCCTGCCAGGCTTCTCAGACCATTGAAATCTCTAGGCAAGAATAAAGGAGTGGGTTGCCATGCCCTTCTTCAGGGGATCTTCCCAACCCAGGGATCAAACCAGGTCTCCTGCATTGGAGGCATATTCTTCACCATCTGAGCCACCAGGGAAGCCCCAGTGTCACATAGTTAGTTACAGTTAGTTATGAAAACCTCTACAACAAAGCATATAATAAAACAGATCTCAGTTAGCATCTATTGGAACCTACCAAAATTCATTTTTCTAAAACGTACTCAATGTCTAATGTATAGTCTTGGTGACATATTAAAGTTAAAAGAAAATGGCTGATTCATGTTGAGGTTTGATAGAAAACAACAAAATTCTGTAAAGCAATTATCCTTCAATAAAAAATAAATTATAAAATAAATACTCTTAATATATTTTTAAAAATCGATCACAAATCATTAAAAGGATAGTAACTTCAACAGAAAAATAATAGCAATGATGCAAATATGCAATTCACAAAATAAGAAATGCAAACAGCCAATAAAGCTAAGAGATGCTTACTGTTATATTCATTTAAATATTATCTTGCAAGCACCAATAGAAAAACTGCTTCAGGCAAATAGTCATATAAGCAAATAAAATGTTTATGTGACAAATACTGCCCAAAAAAAAAAAAAATTCCAAAGTAGAGACTTTGGTAATAATAAAAGATTCAGTTCCTTCAGAAGATATATAACAATCTTAAATGTGTATGCACCTAATAAGATAAGCACCAAAGAACACACTTTAAAACACATACAAGAAGAATTTACAGAACTAAAAGAAGTAGACAACTTCATAATCATAGGTGGAGATCTACACATATCCCTCTCAGAAACTGAAGGGGAAACAGATAAATATGCACATACACCCAAAATATAGAAGATTTGAATATGACAATTAATTAACTTGACATTTATGGAACAATATATCCAACAGCAGCAGAATACTTTGCTTTTTAATTGACATGGAACAGTCACCAAAACAGGCCATACACTGGACAGTAATTCAGATCCCAACAAATTGAAAAGAACTGAAATCACGCAAGTATGTTTTCAATGGAATTAAATTAGAAACCAAAAACAAACAGAAAACCAGAATACTCCCAAATACTTGGAAATTAGCAATACATTTTTAATAGCTCATGAGTCAAAGGAGAAATCACAATGTAACTGAGAAAATACTATGAACTGAAGAATAAGGAAAACAAAATATATCAAATTCAATGAAAAAGAAGCATGCAACTTTTTAAGCTGGTCACACTTCCTTCAACTTTCAAATTGCTACTTTTCTCATTTTGATTTAGCCTAATTATGTTAGTCAAGATGGATCAAACTCCCCAAAATGCAGGGAAGAGTCTTCCTTGGTTTTTCTTAAACTTCATAAAAGAATCTTGAAAGTGCTGTGCTTATGACAGGGTTTGTATCTGACTTTCCCTTTATCTAGAAAATTACCTATTACAGCATCTATCTTATACTAAGGCAGTATCATTTTTAAATGATTGTTCTTGCTAAGGCAATAGTAAGGCAATAAAGCCTTCCCATGCAATTTAAATATACAAAAAAATTCCCCAGAAAGAGTGCTAGAATAAGTTTTGAGACTACTCAAGATAGTCATATACCCTCTTTTGAAATACTTTCTTGTTTTTCTAACTACTTTCAACCTACTCTGTTTTCTGTATCAAGAAAGATATATTGTAAATACTCTATGAAATAGTTTCTATGAATAATTAATTTGTAAAGAATTAGAACAACATAAATTGACTAACATTTTTTTTTAAGCACATGGCATTAGGCAACTCTGTAAGAGGGACATCCGATCCTGTGAAGGAAGCTGAGGAAGGCTTAGTTCAGTTCAGTTCAGTCACTCAGTCGTGTCCGACTCTTTGCGACCCCATGAACCGCAGCACGCCAGGCCTCCCTGTTCATCACCAACTCCCAGAGTCCACCCAAAACCATGTCCATTGAGTCAGTGATGCCATCTAACCATCTCATCCTCTGTCATCCCCTTCTCCTGCCCTCAATCTTTCCCAGCACAGGGACTTTTCAAATGAGTCAGCTCTTCGCATCAAGTGGCCAAAGGATTGGAGTTTCAGCTTCAGCATCAGACCTTCCAATAAACACCCAGGACTGATCTCCTCTAGGATGGATTGGTTGGATCTCCTTGCACTCCAAGGGACTCTCAAGAGTCTTCTCCAACACCACACTTCAAAAGCATCAATTCTTCGGCTCTCAGCTTTCTTTATAGTCCAACTCTCACATCCATATATGACCACTGGGAAAATCATAGCCTTGACGAGACAGACCTTTGTTGGCAAAGTAATGTCTCTGCTTTTTAATATCCTGTCTAGGTTGGTCATAACTTTCCTTCCAAGGAGTAAGCGTCTTTTAATTTCATGGCTACACTCACCATCTGCAGTGATTTTGGAGCCCAGAAAAATAGTCAGCCACTGTTTCCCATGAAGTGATGGGACTGGATGCCATGATGTTAATTTTCTGAATGTTGAGTTTTCAAGCCAACCTTTTCACTCTCCTTTTTCACTTTCATCAAGAAGCTCTTTAGTTCTTCTTCACTTTCTGCCATAAGCGTGGTGTCATCTGCATATCTGAGGTTATTGATATTTCTCCCAGCAATCTTAATTCCAGCTTGTGCTTCCTCCAGCCCAGCATTTCTCATGATGTACTCTGCATATAAGTTAAATAAGTAGGGTGACAATATACAGCCTTGACATAATCCTTGCCCTATTTGGAACCAGTCTGTTGTTCCATGTCCAGTTCTAACTGCTGCTTCCTGGCCTGCATACAGGTTTCTCAAGAGGCAGGTCAGATGGTCTAGTATTCCTATCTCCTTCAGAATTTTTCCACAGTTTATTGTGATACACACAGCCAAAAGCTTTGGCGTAGTCAATAAAGCAGAAACAGACGTTTTTCTGGAACTCTTTTGCTTTTTCGATAATCCAGTGGATGTTGGCAATTTGATCTCTGGGTCCTCTGCCTTTCTGAATCCAGCTGGAAGTTCACGGTTCACATATTGCTGAAGCCTGGCTTAAAGAATTTTAAGCATTACTTTACTAGCGTGTGAGATGAGTACAATTGTGTGGTAGTTTGAGCATTGTTTGGCATTGCCTTTCTTAAGGATTGGAATGTAAACTGATCTTTCCCAGTCCTGTGGCCACTGCTGAGTTTTCCAAATTTGCTGGCATATTGAGTGCAGCACTTTCATAGCACTGTCTTTCAGGATTTGAAATAGCTCAACTGGAATTCCATCACTGCCACTAGCTTTGTTTGTAGTGATGCTTCCTAAGGCCCACTTGACCTCACATTCCAGGATGTCTGGCTCTAGGTGAGTAACCACACAATCGTGATTATCTGGATTGTGAAGATCTTTTTTGTACACTTCTGTGTATTCTTGCTACCTCTTCTTAATATCTTCTGCTTCTGTTAGGTCCCTACCAGTTCTGTCCTTTATTGAGACCATCTTTGCATGAAATGTTCCCTTGGTATCCCTAATTTTCTTGAAAAGATCTCTAGTCTTTCCCATTCTATTGTTTTCCTCTATTTCTTTGCATTGATCGCTGAGGAAGGCTTTCTTATCTCTCCTTGCTATTCTTCTATCTTAGAGGAATTAGTTAAAATGAGATCTGGCAGAGACAGAAGAGCAAACTAAGCAGAAGGAATAGCACATGCCAAGGGCCTATGGCAGAGGGCCAGATCAGTAGAGTGGAAGTATTTCTCAACATTTAATGGCTCAGTAGAGAAAGATGAGCCTACAAATAAATACATTAAAGAAGCATCCAGAAACAGAGAAAAATACTAGAAGAGCATTCCACACAAAAGCCAAGGAAAGGGGCTTCTTCAAGGAGAAAATGGACAACATAGATGAATGCTACTGAAAGGTCCAGAAGCTTGAAGACCTAAAGACACTCTGTTAGATTTAGGAACATGGATGTCCGGTTGCTATTTCTTCTTCATGAGCAGTTTTACCTCAGTTGCTTGGTTATTAACTATCAGAGTAGGAGGTGAAGTGGGTAGAAGAGAAGCACAGCATTATGTATTTAATTTTTTTGGCTTTTTACAACCATTTTTAGAATAAAAATATGAATATTACAAAAAACAAAATAATTGATACAGAATGTTAGCACTGCAACAGGTATAATACAGTCTAGTGAGTTTATTCTCTAGAGCCCCATGGCTTCATGGTCAAAGCCTCTGGGTGAACCTCAGGTGGCAGGAATTTCCTGCCCTCACATCCACCAGAAGAGCTCCATTCAGAATGATTTATATGTTTACATACCTACATTTATCTATCCGTGTATCTGGAAAGCACAGTATTAGAAACCAACTCCAATTCTGTAAAATTAACGTTAGTGTGTGCGTGTACAGTGCAAGAAGCAAAATAAAGGAAGATGTACATACACTGAAATTAGTGGACATATACAGAAAGAGAGATCATGATAACTTTTCTCTTGTTTATAACTTTGCAATATTATTTTTCACAATGTGCAAATGTTATAGAAACAAAAACATTTTCTAATTAATCACTTAAAAATTATATAGAGCCAGAAGAAAATTATGAAGTTCTGAATTAATTCTGCAGGTACCTTTATATAGGGGTTTAGCAGCATAATCTTTTAACAAAAGGAAAAAGAAGAAGAATGTTTATTTGAGGTTCTTACTACAGAACAAGAATAAACAAAAGTGACATTGTAAAAAACATTACATTTTAGACAGGTAATGTCAAAAGCTATGAATTATTTTACCATTCCTATTCAGTCTCTCTGAAGCCATGTTTTACAAAATTGTAAGTCTGAAAAGTTATATATTTAAGAGGAGAAAGCAGTCACAAGGAGCTATAAAACTTCCTACAGATGACTGATATCACATTCTTTCACGTGCTTTTCTTATTTTTTTTGCCTCCACTTACCCAATGGCACACTTCTTGTATTCATTGCCAGAGAAACCACAATTGCCAAATCTGTCACCTTTGGAATTCACATCAAGGAAACATTCCTTTGGGGCAGCCTTGGCTTCTGTAACATCAAAAAAAAATTTTTTTGGTACACCTGAAACTAACACAACACTGTAAATCAACTATACTAAAAAAAAAATTTTTTTTAATTTTTAATGTTTTTAAGACTTGGCAATTTAATTCAAAAATAAAAGCATTCGCCACAACAGTCCATATGCCTGAATGAACTGCCTCAACAACCATGAAAAGATTTCAGAACCTACAGGTGAAACATTTTGCTCCCACATTTATAACTAACAACAAAATGTAAAGATAAAGCCTGGTTGGTACTTAAACGCTAGCATGGACTCGAACACTCAAGTCCTCAAAGAAGTGTCATTAAAGAAGAAGAAATTATAAATAAATCAAAAACCATGCACAGTATGGCAGCACTTTCAGTCTACTTATTTTCACTGTTCTCACAGCTCCACTGCACCCCTGGTTAGATCAGGCTGGGGAGGGTTGTCGAAAACACTGCCAGCTATTATTTTTCACACAGGGATCAAACCTGCATCTCCTGCATTGGCAGGTGGATTCTTTACCACTGAGCCACCAGGGCAGCCCAATTTACCATATATGGAAGCTTAATTTAGGTATTAATTAAACTGACAAACAGCCATGACACTGACAAAGTATCAATCCATTCTTGTTTTCTTGTATTTTATATGTGTATCCTTTAATGCTCAACTTTGCCACTTATATATATTCCTAAAATATTTTATTTGGAAATATTTTGCAGCCAAAATGGTAGTACTTTCCATATAATGATGGAAATTCATGTGTCTATCTTACACACCTGGTACAATATTGTTCAGTTTAAAAGAAAATGGACATGCACTGCAAGGAGATAGAATAAAAAAAGAGGCAGAGATGAAGTAATCTGAAAATGGATGCAGAATACTTGCACAGGATAAATATCACATGGCAATAACCCTAGCAAAACACACATGCTCACATTTATATAAGAAAATGCAGCTAAATTAATAACAACCCCCTATCTGTAATTACTTTTTGGTCTGCAATAACCTGCTCATCAGGGCTTCCCCTGTGGCTCAGCAGTAAAGAATTCACCTACAATTCAGAAGATGCAGAGACACGGGCTCAATCCATGGGTTGAGAAGATTCCCTGGAGGAGGAAATGGCAATCCACCCCAGTATTCTTGCCTAGAGAATCCCATGGACAGAGAAGCCCACTGGACTACCGTCCATGAGGTTGCAAAAGAGTCAGACACAACTGAGTGACTAAACAGCAACAAACCTGCCCATTAGTGCAAAATATTGATTTGGCCAAAAAGTTTGTTCAGGTTTTTCCATAACATCTTGGAGAAAAACCAATTAACTTTTTGGACAAACCAATATATCAGAGGGCTTCCCTGGTGTTCAGATGGTAAAGAATCCACCTGCAATGCGGGAGACCTGGGTTTGATCCCTGGGTTGGGAAGGAGAAGGGTATGACAACCCACTCCAGTATTCTTGCCTGGAAAATTCCATGGACAGAGGAGCCTGGTGGGCTACAGTCTATGGGGGCGCAAAGAGTTGGACACGACTGAGCAGGTCTCTCCTGAGAGGGTCTCTCCTTAGTCCCTATCTGGTCAAAGTTTCCATGATTCCCTCCTTGGATTTAATTTGCTAGAGCAGCTCACAGAACTCAGAGAAACTTTTACTCACTAGATTACTGGTTTATTATCAAAGAATATATCAATAATTCAGGAACAGCCAGATGGAAGAGATGCACAGGGCAAGGTATGGAGAAAGGGGCTTGGAGGTTCCAGGCTCTCTTCCTGCCTCTCCGTAAGTTCAGTAAGTCCCAAGCTCTCCAAACTGTCCTTTCCGGTTTTTACAGAGGCTTCATTATATGGGCAAATTGATTAAACCACTGGCCACTGGAGAGTAACTCCATCTCCGGTCCCTCTCCTCTCCCTAGAGGAAGTTCCAACCACTAACCACAGGGTTTGTTCTCTGGCAACCAGCCCATCTTTAGGTTACTAAGGGGTTTGCCAAAAAGTCCCCTGATTGACATAACAAAAGACACTTTCAAGGCTCTTATCATTTGGGAAATTAAGTTCGTGCCAGGAACTGAACAAAGACCAATTTTTTTATTTGTTTGTTATAAATCACAAGATTACAAGAGTCAACACAGTTCTACCTAAAATTATAATTAATCCATATTAAGAAGATGGAGAATGAAAAATGAACATGAGTAGGGTTAAGAGTTGACAAGTGTTGGGATAAGAGAAGGGAAGAAATTTAATCCTTATTCTCCACAGTGAAAAATTAACATTTAACACCTAGAATGGAAAAATAAAAAAAGTAGCATGACCAAGGAATTATCTAAAGACCTAGAGCCAGTAACAAAGTAATTAACCAGAAGGGAGGAAGAAAAGGTTAAAGTGGTGGCCTTCAGGGATGGACTATTAAGTGGGGGTACTTTGATGAGTGCGTGCTCAGTCGTGCAACCCCATGGTCTGTAGCCTGCCAGGCTCTTCTGTTCATGGAATTTTCCAGGAGAGAATACTGGAGTGGGTTGCCATTTCCTACTCCAGGGGACCTTCCAGACAGAGAGACTGAACCCTCATCTTTTGCATCTCCCGTATTTGCAGGTGGGTTCTTTTATCACAGCACCACCTGGGAAGCCCAGAAGTACATTTTACTTTTTCATAAAACCTTGATGAATAATTTGACTCTATAATCTAGTGGATGTATAACTTTGACAAAAAAAACCATTTTTTTAAGACACACAAAATAAATAAATAAATATATATATATATACACTACTAGGAAAAGAATGGATTCCAATTATATAACACAATACTCTAATGCTCTGTGATCTAAATACAGCAATATAGACAGAATGCAAAAACATTTTGAGTGAACAATGAAAAGAGAAGACCCATGAGTATATCCCCATACTATTTACATGAGTTTATTAAAGCTAAAGTACAATACTGTGCATGTATATATACATATATATGTTAATATACACAGGATAGAGTGGTGAGAAAGTAAAAGCAAAAATCACCAAATGAACTTGGATGCATCAAATTCATGACCTTGACTGCCTATGGAGAAGGAAAGATGGAGACGTGATAGGAGACAGGAAACAGAACTTCAATTTTAGCAAAAATGTTCAATTTTCATTTTTAACAACTAAAACAAAAAATATATAAATAAAAGCAAAGCAATCAATATAAAAAAATATCTTACTTGAGCCAAAGATGACTTGACACTGAGCATCATAATATTGGCACATGCCATTGTAACAATATGCTTTGTTATTCTGGCAAGGATACCCATTCTGAATAAAAACATCTGGCTGACAGAACTGAGAAGAACCATTGCAATACTCCGGAACGTCACATTCGTTGGTTTTTCCTCGGCACAAAGTGCCTCCTGGACGGAACTAGGATAATAGGATTGAAATTGAACAGGAATATCAGGAAAATTCCCACAAATTAACCAAATTTGAAACCACAGTATGTATATCTATAAGAGGGTCTAACAAAAACAGAAGATTAAATAACCCAATAGAACAGTGAACAAAGGCCAATAACAGGAAATTTATAAAAGGCATGAAATATGGAAAATGAAAAAAGCAGAGCATCATAGATGACCAAAAGAAATGCAAATTAAACAAAGATATAAAAGCACTTTACACCTATCAAACTAACCTGGATTATAACACTGGCTAACAACAAATGTTTAATAAGCGAAGTCAAAATGTTAGTCGCTCAGTCATGTCTGCCTCTTTGTAACCCCATGAACTGCAGCCCACCAGGCTCCTCTGTCCATGGGATTCTCCGGGCAAGAATACTGGAGAGGGTTGCCATTTCCTTCTCCAGGGGATCTTCCCAACTTCGGGATCGAACCTGGGTCTCCTACATTGCAGGCAGACACTTTGCCATCTGAGCCACCAAGGAAGACATGTTAGTAAGAGAAATAATAATGATTATATAGTATAATCAATACTGTACACTGCACAGTTATCAGTGCATTGATTACAGTGGCAAATACAGACTGGCACATCTGTAGACAGTATAAAAATGTCTGTCAAAATTTTCACATGCATACTCTGTTCCAGCAATTCTACTTATAAGCAAAAATTGGAAGCAATCTAAATGTCCATCATTAGTTGACCAGATAAAGAAATTATGGTACAGCCATATAAAGGAACACTAACTGTATAAACCTAAAGAACTAAATGAATAGAAGAAAATCAATAGTATATTACTGAAAAAAGAGCATAGTAAAAATACGTATACCCATGTTTATCCACTTACACACACACACACACACACACATTCATATTTACATAGGAAAAAGTGACTAATACATTATCAACAATGGCTAAATGAAGGGGATAAAATGACAGACGGTCTTTCAGTGTCAACTTTCTATTGTTGAATTTTTAATGAAAAACACAGGTCACTCATAAATCAGAAAAAAAAATGTTTCTACTTAGGAAAAAAATCTCTAGACCATTTGCCATATAAGAAGATGATACAAAACTGCAAAAAAGTATCATAAAATTTTCCATCTAGTCATGTAATAAAAATAGTGCTCTCTTACAGATCAGAGAAAACCAATTTTGATACAGGCACATTTTTCCTTTTCCTATTTTTTTTTTTTCCCAAATAGGGAGGAATTCCGTACCCGACAGTGTTGACAACAGGCACCATATGCACATTCAGCAAATGATTTAAGTTTACAGGTCTTTCCTTCACAGCAAGGATCCGATTCACATTCCTGAGAAGAGAAAAAGACTGTCAATAAAGAAATCATTACCATTAAGACTCATTAACAAAATTCTTCCTTTCAACCTATGCTTCTTTCTAACCTGGCTGTAAGAGGTACTCTGGAGACAAGTCACTTACTATCCTTCTGGATTTATCAGCGACTCCTCAGCTATTATCTAGGTCTCAACAGTATTTCAAAGGACTGAGAGTATGTGTCTTAGTCTGCTGGGATTACCAGAACAAGATACCATAGACTAATGACTTAAACAAAAGAAATTTATTATGTTACAGCTCTGGAGGTTAGAGACCCAAGATCAAAGTCCTAGCCAATTCAGTTTCTGGCACAGACTTGCAGACAGATCCTGGCTTGCAGACAGATGTCTCCTCGCTGAGTGCTCACATGGCCTTTCTTCAGAGCATGTGTCAAGAGATGGGAGCAAGCAAGCTCTTTTTCATAAGAACATTAATCCTATCAGATCAAGACCCACCCTTATGACCTCATTTAATCTTAATTACTTTCCTGGAGGTCCCTTCTCCAAATACAGATATACTTGGGGGTTAGGGTTTCAACACATGGATTTGTGGAACACAAACATTCCATCTATTACAGTATGTTTAATGATCACAGGAAATTGTGAAAGTCGCTCAGTCGTGTCCGACTCTTTGCGACCCCATGGACTATACGGTCTGTGGAATTCTCCCAATCAGAATACTGGAGTGGGTAGCCCGTTCCTTCTCCCATTTCCACAGGAAATTAAGCATCCATAAATGCACTTTCTTCATGCTCAGGGTCTGATTTCTCTGCAGGGTAGGTTTTTACCCACGTGGACATTATGCTGCATGACTTCCCTCACCCCACTTTGGGCCACCATGGCTCTCCACTCCCACCCTCCAACCTCCCACCCAGACACAGCTTCTCTCCTATGTTGAAACTAATGTCTTGAGGTCTAAATTGTTTGTGAAAGGAAGGAGAAAGGAGGAGGAGGACAAGGAGGCAAGAAGGAGGTAGGGGAAATAAGCTTTAATTATTGAAGAATATTTATTTTCCTATGTTACAGAATTCTAGGATGATGGGGTTTTTTTCCTTTCAGAACCATAAATCTGCTGTTCTATTGCATTCTGGCCCCCAAATCAGCCACTATTAATCTATTTGTTCCAGATTTTCTTCTGACTTCTTCCCTTATTTTCTGTTTATCTCAGCACTTTAATTACAATATACCCATGATCAATCTTTGTAATGATTCTGACTTGGCTTTACTTAGTGTTTTGGAATTGTAACTCAATGTTTTCTGTTAAATATGGGAAATTCTCAGCCATTATTTCTTTGAATACTTTTCTTTTCTCCTTCTCCCTCTCCTCTTGAAATTTCACTTATAATTCCATTAGGCTAGCTGATATTGCTTACATGTCCCTGATATTCTGTTCATTTTTTTTTTAATCTTTTCTCTTTTTCCTTTAGATGTGGATTATTTCTTTTGTTCTACTTTATGTTCATTTACTCTTTTTCTGCCATCTTACTCTGCTATTAATTATATCCATGAATCTCACTTTTTAAACTTTTTGGTAAGTTTTATAACTTCCATTTGGTTCTTTATTATACATTTCTCTGCTGAGATTCATCTCTTTACTCATGAAGACCATATTTTTCTTTAATTCTCTGATGATAAAGAGTGGAATATAATTCATGGAAGCTTTATTCATAATAGCAAAATACTAGAAACAACCTAGATATCTTTTAATGGATGAATAGTTTAACAAACATCAGATAGGCCCTTTGTGCTAGTGGAAATACCAGCCTAAACATTTTTCCAAATCTCTGAAGTAACATCCATACAATGGACTGTTACTCCCCAATAAAAAGTAATGAAACAACATAGACTGACCTCAAAAACATTACGCTTAGTGAGAAAAGTCAGCCTCAAAAGGTTGTGTTGTATGATCCCATTATTATTGCAGTGAAAAATATTACTGAAATGGCAAAACCACAGATGGAAGCCAGGGGCAGGGGTAAGGGCCAGAGCCAGGGTGGATGTGATTACAGTGAGGTAGCAGGAGGGAGTTCTTTTGTGTTGATGGAATAGTTCTGTATTTTAATTGAGGTGGTGGTTACATAAATCTCTATATGGCATAAAACTACATAAAAGTATACACATGACTGCAGGTTAAAAATGGTAAAAGCTGAATAAAGTCTGTAAACTATTAATAGTTAACATACCAATGTCAAGATCACTGGTATGATATGGCTCTATCACTACATAATTTGTCACCCTTTGTGGGAAAGTGAGTGAAAAATACATAGGACTCTTTGGACTGTTTCTGCAACATTCTGTCAGTTTGCAATTATTTCATAATAAAAATTTGAAAAATTATCTAAAACCATGCACCATACAAAAAAATTAAGTCAAAATGGATCATAAACCTAAATAAATACATAACCTAAAATGATAAAGCTTCCAGGATAAAACATTTGCAATCTTGGATTAGGCAAAGATTTCTTAGATACAACAACAAAAGCACAACCCATTAGGCACAACCTGGCTTCATCAAAATATAACTTCTACTTGTCAACAGATACTGTTAAAGTACTTAAAAGAAAAGAATAGGAGAATATACTTGCAAATCATATATCTGATCAAGTATTTGTTATCCAGAACATAAGAAGTACTCTCAAAATTCAATAATGAGAAAACAACCCAATTTTTTAAAGGCAGGAAGGAGTTTAAGAGACATGTCACCAAAACAGAGATAGAGATGGCAAATGAGCACATGAAAACACGTTCAAATCACTAGTCATTAGAGAGAAGGAAATTAAAACCTCATTAAGGCACAACTTCACATCTAACAGAAAAGCCAAAATTGAAAAGAATGACCATATGAGGTGGAAGAAAGGACTTAAAAAGAACCAGAACTCAGGTACAACGATTACAAGAATGTGAAATGGTAAAACCACTTTGGAAAACAGTTTGAAAGTTCCTTGGAAAGTCAAATATACACCCTCCATATGTCCCAGTCATTTCACTCCAAGGTATTCACCCAAGAGAAGTGAAAACATAAATCCATATAAAGACTTGACCGTGAATGTTCACAGCAGCTTTTGGTGTGGAAACAACCCAAATACCCATCAACAGATGGGTAAACAGCAGGTAGCATCTCCATACTACTCAATGATGAACAACAATGAAAAGGAATGAACCACTGACAGCAGCATTCAACATGGATGAAGCTCAAAATAACTATACTGATTGAATGAACCTAGATAAAAAAGAGTCATTCCATTTACATGAAATTCTAGGAAATGCACACTAATGACAGCAATATCCGTAGTACAATGACAGCAGATCAGTGATGGCCTAAGAAGGACTGGGAAATGATAAGGGGTGCCAAGCGTCACAAAGAACTTTCTGAGATGATATGTGCATTATCTTGATTGTGGTGACACTTTCACATATGAAAACAGCTATCAAAGCTTAACTTGTATGCTTTAGTACTTTTAGTTGAGACTTCCCAGGCAGTCCAGTGGTTAAGACTCTGTTTCCACTGCAGGGGGTGTGGGTTTGATCCCTGGTTAAGAAACAATGAGTCTACATGCCATGCAGGGTGGCAAAAAAAGAAAGAAAAAATTTTACAAATTTAAAAATTAGAACAAATAAAATAATAAAAATAAATAAATTAAAAATAACAGCAATAATAAATGTTTTAAGGGAGACTTTCCTGGAGGTCCAGTGGGTAAGACTTCCAACACAGGAGGCATGGGTTCCAACCCTGGTCAGGAAATTGAGATTCCACATGCCATGCAGTATGACAAGAAGATCAAAATAAAGATAAAAAATTATAATAATAATTGTTAAAAAGAACTTCTGTGTTTAAAACAGATGTAGTTCATTGTTGACAAGTGTTCATAATTGCCTGTTTCTTACCCTAGCTTTGTCTTGACCAAACTTTAGTGAAGCTTCTTTCTTTCCTGTAGACCCTTGAACTCTACTTGTCTGCACAAAAAAAGATACTTGGTGATACTTGCCCCTCCCCCAAGTACTTGAGGGCAAGTATCCCCACCCTTTATCAGCTTCAGCTTCTCCTGGAAATCACCAGACCACAGGACAACTTCCTATGAGACCTCACTGGGCATTTCCCAACCCCGCTCCCGCCCCATTTGCCCCACCTTTACCCTATAAAAGAAAAATCTTTTTGTTTGATTTTGAGATGCTTCCAGATTTCTGAGATCAGCGTATTCTCCCTGTTACAACAGTCTTTCTTCTGAATAAAGTCTTTTCTTATCTAAGTTCAAATTTGGGGTGTTTTTTTTTACCTTGTATTCAATATACTTCAGTAAGGTTGTTAATTTTTTTTTTTTTTCAAAAATATTATGTAAGACAGACAGATGGCTTCATAAAAGAAAAGAGAATCAGGAAACAGACTATGTATACAGGAATTTTGTTTATAGTGAAACTACCATTTTAAATGGTTTTGTAGCTCACTCTCCACATGACACCCCCCTCCAATTACAGAGCTAATATAAAAAATTTAAATTACAAAAATGCTAGAAAAAAATAATAGAACATAGAGGGGCTATATGATGAAAATCTTGAAACAGGAGTAAAACTTGTACCTTGCTCAGTTACAAAATTATGGGGGGAGGGGGAGGCGCACTAAATGCCATGACATTCTTTTGGTAAAAGTACAAACTGACACACCCTTCTTCCAGGAAACTCGATAGTCTCTAATAAAATAAAAAAACACATGCTTTTCAATTCAATAATTCTACCTTTATGTAATTATCTTAGAAAAAGACTTCTGTGTGTGTGTGTGTATATATATATATATGAACATATACACACACATACTCAGGGCATATACAAGGATATACTGTTCACTACAGAAAAATACTAACTACAGTGAGTGAGTGTCTTTAATGAGAGTATAGTAAAATAAATCATAATATATTCCTTATACTGAAATACTAGTCAACAGATCAAAGGATTATGTCCAAATAACAATGACATGGAAAAAAATCTGCAGGATATATTAATAGAAAAAAATTCTACATAACATACTAAGTCAGATTTTATTTATGTAAAAAAAAATAAAATCCTAAAACAAACCCAACTATGATACAAATATACATACTGTACATAAGTCTATAAACACAGAATAAAATCTATAGAGATACATACTAAACTTATAAGAATAACTACCACAGCAGAAGGAGGTTAAAAAAATATATGGAAGAAATAAAAGTATGAAAAGAATTTTGCTTGTACTTACTATTTGAAATTTCAACACCAAGAAAAATAACTGTGACATTTGAAGGGGAAGAAATACTTTTTTCTAGAGTAATTTGTAGTACAAAAGTTCAAGAAGCAAATACAGACTATTTCAGTTAGTTCGATAATGAAGTAAACAGGAGAAATCAAAACATATAAAAGAATTAAGGAGAATGCCTGGAAAGAAGAGCTTAGTCATCCTAACAGTGTAACATTAATTTAGAGATTAAACATAACCTCGTTAGCCTTTATTTTCCTCATTTGAAAATGAGGGTATAAAGAAATAATGAATCTCCAAGGGTTACTGAGAGGATTATACCATGTAAGACATTAAGCAGAGGTTGCTAACATGCAGGAATAGTGCAATGATGGCCCATCACAATTTCATCATAAAATACATACTGCCTGGGAATTCCTTGGTAGTCTAGTGGTTAGGACCCAGTGCTTTTACTACCAAGGGCCCAGGTTTGATCCCTGGTCAGGGAACTAAGATCCTGCATGCCATACAGCATGGCCCCAAAATAAAACAGAACACACAAAGAAAAACATACTGCCTTTCTAGAATGTGAAGTCTCTGGCAAAAGCCAGGCACTGTGTGATCAGGCAAGGAAAAAGAAATTCCGCTTGTGGAAAAAATTGAGACTATAGTAAAGTTTACACACAATTGAACCAATTCATTTAAAACTTAAATTTAACTTTTTCTAAATTTTTTAAATGTAATTAAAAATTGTTTTCCTCCTTAGCCTTGTCTGACAGTGTTAAGTAGGCCATTTTGACAGGAAAATGGTTGAGATGCAGAACACTAATAATAAAGATGGGTCCAGACTTATGGTTCTAAGTGTGGTTAACAGGTATGAGAAAGCCAGACAGCAGCAGGTGAACTGAAGGTTAACAGAGGGAGAATGCTAACTTGAGTAGCAAGAACTCTGTTAACCAAGAATTCTGCAGAATGGGCCGGCTTCAATTTATTATTGAAATGAAGTCAACTAAACAAATGTTTCTGCAATATTTCTGACAATGACAGAACAGTGAACACTTACAAGTAAAGAGCCAAGTGAAAAACTGAGTTATTCTTTAAAATAAATAAATGACTCAATAACCATAACAGAAAAGGTAGAAGGTAGCAAAAATAGAAAAATAAACACGGCACTTTTCTGCACACCAGAACAGATGACACCATTGGTTATGTTCTAGGAAGGAAGGGATAATCAACCCCCCAGGAACATATTCCCAGAGGCAAAATACCAATTTTCATTTTGCCACTAAATTTTACTTTACCTCCTATGCTCAGTTCAATTCAGTTCAGTTCAGTTGCTCAGTCGTGTCCGACTCTTTGTGACCCTATGAATCACAGCACGCCAGGCCTCCCTGTCCATCACCAACTCCCGGAGTTTACCCAAACTATGCTAGAGTCATGCACAGTGAGCTATTTTATTTTTTGCAAATCCCAAGGTAACTTTGCAAAGCAAACATCACATGTTAAACTGACCTTTGGCGTCCCACAGTCACATTCTTCCCCGGGATCCACCAACCTATTACCACAGGAAGGAGCACTGTAGGCTTCATCACGCTTTGGAATATTGAGAAGGCAGTTTCCACCTTTATTTAAAGTTAACTTCTCAAAGTCATCTGCACTGCAAGAGCTGAAGTTTTTGGAACCTCTGTAATAAACACAAAGAAAAAGATCTTAAGTCATAGCAATTATTCACTTTCAAAATCTTAAGTCATGTCTTCAACCAACAGGAAGTGAATATTTAAAAGGGCAGAGGGGGGCTTCCCTGGTGGCTCTGTGGTAAAGAATCTGCCTGCCGATGCACGGGACACAGGTTAGATCCCTGATCTGAGAAGATCCCACATACTGTGGAGCAACAAAGCCAGTGCACCACAATCACTGAGCTTGTGCTCTAGAACCAGGAGGCCGAAACTACCGCACCCACGTGCCACAGTTAATGAAGCCCACAGGCCTTAAAGCTCATGCTCCACAACAAAAGAAGCCACCTCAATGAGAAGCCTGTGCATTGGAACTAGAGAGTAGGCCCTGCTCATTACAACCAGAGAAAAACCCCCACAACAAAAAAGACCCAGCACAGCCAAAAAACTAAATAAATAAATAAATAAAAATTATTAAAAAAAAAAAAAAAGAAACTGACTACTTGCAAAAAAAGAAGTAAATAAAATGGCAGATGGAATTCCCTGAAAGTCCAATGTTTAGGACTTAACCCTTTTACTTAACACTTTCACTGCTAAGTACTTAGTTTTAATTCCTGATGAGGAACTAAGATCCTGCAAGCTATGTAGTGTCACCAAAAAAAATAAATAAAATGGCAGAAGACACAGAAAATACAAAATCATAAATCTCATCATCAGAAGAGACCTCAAAAATTGTTGCTGTTGTTCAATCACTAAGTCGTGTCCAGATCTATTTGACCCCATGAACTGCAGCACTCCAGGCTTCCCTGTCATTCACTATCTCCCAGAGTTTGCTCAAAAATTATTTAGTCCTATCTAGAGTTAAGTTTATCTTCCACAGTAAAAGTTCCTTCAAAAATGCAAAGCGAGTTCTCTTTCCCCACCCTCTTGTCACTCTACTGAATGACATTCCTGTGTGCCTCTCGCTAACACCAGGAACTATGTGACAATGATGTGAACACCCAGTGAGGAAGCACACACTACTGTCACAGAGAAGCAGCAAGCACTGCGCAAAATTTCAGCTACAGTTTGAGGTTTAATTGCCTCTGATGGTAACTTCTAAGAATTGTAGTTAATACTCTGAAGGCTAGACGGGCTTCTAGAAATGGTCCGATTTGAACTATATATTTATTTTGTTTTTGTTTAGTTACTAAGTTGTGTCTTACTCTTTTGCAACCCCATGGACTCTAGCCCACCAGAATCCTCTGTCCGTGGACTTTCCAGGCAAGAATACTGGAGTGGGTTGTCATTTCCTCCTCCAGGGTATCTTCCCGACCCAGGGACTGAACCCGCAGCTCCTGCACTGTTGGCAGGCAGATTCTTTCCACTGAGCCACCAGGGAAGTCCCATGTTATATTTATATAAATTCAATTTTGATGTGTTTCTATGTGTTGCTGGAGTTCTTTTAGTTATTGTTTTACTCAATAACAGTATTTTTAAATAGTCCCATTGGCTATTTTCACTTTGAAGACTAGTGGGAAACACACTCATCTATAACAAGAACCTTTGAGGAATCTAAGTCATATTAAAAGTTTATCAAAGGCATTTGGTGCCCTGAAAGAACCTCCTTTTCATTGCTTTGAGCAATGGTGCCAAAAGCAGCTGTGGGGAAGAGAACTGTGTTACATGGTAACAACTGAGAAGGCATTCCTATTGATTTCATGTCTTCTGTATATCCAGGGAATCAAAGAAACAGATCCTTTCTTGGGAGACCTTGTCCTCTTGGCAAACTCTTCCCTTGCTAACCAGACCAGAGCCTCCCAGGAAGTATTCAGTCCTGGCTCTTGGCTCTTAGGACTGGAAAGCAGTTACACAAGAGGTAAAGACCTAGCACAAGATTTCCCACAATAATGAAAACACTTGTTTTCCATATTCTTTTTCTTGCTACTCTCTGCTTAAGAACATTGTGAGGAGGAAGAGTCCTTTTGAACAATATCTATTCCTTCAAAAATATTTGTGGAACATCTATTATGTACAAGACACTCTTTTTTGTGCAAGGGAGAAAACAGTAAACAAAGCAGGCCAAAAATAAAATCCCCACCCCTGTGAAGGTGACATTCTACTGAGTGAGACAGACTATAAACACAATGGGTAAATAAATTCAATAATACATTAGAAGATATGTGCCACTGGGGGAAAAGGTGAGCAGGTAAAGGGGATGGACTTTGTTGGGGGCAGAGTGATCAGAGTAGAGTTTTTCAAAGAGCTGTCAGGACAAGGGCTTCAAACACTGGGACAACTGAGTGAAAACTGGCTTTTGGAGTGAAGAACATTAGCGGAAGAAGAAATAGCAAGTGCAAAAGCCCTAAGGGAAAAATCTGCCTGCTATGCTCAAGGATCAAATAAGGAAGCCAGTAGGGATGGAGTTGAGTAAGGCAGTGAGGGTACAATCAGAAAGGTGGGAAGAGGCCAATGCATGAATCTGACTATCTACAATGAGTGAAATAAGGCAGGGGAGTGACACAATGAAAAGAATGAAGCAGGAATCATGTGATCTGATTTATGTCTTAATAAGATCACCAGGTTGGCTATGCTAGGCAGGAATATCTCACAGGAGGCAACAACTAGAAAGAAGGCATTATTACTAATTGACACAGAGATGATGGGGCGGAGCAGGTATTAGAAGCAACAAGAGTGTGAGTCTAACGGATGTCAAGTAGAAATGTCAAACTAGAGCATAAGATAATTATCTGATAAACAAGCAAGACTTCAATTTAAACAGTCGTTTTTTAATTTCTTATTATTTTTATTTCCTATTACTGTTCTTTATATGGTTAATACAACTGCCTGCAACATAGTGTCTGCAACAATGAATATTCCTACATTCTTAATAATCTAAGAATATATTAATTAGCTAATAGTCACAGGAATTGTGCAGACACGTGTGTATTTCCTATACATGAGTCCCTAATTTTAATCTACAGAGTTCACCACTTCTAAACAGATTATTCTTGAAATAAACTTGTTATTCAGTCCTTGGGACACATTTTCTCATAGAAACAATGTTTTATTTGTGTGATTCTAAAGCAATCTACATAAAAATCTGTTTCACACACAAAGAAATTGACTATAGTACTGAGAAGGATCACAAAATCTTCACCACTTCTTATGCAGTTTAGTAAACCAAGATAACAACAAACATCTCCATGTTGGCCTTCACGAACACTTTGGATAATAAAACAAAGATATGCTTTCCCTAGTCATCCTTGGCCGTAGCCAACAGTAATAAGATGAGCTTCCTCTTTTCTTGGCTTGAATACCAATTAAAGCATTCCTACTCTCTATCTATCACCTCTGGGTACTAAGAAAGTAATCTAAAGCATCGCTGCATCTCTTCAGTCATATTGAGGCAAGTTTTACAAAACTGATGCAAAAGAAGGTAGAAGGGATGGAAGTGGTCTATCAGTATGTGACCCACCAAAATCAACTATCATTTAGAACACTGTCTCTATGACTAATCTGGAAATAACCAGAACACAATTCCACCACTACCATCCTAATCCCCATAGCCTAGGAATAGGAAGTCCTAAGAAAGAAGTCTAAGTGATGGCACTCAGACTTTTTTTTTTTTCCAGAGCAATCTGGAGACTTCCCTGTCGGTCCAGTGGTTAAGACTTTGCATTTCCAATGCAGGGGACATGGGTTTGATCCCTGGTCAGGGAACTAAGATCTCACAAGTCACACAGTGTGGACAGGGGAAAAAAAAAAAATTCTTTTTAATTAAAAAAAAAAAAGAGCACTCTGATTATGGAGGCTTTCTGATAATACTGAAGGGCAGAGTTAAGAAAGACCTGTCTCTAGAAAAGACACCACCCAGGAAGACCACCACTCATACGACCAGGCATCTAAGAGCAGTGTGTAAGGAGGATACTACCAGGTCTCTCAAATATCTTAAATAATAAAAATCACATTACAAAGTTAGATTATCTACCTTTTAAACAGAGGTGGCTTCAGCTGATTATCTGGGAAAACTCTAGCAATCAAAAATAAAGGCCTACGTTAGACAACTGTACTCCAACATAAAATAAAAACAAATTTTTAAAATTTTTAAATAAAAAAATTTTATAAGGCCCAACTTCTAACAGTCAACTAATGTTCATTAAATAGCATAGGAAATAGAAGGTGGGAAATCTGTCCTCAAAAAGGAGATTTATTACACTAAGGATAACATAATCTTACTTCTCAAATTATTCTTACAAAAACCTGTTCAAATACAATGTCCAATGCATTATCAAAACATAACACAAAGACACAAGATATTATGAGAACTATTAAAAAAAAATGAAAAGACACTATGAGAAAAAACCAGACAAACTCAATAAAGTCTCCAGATACTAGAATTATCAAACAATAACCACCCAAAAAGAAAATCTCTGCACGCTTTGGTCAGAGACAAAAATGAGAAGCTTGAAAATTTGGGCAGGGAACTAAAATCCACAGCCATAACACAGCAAATTTGATGTGTTTTTCTAAAATATATTTTTTAAACATTTAAAATACTCTGAATTCATCTTACAATTTGTATTAATTTAATTGGCATTTTTCATTCTAAGTGGTATGCTGTAAGGGTATCATAATCAATGGCATCTACATTTGCATAATACAGTATATTAGTAATCATATTAAATATAAGCAGATTAAATGATTCAGTTAAGAAACAGATATTTCCAGGCTGGATTATAAAACAAGACCTAAATGTAGGTTGTTTAGAAGCATATATCTAAAACATAAGAATAAAGAAAAGTTCAAAGTAAAGAAATAGAAAATATACACTATTAACTCAACCAAAAAAGAAAATCTGTGGAAGGTAAATTAGTATCAGGCAAAATTGACAGTCCTATCTAATGCAATAAAAAAGGAAATGAAAGACACACATACTAGGAAAGAAACAAAACTGCCTTTGTTTGTGGATCTCTTTCTGTGGTTGGATCGTGACAGCTCATGCCCAGACCCATGCCAAGTGTCCACATCAGCCCTTCTTGCCCAAATACTACTCCCCTCTGGGGAGAGGGTACTGGTGCTGAGAGCGGGGATAGCACACACATAAAGGGAAGAGAGCAGGCTAAGACCCAACCCTCAGCGCTTGTACTCTGGCAACTTGGGACCAAACCCCACCTCCAATAAGGCAATATTGGCCACTGAGCAGAGAGGAAGTGCCATCAAATACCCAGCTCTAGCTCCAGAACCCCCATCTCCAGTCCCATCCCCTACTAAGGTGACAGCTGTCAGCATACCCTGAGGAAAGACATGATTTGTATTCATGACAAATCCAGCTCTCCCACAAAAATACAAATGACCCGATTTTTTTAAATGGGCCACACATCACATTAACAAATTGAAGAATAAAAACCATATGATCATCTCCATAGATGCAGGAAAAGCTTTTGATGAAATTCAACATGCATTTTTGACAAAAACTCTTCAGAAAGTGGGCAAAGAGGGAATATACTTCAACATAATAAAGGCCATGTTATGATAAATCCACAGCTAACATCCCAATAGTGAAAAGTTAAAAGCATTTTCTGTAAGCTCAGGAACAAAACAAGGATGCCCACTCTCACCACTTTCATTCAACATAGTTTTGGAAATCCTAGCCATAGCAATCAAAGAAGAAAAAGAAGTAAAAGGAATTCAAATTGAAAGAGAAATAAAACTGTCACTCTTTGCAGATGACATGATTCTATAAACAGAAAATCCTAAAGACACTACCAGAAAATTACAACAGCTCATCAATGAATTTGGTAAAGTTACTAGATACAAAATTAACACACAGAAATCTGTTGCATTTCTATACACTAACAACAAAATATCAGAAAGTGAAATTAAATGAACAACCTCATTTACCATCTCATCAAAAAGAATAAAATATCTAGGAATAAGTCTACCTAAAAAGGCAAAAGACCTGTACCCTGAAAATAAGACACTGATGAAAGAAACTGAAGATGACACAAACAAATGGAAAGATATACCACGTTCTTGGATTGGACGAATCAGTATTGCTAAAACGACCATACTCCCCAAAGCAAACTACAGATTCAATGCAATTCCTATCAAATGATCAATGGCATTTTTCACAGAACTTGAACAAAAAAAAATTTTAATTTGTATGAAAACAAAAAAAGAAGGACAGAGCTGGAGGAATCACGTACCCTGGCTTCAGACTATGCTACAAGGCTACAGTCATCAAAACAGTATTGTACTGACAAAAAACAGACATATAAATCAGTGGAAGAGGATAGAAAGTCACAAAAATGAGCCCACACAGTTATGATCAATTAATGTATGATAAAGGAGGCAAGAATATATGATGGATAAAAGACAGTCTTTTCAATAAATGGTGCTGGGAAAACTGGAAAGCTACATGTAAAAGAATGAAAGCAGAATATTCTCTATTTTAAAATTTATTTATTTTTAATTAAAGGATAATTGCTTTACAGAATTTTGCTCTGTTCTGTCAAACCTCAACATGAGTCAGCCATAGGCAATCATATGTCCCCTCCCTCTTGAACCTCCCTCCCATCTCCCTCCCAATTCCACACCTCTAGGTTGATACAGAGCCCCTGTTTGAGTTTCCTTAGACATACAGCAGATTCCCGTTGGCTATCTATTTTAGAACATTCTCTAACACCAAAAATAAAGTCAAAGTGGATTAAAAACCTAAATGTAAAACCAGATACTATTAAACCAGACACTCTTAGTGGAAAACAGAACACTTGTTGACATAAATTGCAGCAATATTTTTTGGATTCTCTCCTAGGGTTATGGAAATAAAAACAAAAAATAAACAAGTAGGACTTAATAAACTTTAAAGTCTCTGCACAGCAAAGGAAACCATAAACAAAACAAAAAGACAACCTACAGACTGGAAGAAAATATTTGCGAATGATGCAACCAACAAGGGATTACTTTCCAAAACATACAAAGAGCCCATACAGCCTAATCAAAAAATGAGCAGAGGACTTAAATAGATATTTCTCCAAAGAAGACACACAGATCACCATCAGGCACATGAAAAGATGCTACATTGCTAAATATTAGAGATACAAATCAAAACTACAATGAGTCATACCAGTCAGAATGGCAATCATTAAAGTCTACAAATAATAAACATCAGAGAGGGTGTGAACAAAAAGAAACTCTCTTATACTGTTGGTGGGAATGTAAATTGGTGCAACCATTATGAAAAACAACGTGAGGATTCCTTAAAAAACTAAAATAGAGTTCCCATATGATCCTGCAATCAATCCCACTCCTGGATATATATCTGGAGAAAACTCTTAATTCAAAAAGATACATGCATTCCAATGTTCATAGCAACACTATTTAAAACAGCCAAGACATGGAAGCAATCTAAATACTCACCGACAGATAAATGAATAAAGATGTGCCGTGTGTGTGTGTATGTATTTATGTGGTATGTATATAAGTATATAATAGAATACCATGAGCCCATAAGAAAAAATGAAATAATGCCATTTGCTGCAACATGGATGGACCTAGAGATTATCATATTCAGTGATGTAAGTTAGAGAAAGACAAATATATATCACATCTATGTGAAATCTAAAACAATGATACAAATGAACTTATTTATAAAACAGAAACAAATTCACAGACAGAAAGCAAATTTATGGTTACCAAGGGGAAAGGCAAGGGGGAGGAATAAATTAGGAATTTGGAATTAACATATACACACTATTATATGTAACACAGGTAAACAACAAAGACCTAGTGTATAGCACAGGGAGCTATATTCAGTACCTTGCAATAATTCATAATGGAAAAGAATCAGAAAAAGAATATGTGTGTGTGTGTATGTGTGTGTGTGTGTGTGTGTGTGTGTGTGCACAGAGTTTCTTTTTTTTTTTCCATTTATTTTTATTAGTTGGAGGCTAATTACTTTACATCATTGCAGTGGTTTTTGTCATACATTGAAATGAATTAGCCATGGATTTACATGTATTCCCCATCTCAGTCCCCGCTCCCACCTCCCTCTCCACCCGATCCCTCTGGGTCTTCCCAGTGTACCAGGCCCAAGCATTTGTCTCATGCACCCAACCTGGGCTGGTAATCTGTTTCACCCTAGATAATATACATGTTTCGATGCTGTTCTCTTGAAACATCCCACCCTCGCCTTCTCCCAGAGTCCACAAGTCTGTTCTATACATCTGAGTCTCTTTTTCTGTTTTGCATATAGGGTTATCGTTACCATCTTTCAAATTCCATATATATGTGTTAGTATACTGTAATGGTCTTTATCTTTCTGGCTTACTTCGCTCTGTATAATGGGCTCCAGTTTCATCCATCTCATTAGAACTGATTCAAATGAATTCTTTTTAATGGCTGAGTAATATTCCATGGTGTATATGTACCACAGCTTCCTCATCCATTCGTCTGCTGATGGGCATCTAGGTTGCTTCCATGTCCTGGCTATTATAAACAGTGCTGCGATGAACATTGGGGTGCACGTGTCTCTTTCAGATCTGGTTTCCTCGGTGTGTATGCCCAGAAGTGGGATTGCTGGGTCATATGGCAGTTCTATTTCCAGCTTTTTAAGAAATCTCCACACTGTTTGCCATAGTGGCTGTACTAATTTGCATTCCCACCAACAGTGTAAAAGGGTTCCCTTTTCTCCACACCCTCTCCAGCATTTATTGCTTGTAGACTTTTGGATAGCAGCCATCCTGACTGGTGTGTAATGGTACCTCATTGTGGTTTTGATTTGCATTTCTCTGATAATGAGTGATGTTGAGCATCTTTTCATGTGTTTTTGTGCCATCTGTATGTCTTCCTTGGAGAAATGTCTGTTTAGTTCTTTGGCCCGTTTTTTGATTGGGTCATTTATTTTTCTTGAGTTGAGCTGGAGGAGTTGCTTGTATATTTTTGAGATTAATCCTTTGTCTGTTGCTTCGTTTGCTATTATTTTCTCCCAATCTGAGGGCTGTCTTTTCACCTTGTTTATAGTTTCCTTTGTTGTGCAAAAGCTTTTAAGTTTCATTAGGTCCCATTTGTTTATTTTTGCTTTTGTTTCTAAAATTCTGGGATGTGGGTCATAGAGGATCCTGCTGTGATTTATGTCGGAGAGTGTTTTGCCTATGTTCTCCTCTAGGAGTTTTATAGTTTCTGGTCTTACATTTAGATCTTTAATCCATTTTGAGTTTATTTTTGTGTATGGTGTTAGAAAGTGTTCTAGTTTCATTCTTTTACAGGTGGTTGACCAGTTTTCCCAGCACCACTTGTTAAAGAGGTTGTCTTTTTTCCATTGTATATCCTTGCCTCCTTTGTCGAAGATAAGGTGACCATAGGTTCGTGGATTTATCTCTGGGCTTTCTGTTCTGTTCCATTGATCTATATTTCTGTCTTTGGTGCACAGAGTTTCCTTTATGGTTCAATGGTAAAGAATTCACCTGCCAATGCAGGTAAACACAGGAAATGTGGGTTAGATCCCTAACTCAGGAAGATCCCTAAGAAGGAAATGGTAACTCACTCTAGTAGTCTTGCCTGGAAAATCTCATGGACAAGTGGGCTAAGTCCCAGGAGGTCACAGAGTTGGCCACTACTGAGGGACTGAGCACACACACACATATATGCATGTATCTACAAGTGAATCACTCTGCTGTTCTCTTGAAATTAATACAACGTTATATTAACTATACTTCAAATTAAATTAACTTAAATTGAGATGAATTAATAATTATAGTAGGGTTCTTAAACCATTCAGATGAAAGAAAATTTATACTGATGCTTTACAGAACATGGCAAATCATTTCCTCCCAGAAATTTGAGTACTGATGAGGGCTACATTCATTGTTTATTTTTAGCATTAAACAAATGTTCCATAAATGGTTTTAAAAAAGAAAAAGGAAGAATAAAAAGAATTCAGTTACTCACGATGCTCCTGAATTCATAATGCAGCTCTTTACAGCACAGTGACAATCTCTCCCATCATCATGACTCATTCCAAGGTTATGACCCAACTCATGAGCAACAATGGATGCAAATTTCTCCACTGGGATCTGCCCAAACTGTCCAAACACAGGAAGGTATGAATTAGGTTTCTGAAAAAAAAAGGTTTTTTTTTTGTTTCTAAAATTACTTTTTCACAAACGGAGATTCACCACTACAATGTTGACAGCTGACATGATAAAGCAAGCAAGCAACATCAGATTGTAAACACTGCCGTCTAGTAAGAAACTGGTGTGACTTAACATACTGATGATGGAGGTAGACCATTTAAGCAACAGATCAGGAGCACCAATGGATTATTCATGGTGGTTGATGGGAAAACAAGCTCATGGTTCTAACTTAATTTCCTGAAATGGAGTCTCTGTTTCTTAATTCATAAAAAGTGAGGCATTAATGATCACATAATAAGTATTAGAAAACTTAATCCAGTCTCTAGGGAAAGAACACATCTGCTATGGCCCTTGTAACACTCAAAATATTGTTGTAAGGACTAGGAGAGGAAAAAACGATTGCTGGACATTTCATAATGCAGACATGCAAAGATGTCAAAAAGAAAACGTACCACGTTAATCCCACCCGCGTGGCTCCTTGAACAGACTGTCCCCACAAACGCCATTCCCGCAGTCCCACCAAACCCTCTTTTCCTAAATGAAGAGAACAGGGAAAAGTTATAAAATGTACTTGAGGAGAAAAAGGTACACTTTGCTCCTATTTCTTTGGGTAACCTTAAACTAATTGGTAAACCTATAAAAACTGGGAGAAAAATGACAAAGATAAATAGCACTTTAAAAATCAGAGTTCAGTTAAAGCCTCATCTCTTTATCTTCAGAGAGTGAAAGTTGACATTATAAGCTCATTTTTCAGACAAATGAAGATATACATTAGATATATCAAACCAACTTGTTTTCCACCTTTTAGATGGAAAACCTTCCTAAAATGCATTATATTTATTTATTCAAAAATTCTAGTGAAAAGAGACAGATAACAAACTCAATGGCATATTCATACAGGAGGCTGCGAGCAGGGAGCACAGAGAACAGAAGAGTAAGAATGGTCTCCAGGTTGCTCCTTGAACATCGGGGACACACCTGTATCGCAGGACCTAGTCCCTGTGCCTTCCCCAATATACACCCATATCACTCCCTCACCTCCTTCAGGTCTTTACACAAAGGTCATCTCTTCACTGAGGCCTTCCTCACCATGTTACTTAAAATTTCAACCTCACTCCTCCAATATTTATTTCTACCTCTACCCTCTCGGCTTTACTTTTCCTCTTTACAATTTATCATTTTTTAGCATACTATAAGCTGTTAGGGTAAAACCCAAATGAAATTTTTGGCTGACCCAATATATATAGTTATTTATCTTACAAGATAAATCTCCTTCAACACAGTATGAATTCCATGAGAGCAAGAATTGTCTCTTTTGTTCACTGCCATAACCAAGGGCCTAGGATATATGCATAACAAACATCTTTTAAATGAATGAATAACCATTCTCTGGGACACCTGACCAGCCAGGACAAGAGGCTGATACTGACATAAGGGGATTGCCATGGAAACATTTTAGCCAGATCACCCCGTAGTGAGTCACATTTATGTCCTCAATGCTTCAAAAAAGGCTTTTTAGTATCCCATTCTCAACTACAACCAATCAGGGATTATCAGATGCCTGAGAAACACCTCTAACATGGCAGCCGAAGACCAAACAGAGAGAGACAGCTTGTAGGTGTGGCTGCGCCAAGCACAGGGAGTGCTTGTCGTCCATTCCTTTTGGTCTTTTGTGAACAAGAAGGCAAACCCACTGTCGGGGTATGAGGACACTTCTGGGTACAATTTTACTAAAAATTAATTAAAATGTCAGGATCAAGCTTTTGTGGTTATGGGATCATAAAAATCCATGTAGGTATTCTCAGTGCCTTACTCTAAATTAACTCGTATGACAAAAAAAATAAAATAAAATCAAGGGAAATTTCACCTCAGAAAAAATTATTTTAGGTACCATTCAACACTGAAGGAGGGAAAAATTATTACATAAAATATTTTTTGGCAAAAAGTCAGCCTATCAATCAGAAAACTTCTAAGAAGAATAAAATTTTTTATATTTTAAGTGAGGGTTTTGCTATAAGCTTTTGGAAAATATCTGTATTAACTAATCACATAAGCTTAAGTTTTATTATAGTACCATGAAAATGCTATGTAGAAAAAAGAAAAATGTTTAAAATATATCAGAAGGATGGCAAAGAGACTTTAAAAACACTATTATATACATGAAATAAGAATTTGACCACATAAAAATTTTAAGGGAAACAAAAACAGCTATTAAACATTAAAAATAAGATAGCTGAAGTGAGAAACACAATAAAAACCTTAGAAGGTAAATTTAAGGAAAAATCCCAGAAAATATAACAAAAAGACAATGAGAAGAAAGGAAACAAAAGATAAAAAAATTAGAGGACAACCACAAGAAACTCAACAGCTGAGTAAAAGGAATCCCTGAAGGAATGAAGAATAAAAATAAAGAGGATGAAATCACCTACAAAATAATTTTGAGAAAAATTCCTAGAACTATAGTTTCAAGACTGAAATTACCCACTAAGAACACAGCACAATGAGTGATAGAAGACCTACACCAAAGCATATCATCAAGAAAATTTAGAGGTCTGGGAACCTCTAGAGAAGATCCTACAAGTTCCCAAAGAAGGAAGAAAAAAAAAAAGGCATATACTAAAAAACAGGAAACAGAATGCATTAAAGTTTCTCAGTGAAGTTGTACTGAGAAAGAACTTATGTAGAAAAAAATTCACCCATTCTAAAGTGATTTTTAAAAAAAGAATGAATTAAGGCTTCTCAACAGTAATTCTGGAAGTGAAAAGACCAATGGCCATGACTTCAAAATTCTGAAGGAAAAACATTTCATGCCAAAAATGTTAGACCTGACAAAATAACCTAAAATGTACAAAACAAATGAAAAAGCACAGCCCTGAAAGAATGAGTTACTTAAGCACCAGGATAATCAGAGGTCAAATTGAGATAAATTTTTTTAATTAAAGTGTAATTGATTTATAATATTTTGTTTCTGGTGTACCAGAGATCATTTTTAAATTCTGTTTTAAGATTGTAAAGCACATTTTCTGACATGATAAAGGTCAGAACTGTTTTCTTTCAATACATCCTTTCACAAGAAGAAACTAGAAAACACGCCATAATAAAATAAGGAAGTACACCCAGGAAAGAAGAAGAGGATGTGGGATAAAAGTCACAAGAGGCTCAACAGAGACAGGTCTTATTAGCACACTGCACTCATTCTACAAAGCAAACTTTTTCCTCATTTAAATGAATGCTCAAAAACCTTAAGAGAATATGATTGCAAAAAAAGAAAAAAAGAAAAAATTATTATTCTGACCATATATCATAAAGGGTACCTTTAAGAAAAATCACTTACAGAATTAGCTGTGCACTGTCATGTCTCCGACGTGTTACAAGAAACTTTTCCCGCCACTGTACGAAGTTTGACAACACGTCGCCAGCACCTCCAGCCATACTGATCAGATTTTCATTTGTCCAAATCTCAAGTCCAACTAGCACAATTCGAATATTTAACATAATGTACATCTGGGAAGAAAACAAATAAAAATATACAATGTTTATTAAAGAATATGAGAACAATTCCTGGGTATATATCTGAGAAAAACAAAAACACTAATTTGAAAAGATATGTTTAACCCAATGTTCACAGCAGCATTATTTACAATAGCCAAGATTTGGAAGCAACTTAAGTGTCTGTCAACAGGTGACTGGGTTCACACATATACACACACACACCAATGGACTATTTACTCAACCATAAATAATGAAATTTTGCCATTTACAACAGTATGGATGAACTTGGAGTGTATTATGCTTAGTGCAATAAGTCAGACAGAGAAAGACAAATACAGTATGGTATCACTTATATGAGGGCTTCCCTGGTGGCTCAGTGATAAAGAATCTCCCTGCCACTGTAGGAGATGTGGGCCGGGAAGATCCCCTAAAGAAGGATATTGCAACCCACTCCAGTATTCTTGCCTGGGAAATCCCATGGACAAGGAAGCCTAGCAGGCTACAGTCCATGGGGTCGCAAAGAGGCGGATACGACTTAGTGACTAAATAACAACAGCATCACATCTTGGTGGAATCTAAAAAAAATATAACAAACTAGTGAATATAACAATAGAGAAATAGATTCATAGATATAGAGAACAAACTAGTGCTTACCAGTGGGGAGAAGGAAGGGAGGGTGTACAGGATTAAGCAATACAAACTATCAGTTACAAGGATATACAAGGATATACTGTACAACACAGGGAATAGTAGCCAATATTTTATTGAGTTGGCCAAAAAGTTCTGTCAGGTGTTTCATAAACAGGTATGAAAAAACCCAAATGAACCTTTGGCCAACTCAATATAATAACTATAAATGGAGTTTAACCTTTAAAAATCGTGAATCACTATATTGTACCCCTATAATATATATAATATTGTACATCAACTACACTTCAATAAAAGTCATATGATAAAATAAAGAACATGAGAATATCTTTGAACTTACAATTAAGTAACATAACCACTTAAAAACAGGATTCCTCTTTATCGAAAATGTTTCCTTCAATATAATGGAACTCTAACTTTTCAAGGGTCTGAGTTTCCTCATTCACAAAACAAAAGTAACAAAGGTTTGAAATCCCTTTTATCTTCCATTCCAAAATCTGACAAACTCTGGATATTTAAAGCTTTTCGTATTTTGGTTCCAAACCTTTCCCTAAACTAATGCAAGCCTATTTACTGTTCACCTTTAGTTCACTTAATATAAATATTCATACATTTCACTACGGAAATATCAATGAGTTAGATTACAAGGTGCTACCCCAGGATCCTTTTGGAGGTGTAAGGTAATATCGATACATAGTGAACTACATGTTATATATATAATGTATAGTGAACAATATTACCTTTCTAAACTCTTATCTAAAATTCTAATGACATGCACCCCAAAGGTTTCAGATAAAGGTTTATAGAACTCATCTCTATTTCACAGAGATACTGTGAGGAATAAATGAGTTAATAAATATGTCACTTGATTCAGTTTTTAGTACATTATAAACATTCAATAGGACATTATCAGTATCATCATCATCATTATTATGTTTGGTATTCATATTCATGTTAGAGATTAAATTTTTTCACATACAAGTGATACTGTATGACATTTTTCTTTCTGCGTCTGACTTCACTCAGTATGATACATGCTCTTATATGTGGACTCTTAAAAAAAGAGGGTACAAATTAACTTATTTACAAAACAGAAGTAGAGTAAGGTGGGGGAAATCAAATTTATGGTTAACAAGGGATAAGGGGCGAGGGATAAATTAGGAAACTGGGACTGACATATACACTGCATATAAAACTAATATGGACCTATTGTATAGTATACTCTGTAAAGGCCTATATAGGAAAAGAATCTGAAAAAAAAAGAGTGGATATATGTATATGTATAACTGATTTACTTTGTTGTATACCTGAAACTAACACACTATAAATCAACTATATTCCAATAAAAACTTTAAAAAGGTACATATATCTAATTCTTCAATATCTCCCACTAGATGAATAAACTCTAAAATCTCAAATCAAATCCCTTCCTCTCTCTCTCTCTCTCACACACACACAGAGTCATATATGGTTTCAGAGCAGGAGACAGCCTTATTTAAAATAAGTCTCTCAGCAAAAATTCAAAGATCTCTTCATAAGTGCCAGAGAACCTCAGTCTATCTACTGTGAAAAAAAAGTCATATTTTATGGCAAAACAAGAAAAATTTACACAGAAAAATTTTTCTCTGCCCTTTGGCCTCTTCTCTCACCCCACTGTGCATTTGTATATCTGCATAAGGCATCAACCAAACCTCCCCATCGGCAGAAATACCTGCTCAACCATAAACAGCAGCATTCTCCTAACATCAAAAAGGCAACTCCTTAAAGATAACATTCCTTCTTGATCTTGCTAGGGCCATGATGACACTTAGTTCTGGATTGTGTAAACTGTCAATAATACCTCACTGAATGCACATTCCTCTGTCTCAAAAAAACTTACATAACTGTGCCTTGACTTCTAATAGGAAAAACAGTTCTCAGAGCTTTCTGAGATGTCCTTCCTGGATTATAATCCTCAAATTTGGCTCCAATAAACTTCTCATTTCTTTCTTAGATCAACTGATGAATTTCTCCTCAACACTAAAGATAAAGTAGACGCTAATTTGAAATCTCTTGTTTGTCTCACTCTCTCTAAAATTATACTTTCCTTTTAAACATAGAAAAGTTACAAAACAAATTTGAGAGCAAACCCAAAAAGACCGAGTGAATTATCCTCTAGAATAATCAGAGCCCCAAATCAGACAATTTTAAAATTCTATTCAGAGGCTGTGAGAGGAAAGGACAGAATAATCCCAGCTGACAGAAAATAAACTTACACTATCCAAATAGTTTGCTAAACTTATCATCTCTTCTCGCACTGCAGTCTGGTTTTTTCCCATATTATCATACTGAAAGGCAAAGAAGAAAACTCATGATCACCAAAGCAATATAAGAAAAAAAAATCTATAATCTCAAGATAAGAATCCAAATACTTTATTTAAACCATTTTCTACCTATGTGGAGAAAGTAATGAGAAAAAATATTTCAAGTCTCCTTTTTTTTAATCACTTGTTCATCATATTCTACTGGAACCTTTAATACATTATCTGGGACAGAGTTCATGCTTATTCACATTGCCTTATGCTTCTTTCTACACTTGAGGATAATAAACCTATAACGAACAAATAAGAATACATTTCTATCTCCTAAAAGTATGGCTTATTATTTTCCAGTCTATATATAATAAGGGTTTTTTAAAAAAAAAAAAACCATATAGATTCTCAAAACTGCCTCTGCAGATTATAAAAAATGACTTGTCAGTTGTGTTAAGTTTCTGCAAACAACTTGGTTCACAGTAACAGCAAAGCTGGCAGAAGTCAGATAAAACATTTCAAATAATCTATAGGTTAAAATATTTAGCAGTTATATCTAAAATTAATAATCTTGTAAATGCTGAAATAAATACATAACTTTTCTAAGTTGAGTAAAGCACAATCTTAAGTATAAATAAGGAAAATGTCCTATGTTATCCTGTACAATGAAATAAATAGTAAATGCTAAGCTGACCCATTCTCCTCTGCTCCCTTCTAAACTTATCATCTAAACTCTGCTCCCTCCTAAGAAGGGAGAAGTTTAATTTTGCAAATCACCCAAAAGAAACAGCGGAAAAACATCACCAGTAAAAATAAAGGTAGAGGTAATGTCAGTGTTACATTCAGTTCTGGACGTATTATGAATATCATGTATGAATATTACAGGGAAAAGTCATTTAACAAAAATCAATACAAATATATTTCATATTTCCTTCAAGGGATCCTCACTTCTCACCTTCTTTTCATGAAAAAGGAGAAAAACTGTCACCAATCCTACCTTTTCCTTCTCTACAACGATGAACAACTCTACATAGCGGGTCTGCGGCAAGATGTCTCTTTTTCTCTGTCAAAAAACACAAACACCATAAAGGAAAACAGAAAGTTAAAAGACTACATTCTTCAGACTACATATAAGACAACTACATATAAGACTCCTATTTTTAACACACAATGATCTTATCCTAACCTCTAGTCACTTGTTTCATGTCTGACAGGAATTTCATAAAATGATTTTTAACACATCCTACATCAGTAAGGCCAAAAAACATGTGTTTTTAAAAGTGATATATGCCATTTGTAGTGCTCTGAGAAAAATTCTAGTTAAAGATAACATGAGTTATTCAAGTTTCCAAAGATAAACTATTGATTCTCTAATGTCAAAACTATACACACATAGACTTATATTTTAATTGGATGTCCTACTATTCTGTCGAGAGTGGAAAAAAGAATATCTGCTAATAACCCAAGGAGAAGGAAGGACAAGGTTTGCACTTTATTTTCTTGTTCTTGTCCTTTATTATTCTCCTTCCAGTTTTACTGAGTTACAATTTGCACTGACATACAAGGTTGCTACTCTTAAAAAATGACTAGTTCTGTGATCTTCAAAAACTTATGTAAACTGTACATATATGCTCAGCCACTCAGTTGTGTCCAACTCTTTGCAACCCCATGGACTGTAGCCCATCAGGCTCCTCTGTCCATGTGATTCCCCAGGCAATAATACTGGAGTGGGCTGACATGCCCTCCTCCACAGGATGTTCCTGACACAGGGATCAAACCCACGTTCTCCTACATCTCCTGCATGGCAGGCAAATTCTTTACCACTGTGCCACCTGGGAAGCCCCCATGTAAAGCATAGAATGAGCTAAAATTTAAGTGCTTTCCAATGACTAAACTTAAAAAGAACCATCCAAGAACCAAAAGAATGAATGGCAGAAGAGATGAAGAAAACAATGCCATAAATTAGTATGAGTTAATTAAAATACCCTAGAAGAGGCACAAGCCTCATCATCTCATTATAGAGAAAGCTGCCTTTGTCTGCAACTGAGGTTCCTCTGGTCCCATAAACAGCTCAGGTTAAGAGACCCCTGTCAAGAGGAAGCCAAGGAATACTAAAGAAGTCTCAAAACATGGATACCATGAATGCCCCAGGAAAACATCTGAGATCATTAAAGTCCTAAAACTCAATCTCTCTCTTTCCCTTTCTGTCTCTCCCTCTCTCTCATTTTAGAGCTCCAGTCTGTGTAAAGGGTATTCACATAAAAAAGTCCACTGCTCTCTCAAAGTCACGGTAATGGAATATTAGAGAGCAATGACAAAAAGAAATACAGTTACTGTTTAAGACTTAAGCCCTCGTTTCCAAAACACATAAGTCTGACTGTATTCAACTTGGTGGCAGGAACTACATATTATTCATCTTTTTATCCCCTGGTACCCATTACAATGCCTGGCACAAAGCTGGCAAAAACACAGTAATAACAGATATTGGTTTAACGCACAAATACATGATTGCTTTTAAACCTGAGTCAGAGCCATGAAGAAATACATCAGTTCCTTACTCTAAGTAGCTGAGTGATGCTAGGAGGCTCCTCTTCTTCATCCTTTGTGATTTCTTCTTCCATAACTGTGTTGGAAACCCCACATTTCAGAGGCTCTTGGTGGACATCATCCATTCGATAAAAGATGTGCTCAAAATGAGAGCTGTTCTGCAGGGGTTCAATCCCATAACTCACATTCTGTATATGCAGCAAGCCTCTAAGTGTTGTATTACACATACACAATTTTTTAGGATGTGAAAAAAAAAAAACACAGGAAAAGGAATTAAGAAACATGAATTCAAGTCCTAGTTCTTAACATATGTAAGAAGGGATAACATGGTCCTGAGAAAAATAGAGAGGTTTTAGAGTTGGGCAGCTCTAAATTAAAAGCTCATACTGGCCTGAAAGTTACTTAACCCCTCTGTGAGATCACTGTATAAAGAAAAGCAATTCAGAATAGTGGCTTAAAAGTATGAAGCCTGGAGGCCAGAGGACCAAAGTTTGAATCCTAAATGTTTCCTACTAGCCTTAGTAGACATTCTCCCTAGAGCTGTCCTGAAAACTATTTAATGAGTGCAAAAAATACTAAGGACACTACCTGGAACACAGTAATTGTTCTACAAGTGTCATAGTTTAGATGGAGGTAGTACTCATCACCATCTCATATAGTTTGCTTGAGAATTTAAAGTAATAGTTATTAGTTCAATCAATCATGTAACCAATCAACCAGTCCAGTGTGATACTGCCAGGCCCTTCATAAATTTAATATTATTATCACTTCACTTGACACATGGTAAAATTTCTCTGAACCTCAGCTTGCTCACCTAAATATGGAAGGAATCAGCCCCTTCTCACAGTCATTATGAAACTTAGATGAAAGAACAGAAGTAAAAGTTATATAAACCTAAAAGGTGACAGAAATTTAAAGTATACTTTGTTTTTAAATAGCAAAATTTAGTGGTCTCAAAAAAATGAAATTTTTTATGTAGGTACTAAAATTCATCACCTGCAATACTGTCCTAAATAAACATGCCAAGAATGACATCTGAAACACAGAAAGACCTTCAGGAACATCAAAGTAAAATCTAAATTTGAGTACCCTAAAATGACTTGATCTGGAGACAGAGATAGGTAAAGGGAAAAGAATTAAGGGAATGAAAAAATGCTGATAAAGAAACTTCCTTACCTGAGTCCAAAACAGTCACTGAGTGCAATGGATGAATCGTAAGTGCCCTCCACATATCCCCGATAATGACAATGATTCTAAATGATTTAAAAAAAAAAGTGTCATCTTCAAAACACTATTACCTTGCTGAAAATCATCATAGAGAGTGCAGAACTAAAAATTATTTAAGGCCAATCAACTCAACTTTTTATTCTATTATTGGTTTAGTCGCTAAGTCATGTCTGACTCTTGACACCCCATGCACTATAGCCTGCCAGGCTCCTCTGTCTGTGGGATTCTCCAGGCAAGAATACTGGAGTGAGTTGCCATTTCCTTCTCCAATTCTATTATTGGCATCCCATAATTATCACATGGCATTCTTTGGACTATCTTCAGACTGTCTACTATCACCCTATGGGTACAAAGAATTTGAATTTCTGCCAAATTTTTAAGGCAGAAGTCCAGAGGATACTAAGTACAAACAACTCTACCTCAATAACCTTTAAACCTAGAAGTGGAACAAGGCAGCATGATGTCATGTTTAACATTTTCAATCACAGATAAGAAGACACCACAGCAGCCAACTGAAATCCAATGCAGAAGAGGGCCTTGTGACAGACTGGTGGCACCAAGGGGGAAAACACTCAGTACGTGGCAAAAACAGTGACTTTCACTTTCCTTTTCTGCCTAAGCATATTGATTATGCTACTATTGTTAGTATACATTTAACCATCATGATAAATTAAAGGCCCTTTATTCTTCATTTTGAGCAAGAAATTGACCAGTGGAAATATAAGCATATCACTTATTAATATCAGATTTTTTTAGTACACAAGGAGATTTTTCTCCTCTTTAAAACACTTTAAAAAAAAAAAAAAAAACAGCTAAGGGGAGTAGGAGAAGGAGGAGGAGGACTAACCTTGCCAGATATTATGACGTATCACCAGCCCTTAATAATTAAAACAGTAGGATCCTGGTGGTGCATTAACTGAGAGACCAACCAGTGAAGCAGAACACAGTCTCAAAACAGACCAAAATACATGTGGAACCTTATATGATAAAAGTGGTTATCTCAAACCACTGAGGAAAAGATGCACTTTTAATAAGTGGTGCTCAGCCCACGGATTAGACATTTGAGAAGGAATAAAAATAGATCCATACCTCACATTATACATATGAATACGCTCCAGGACTGGGATGGGGAGGGAGGTTCAGGATGGGGAGATACATGTGCACCCATACGAAAGCAAAAAATTTTTAAAAAAAAGAAGAAAAAGCTCCAAATGGTTAAATCGAAACACTAAAAAATATGAACCTATGCAAGAACTAAAAGAAAGCATAGCTGAATTCCTCTTTAACCTGGTGTAGAAAGACTTTCTACCACTCAAAATCTTGATGTAACAGGAGGAAAGACTGACCATTTTTACTGCATCAAGAAAATAAAAAAGATTTTAAAACTTCTACATTAAAAGAAACACCAAGAAAAAGTAAAAAGACAACTCACAGACTGGAGGGAATTATTTGTAACTTGTATCATAGCTAAAACTATACTACAGTATAATACAAAGAACTTTGAAACATTAAAGGAGAAAGATTAAATCCAACAGAAGATGGTGCAAAAGAGTTGAACAGACAATTCACAAAAGGTATAAGAATGCCCTTATATAAATGAAAAGACTTCAATTTCACTCATGATAAAGAAAGAACCCATGCATCAATGCTGATATAAACAAATAAGAAGGAAAAACTCTTCTTGACAGTAGAAACCATCAATGCATACAGAGGCACTGATGAAGTTAGGAAATCACCATTTTAACAAGCACCATAACAACTGAGGCAAATATTAAATACTGAAGCCAGTGAGTAAAAATTTGAGAAGTAATGAGATAGTTACAAAGCTCAAAATATCTAGCCAAAAGATTAACTAAAAAAGCAAAAACAGCAACTTCACAAAGAAGAAACTGAACAGACAACTCCTTAATCATCAAGGCTAACACTGTCAGTGGGAAACTACATACAGGACACGGTCATGATAAATACCGGGAACCCTTCAGGGTGGATCCCTGTCAAAGGTGCACAACCCGAATCTGATTGTGTGTAAACATCACACAAATTCAACTGCAGGACATTCTACAAGACGTCGGCCTGCACTTCTCAAAAATGCCAATATCATGAAACGCAGGGGAAGGCCAAGGATTTCCAGAATAAAAGAGATGGGAGACTGCTTGGTGCAACACATGAATTTGAATTTTATTTCACTATAAAGTACATCATTAGGATAATGGACTAAAACAAATATCAATAAGGTCTGTAATTGAATAACAGTGTTGCTTCAATGTTAACTTCCTAATTCTGAGAACTATACTACAGTGACTTCTTTTGAAGTTCTTGTTTCTAGGATATTTACACTGAAGTATTTAAAGGGTAAAGGGACACCAGGTGTACAACATACTCTTCAGGGGGAAAAAAATAGAGAGGAAAGGATAAAGTACATGTGATAAATATTAACACTCGCAGAATCTAGGTTAAGGGTATACATGACTGTTTTCTATTATTCCTGCAACTAATATGAGAATTTCTGAAAAAATTATGCACTAAACAACACAGGCTAAATTTCAACATTTTACAGCTTTTTCCAGTTCAGTTCAGTTCAGTCACTCAGTCGTGTCCAACTCTTGGCGCCCCATGAATCGCAGCATGGCAGGCCTCCCTGTACATCACCAACTCCCGGAGTTTACTCAAACTCATGTCCATTGAATCGGTGATGCCATCCAGCCCTCTCACCCTCTGTCGTCCCCTTCTCCTCCTGCCCCCAATCCCTCCCAGCATCAGCTTTTTCCAGTGTGGGGTTATTTACAACCACTGTTTTTCTTTGTAGTACTTTGAAGTTAAAGTCTAGCTTTGAGTTTGTCTTCTCACCAGAGGGAAAGAAATATCTCTTCTATTACAGATGGGGTAGCACTTACGAAACAGTAACACAGTAACTCACAAAATTAAACTTGTGAGTTAAATTTGTCAGTGAAGCTTCTCATTTCAATTACTATGGAAGGGCTCATCATTTGACATGACTGAAATTTAGCCCTTGATCACTTAATCCACCAGCTTGATGATATTTCTCTAATAACTTGGCTTTATTAAATCATTCCAAAACCTTCCATTTAGTTTTTAAAAAAACAACGAATCTTATTTTGCAAGTTTGCAAAACACCTAACTGCATCCGATGATTATAGTAAAGGTAAAATGACAAAAACAGTTAGGAAACACACAAACTATAAGCGAAAATACTCGACTACTGGGAGCAGGAGTACTCATAACTATCTGAGAATAGCCTCCTGCCACAAGAGCCAGCGAGCTTGGGGCAGTCTTTTCAGAGGAAAGAAGGAGCATTCATTAATAGAGGGAGTTAGTTAAGGCACTTTCTAATACATCTGCAAGGTACTCAAAGGTCTAAGACTAATACTAATTTGGAGTTTTGACTTCACACAGCAACTCATATCAAGTGGTTATTAAAACTGTGTTTCTTTGTAAAAAATATGGCCTTGCAAAAGATGCCGATGATGAAAGCCACATGAGAGATTTACAAATTAATTTAAATAGAAGAATCACAAGGGAAAGCATTTATATTTTTCAGTGTGACTTAACTGCATTTTATGAACATTAAATGTCTATGTCACCATGATATCTCACAATGTTGTCACACACAGAAAAATCCTAGTACCAAAGTTTAATTGCTAGCTCAGATCCACATTCACACTTTTATCTATCTGAATTCAAAATTATTCCATTTTTATCTATCTGAAACTATGTATATTCAATGGCCAATAAGTGAAAGGCTTCATCTGTCTTAGTTTATATTTTTCAAACACCCAAGAAAACATAATTAAGTCGTAATACTTTATAAAAGTTGCATAAATTTCCATATAATATAAACTTTCAATAATAGTAACAAAAAATATTTACCGAGTTCATAGTTGTTGGACTGACTAGTAAATTACTTACCAGTATTGACTCATTTAAACTTCTAATAAGCCCATGAAGTTATAATTATTATTCCCATTTAAAGGTGAGGACACTAAGGCACAAACAGGTTAAAGAAACTTGACCAGCGAATAAATAATAGAGACAGGAATCAAGTCCAAGCAGTATGTGTCACCAAAATCCAGGCCAAGAAACATCTCCAAGAGAAAAAGAATGCCTTTGTAAAAAATCACTGCTTTCATTGAGCGGCATAAATTATGTGGTCTTTGGTCTTATGCTACAGTAATCTTCAGAAGGATGACTAGGTGGATGGATGGATGAATGGATGATCTGCGGTCCGGTTAATGCTATCAATACATTTAAACTGCTCTACTATTTTGCTGTTCAACACCAGACAAACAATAAAACATACAAAGCAACGCACTTTTCAAAAATATAAAATAAAATAAAACAACAAACAGAACACTAAGATAAAAAAATCAGAAAATTGGCCAGAAAAGGACAGGTTGAGTCAGCATTGCCTTTTTTTTAAAAAGTCTCATAAATAATCTAAAATAAAGCTTTTGCCTTCTATTTATTTGAAGAGTGCTGCAAAAGTACAAAACTAACACAAGTCCACCTAGCATAATGTAACAAAACTCAGGGGAAAAACAATACATGCTTAACAGGGGTAAAGATTTCTCCTGAAAATTATAGCAAAAAATAATAATAATAACAGACAATACCTAACTGCCAAAAGGGACTTTAAGACATTCTTTCCAACTAAAATTAGAAATGCTTATGCTCTAATTAAATAATACATAAAGTCAAAGTCGACATCTGTCAATTATTTCACATATTCCTCCAGTTCTATCTTCAGGAATACTCTGTCCTCTGATGCAGAGAAGACCACACTTCTTTAGAAAAGAATTCTCAACAAAAAAGTAGAACGTCTAATAGCAAACAAGTGCTTGTTCTTTACTAATGGTAAGTCAAATGGTTTAATAAGGAAGTTGAGATGTGCTTTATTCATCAAGGTTCAGCAAAATCAAAAATCAAAAATTAAATCAAACTTTTCCCCTTCATGATCAGTAGGGGTTATCATTAAGTAGAAGATTATTTTCCTGGTCTTTTAAAAAAACACTTGACCATGAAGAACCAGAAGAGCTATAAGGTACAGTTTAATCTATGCCAATGTACCCACCACTCCCACCCCAGGACACCACCATATATTATCATATCAAAGGACACCCTCGGGTTACAGTCCAGAGCAGCTGAAGAGAATGCACTTTAAAATTATAATTGTTTCAAACTCTGTATAGGGCCAAGAGGAAAATAAATTACCTGTACATTAGGGTAGTCAGAGATCAGAGCCCCTTCTTTGTTGTAGGTATAAACTACAAAATCTTTGGGTAAAAGGTCTCTGCAAGAAGAAAAAAACACACCATATAAGATTATTTTATCTCTTTACAGCTAAGAACACAACTTTTATAAGACATTATTCCTAGAAGAGATGCAGGAATAAAAACATTCACCTGATAAATTGTTGTTTAAAGAAGGAGCTGCCATAAAACATAAAGCCAATGAATGGACTTGCATCTGAAATCGTGTACATTCCAATCAGAAAGAAATGTTTGAGTTGCGCTTCTGTTCTCATGGTCATAAAACACTGATTGCAAAAAACATTTGTAATGTCCTTAAAGTTTTCTGATTCGTCTCGTAGGAAAAGTATAAATTTGGTTATATCATATATCATATTTTCAGAAGAAAATAAATTATTTTACCCTTTTTTAAATGTCCTGCATAAAGAAGCAGCACTCATTGCCTTTGATCTCTAAGTACAGGGGCAAAATTTCTGTCCATTATTTAAAGAAGCAATTATTGCTGATTCTTGAATCTTCCTCCCATGCTAAGGGAGATCCGCAGTGTAAACCACATGTGCAAAGACAGGGTTAGCTTTATTACCAAAAAAAAAAAAAAAATCCAATGACACTTGAAGACAGTAAAGCTGACTTTATTATCAATGTTAAGAATAGGGACCACTGCAAAGAGATTTTACAGGGGGTGGGGAGAAAGAGCAGGCTCAACTGCAAATACAGCATGGGCAAGTGGGAATTTTCAGCCAAGGAGCACAGTGGGGGTCAGTGGATGGAAAACTCCTAAGAGGAAACATCAGGGGTGAGGAGCATTCTGGCTAAACCAACCTAACAAAGTCTTGCTGAAGACAAGCCAGGGTAACCAGACATCACTGGGCAGGGAAGTGGGGTGGAGGATAAAGAACTTGATCAGACATCCAGAGTGATCAGATATGGAGGGAGAGGGGGATTTTTTTCTAAAACTAGATTTTACAACAAACCACACTGATAGGCCTTGGAGAAGGTTCTGGAACCTAACTGATGTTTGGTCAAGCAAAAAATCTTTGTCAGTCTCCTCTCTTGTTTAAGGAGAGAAATTATATTCTTCTTTCCTCTGAATAATACAAGCCCATTTCCTCATTCAGTTGTCTTTTGTTCATTACAGACCAGCTGAATCATCTGTTGGAACTTGGTAGAAGGGGATATTTACTGGGTGGAGCTAGCAGTCAGGCAGTTAATGAGGGGAGTTTCTATGAAAATAAAAGAAAAACAAAGCTGAATAGTTAGAAACCGAGTTTCTGAGCTCAGTGGGCAGCCATCAAGATTTTTTTACACTTGAACTTAGGGCATCTTCAGATAGTACAGTGAAAGCGGCACTGGCCACCTGACCAATTTTCCTGGTTTGAATGTCAGTGGTGACAGCATCAGGTATTCTGATGAACTTCCTGAGTGGCCCACACCACAGGAAGCATAAAGATTGCCTACATGTGATCTATTCAAACAGACTTTTTTTTGAAGGCTCCATCAATCTTCCAGCTGCAGCTTAGAGTTTCCAGAGAAGGGCGAATTTAGTTCTCAATGACTCCAAGTCAGAAAGGATAAAAATTGGAAATGATAACTTAGAGGGTTATAGCCAGATACTGAAGAAGAATTCGGGATTTGGTAAAGATGGCAAAATATGCAAGATGAAAGCAGCAACAGTTCACTACTGTTTTCCATTGAAACAAACAAAAAAACCCACATTCTCTCTACAGTCACCCCCACTTCTGTGAAAGATAAAGTAAGACTAATTTGTTTGCACATGAGTCTGGTCTCATTAAATCTGGCCTAGTTATTCACATAAGTACAGTAAAAACAGTGATTGACCATATAGTATTTCATTTGAATTTGCTTTGCTACAGCATTTCAGAAGGAACCAAAGACTCTTAAGGCTAGGAAGCCAAGTCAAGAACTTGCCACCAGATATGCCTACAATATCTATAGATTTGGGTAAACTCTTTTCTTGAGGTCCCCCAAATATCCTGAGGTTCCTGGCCCTGCCACAAATGATCTTCCTTACTCACCTGTAAGGCAGAAAATCCTATAAGCCAGAACAGGCCAGTTTTTTCAAGGGGAGCTGTATAAACATTGCCTTCTTAAAGTCAACCTTAGTTCCTTAAAGCTATCTGGTCGTATCTGATTCAACACACATCATTCTCAAATATGACACTACAATCAAAGCCCTGGTAATAAAACCAAGGTTTACAATTGTTTCTTGTTACAACAAGGGCAGATTTTAACTGACTTCTGCAAATAACTATACTCCTATGAAAAATAAGATGCGTTAACATATCAAATAAGCCTTATTAGTTCAGTATCCCTTTTTGTAAGGAGAGAAACAAATCCTTTGAGATTTTCCAAGATCCATTTGAGAAATCTCAAAGTTAGTTTGAGGTCAAAAAAACTCCAACTAGAACTTGATTTGGGGAAATTTTCAAACATGCCAAAAGGTTTCAACATTTGACTAAACTGGATCACAAGTGTCACTGAAACAACACTTAGCTGTCCATTTAGCCAAAGTCACAATTAAAAAATTTCAAAGACAAACACAGAGAGCTACACAGTTATTTAAAAAAAAAAAAAAAAACTCAGTTCTCTTAATACTGAGATTTGGTTTTCTCACATAATCAAAGACCTGATAAACACATGTCACATAGGAAATTATCTTAAAACACATCTTATCTTCTCAAGCTATGTACTTAAACATAAAGAAAAACAACTAAACCAATAATCTAAGTAAACCCTGTTTTAACAGAAAAAAGAAAACCAAATTCTGGTTTTGCATCAATGTACTATTAATACTAGGCAAATTAAACAAACTAACAAACAAACCAAAAAACCTTACAAATAAATCCATCCAACAGTTTCCAATTTTGACCACACAAGGAAAGATTATTTTTCCAAGGTCCCTTTTCCACAAATTTTTTTATATCACTCAGTTTTTGTTCCACATTTTTCTTCTTTGTCATTCTGGAACAACCATTTATTCTACTTTGGGACAAAATTATTCTCTTTTTCCCTTAGCAAAACATATCTTTTATATCCTTCCTTATCAAAAATACACCTTATTTTCCTTGCATATAGTTCGTTTTCTTTACCTTTATTATTCCTAATAGCTTCATTTATGTATATTGATTAGATTTTAGTCATTAGTAATCCTAATTTTCAGTAAAAGCTAAAAAGCAGGCAATTGCGAAATGTCTGCTACATGCTATCATTCTGTAGAAAATTTATTAATACATTTCATAATTTCTCAAGATGTATCTTTTTCATAGTATAATTTCTCATGCTTATCAACAGACACAAATACATTTAGCTTCTCTATACCACATAAAAACAAGATGCCAAAGTAAATAAAATTAAATTTTTCTTCAGCAATTAATATTTCAATATTTTATCTTATTTAGAAATTATCTAGTCAATGATCATCCATCTTTAACTTAGTATAGCTTTTAGGTTTCAAGTTAAGAAAAAAAACTTTTGAAATCATTTTTAAAGAGACATAAAACTTAATTACCATTGAAAAGTTCACTTACTAACTTCTATGCCACTTACATCTATTTATTTTATTTGTTCTGAACAATTATTCTTGAATGAGTCATGAAAATTTCATGAGCCAGTAATTAAACAAAGCTAACTAGCGATCCACCATATTAAGTTGTTTTTCTTATTGACAAATCAGGCAAGTATCCAAAAATTTAAAAAAATCACAAAAGCAAAAAAAATTTTTTTTAATTATATATTTATGGTTCTTCCCCCTTTGTTTTTAACTGCCATGCTTGACATCAAGCAATTCCTTTTTTATTATATATCTTGTTCTTCAGGTCAATTTATAATTTATAATCTTAAACATCTGGTAGAGATAACAAGCTTATCTGAATAGTAAACAAAGGTAGGAAAAAACTGCATATCTGCATTACGTATTTGACAACTCTGAAGTTGTCAGAGTTTATCAACAATTGTATCTTCACTATAAAAACCAGCAAAAAGATTATTCAAGATCATGTGAACTTAAAAAAAAAAAAATTTGGGTTAGTGTCTGTATTCCCGAGAGTTTTAAGAAAATAATTTATATAAGTGCTCATTCCACCTCTAAACCTATTTGAATTGGATTTTTTACGGGATTTTATAAATTAATGTGATTCATTTCCAGCAGGAATAAACTATCTCACATGTATAGATACACATAGACATATATAAACATACAGACAGACACAAATAGAAAACATGGCTTTCATTTTAAAATTTTAGCCATGAGTTAGTAAAGCAGCAATATAATCTCAGTGGTTTATCTCCATTTTGTATTTTCAACTGAATTGACTCTGGCAAATAAAACAAGTTAAGGTTACCTGCCCATCAGTATTTCTGGAGGAGATTTTCAAGATTTTCTTTCACCATGGTATGTAATCTTCCTTTGCCGTGGTCTAAATTTTAGGGAGGTGACTGAGGAGACATCTTACTGCTTTCTGGATGTTTCCAAAACCCACGTGAGTCATACAACCTATTTCCATTTGTTCTTTTCAGACTCAAGTAGAGTTATTTTCAGAGCTACTTGAGTTTCATGAGAGCCCCTGATGAAGGACAAGGAACTAAAAATGAAAATGACTGTGAGAAGCTGAGGCGCTGCCATGGAAGGGGAAAGTCTGAAGTCTGTTGGGGGTAGACAGAGGGATGGAGGAGGTGGGGGTTCAAAGTGGGACATATCGAAGGATCTAGGGAATGGGGTGGCAGGGGAGATTGACGGTAGCAGGAAGAGGAAGGAGGAGCAGAAGCAACAAGGAGGGAGCAGTCAATCTGCTCTCAAGTTTCCCAAAGACACTAACAAAGTTCCAAATTATGCTCAGCAAAACATGTTAAGAAGAAAGGAAACAGACACAGCTGGCATAGTAGAGAGTCAGCAGGATGGGAGAAGAGGTGGTTTAGTTGGCTGAGAAGTTCCAATGGGAGAAGCCAGAGACAAGGAAGAGAAAAGAGAGACCTCACATAGAGCCAAGAGGAAGGGATTTCTAGCCCAGGGAGCCAGGGAGTAATCCCCAATCAGAACAAGGAGCCACGGAGAGCTGCCAGCCCAGGAAGTACCTGTCAAAAGAAGCCTGGGACTCTGACCCAACTTCAAAGTATACACTCAAAATCTTAAGAATCAAGTCTATCTTTACCAGTTTCAGTGGACATTTGTCTGGAGCAAAGGTTCAGGAGTCAGACTCACCAATGGATCCCCAATCAGTCAGGACTGAAGATGAGTGCTTTGCAGGTGCATACTTAGGGTCCAGAATGAGAGGTCGGGGGTCCAGTGATGAATCTGATCCTACCTGAGTCATGCCACCATGACTATCAAAGAAAAATATATTCCATGACACTTGTTAAAGATGGTGAGGCCAATCTTATTTAGGGGTTTGGCAGAAGTTATGGGGACCACTTTAATGGGATTTTATAGTGGGGGAGAGAGGTCACACTCAACTCCAGGTACAGCAGGTGGGAATTTGTACCCAATGAGCAAGGTGGGAGGTCGGTGGGTACAAAATTACTAAGATGAAACACCGGGGTGAAGGAGGCTCTGGCTAAACCAATCAAAAGGATTCTTACTGAAGACAGACCATGGTGATCAGACATCACCTGGGAAGGATGGTGGAAGATGAGGAATTTGATCAGATATTGAGGGTGGGGGGTTCTTGCTAACCTCACTTAGCAGGGTTCTTGCTAAAACCAGATTTTCCAACCAAGTGTACAGATGGGGCCCAGGGGAAGGTTCAGTAGCCTGACCAAAGTTAGGTGAAGGAAAGGCTCTGCGTCTTCCACAGCAGAACTGGAACAGCAATATACTTATCTTCAGGGCTTACGGACCTGTCAGGGATGCAAGGTGCCAGCTAGTCATTTACAATGCGACTCTTAAGGCTCTAAATCTCCAGGCGTCTAGACTGTTTTAAGAGATGGAGAGATGGATGGTTGGCATGCCGTTTAATCAGTTACACAGCCTGACTTTAGCCACGTGACCAGTGTGGTATAAAACAACCCCCTTGGTAAACACGTGCCTAGGCTACCCTGAAAAGGTGACGATTCACTCATATCTCGGTGATGTGTAATCTGAAGACACATGCACATCTGTACAACTGAGAAAAGACCCGGAAGGACCCCGCCTGAAGTTCTTGAACCTTCGATGATTTCCTCTGCCGTCTTCGTCCTGAGTCCTGTCCCCTTTACCTTTATGAAAGTCTCCTTGACTGAGCGCGGGAGAAGTCTGTGGAGTCCTGAGTCCTTTCAGTTATCCAACCACGGTCGGTCAATGCCCTGTCTCTCCTCTCTCCTCAACATATACACACTCTTTGCTCCCTCTGGTGGTGAATTTAAAAAGAATAAACTGAAGAGGGCACTTGGCCTTGTTCTGCCCTTCTTCCTCCTTAGAAGTCACCGCCTGCCAGTGAGAACAAACTCCACCATGCTCCTCTAGGAGAAGGACTGCCATGGTGCAGCGCTGACGTGAGCGGCTGAATCTGCCTAATCCGGGGTTCAGGACTCGCAGGTTCACTGGGCTCTCATTCTCTGGTAAATCCCCTAACCCAGCCCTCATCAACCATGAGAGGGATATTTTAACCTTCTATCTAACTCAGTCCTTTATTTTATCTTTAAATTTTTTCAGCACAGGGAGAAAAGAGGTGTGCTATCTTCTGCCACACAACACCCCAGTCCTGGCCAAATACCCCAAGTAAGTATGTACATCCCTCTGTAAGGAGGCTTCATTGTTATCACCAAGGGATTCATGGTCCAAAATAAGTTAGGCCATGAGAGGAAAAAAGTAAGCACTCAAACAAACTCATTTCTTCACTCAGAGCCATAATAGGCTATCTACCCTAACTCTTTCTCACTAGTGACCATTAGCTTTGAAGACTTCTTCTCAAAGACATACAAAGACCTGGCAAGTCTTAACAAATGCCTGGGAAGTACCATTTGCCCCCCCAGTTCAAGAAGCGTAGGAATGCAGACACAACATCACACACACACATATACGTCACTAGACTTCAGGTCAAAGGACTAGGATGTCTGCCCCTTTTACAAACTATGATGCTGCGTAAATCAAGTAAACTTCTTGAACCTTAGAATTCTGAGTATGAAGCAAGAATCACAAGACTCCTCTATTATCAAATTGATATGACATAGAGGTGAGGAAAATGCTCTATAAGCTGAAACTAGGTGAATATAAGAAACTGTTATGTTGAAATCATTTTAATTTGCATTTGCTAGGGAAAGAGTAGGAGAAAATATTTATATCTATTAAAAATTCTTGTACACAGTGACATCATTACATTGGAGACAAGCTGGACCTCAGGAGTTCTGAGAAAATTAATAAGTAATACAATTAAAAGTACCGGGTACAGTGCCCAGGACACAAAAAGCTTCTCTGTCCAAAAGTATCTGTCACAGTGCCTAAAGCTCGCCAGAGAGATCTCACTCTCTTCAGTTCAGCATTCTCTTCTAAGATAAAAAGTGTTATTCAAACTTGAGGGTCGGTAAAAAAAAATCGCCCAGGATGGAGGTTTGTTAAAACACAGATGGCTGTGACACCTCCCCAAATTCTGCTTCATTCCAGGGGTGGACCTGAGAATTTGCATTTCTAGAAAACTCCCAGAAGCTGCCGCTACTGGTTCTGGGAGACATCTCTGAGCAGCACTTTACATCCCGTCATTCACACCTCTGTGTAAATGGGTCTATTAGGTGGCTTTTTTCTGAAATCTCTCACAAAAAGATACTGAAGTTTAGCTTCCTAAGAAAAGGGAGGGCAGGGCAGGATGGGCCACAAGACAGTGGGTGGCTCAGCACAGCCAGAAGCACAGAATTTCAAAAAAGCAACAGAAGAACACAGATTACCAAGGCAGGATCAGGTGAAAATATGCCAAAACTAAAAAGGAGGGCAAGAGACCACTCTTATGGACTGAATGCTTGTGTCCCCTCCAAAATTCCTATGCTGAAGCCTTAACCTCCAGTGTGGCTACACTTGGAGATGGGGCCCACTAAGGAAATTATGGTTAAATGAGGTGATAAGGGTGAGGCCCTGAGCCAATGGGATTAGTGTCCTCATAAGAAGAAATACCAGAGAGATCACTCCTCCATCTACCCACCTCCTGTGTACACAAGCCAAGGAGAGGCCATGTGAGTGCCAGCCAGAAGGGTCTGCACCTCAAGAAGAGAGTCCTCACCAGACATTAATGCTGGCACCTTGATCTTACATTTCCAGTCCTGGGAGAAAATAAGTGTCTGTTGTTTAAATCTGTAGTATTTCACTGTGGCAGCTCTAGCAGACAGATAAAGCTACTAAAGACTTCTTTACCACCTGCTCAGTGGTTTCTTGGGCCAGTCATGATTTTAAAGTTTTCTTAAGTACAAGCTTCTCTTCCTTTAATTTAGATTTATTTTCCTTTGCTCAAGTGTCAGTGGAAATGGAAAACTGTAGGGATTTTCCCACACTTCTACTCTTATTAGTCTCACCTTCTTAACAAACTACTAAGCAATATCTAACTAGAAAAGAAACCCATATAGTATTGAAAAAAGAAAAAAAATTACCAAAAAGGTAAAGTAAATTAAATTTCTTACTTATTCCTTTCCAAGTGAATTATATGCTCTTTTCCTTCAGCTTGAATGACATAAGATACCTAAATGCACAAAGGAGAAAAGAACAATAAAACACTATCTTCTAAATAACTTTGAAACAGGTATTTAAAGGACACTAGAAATTCCACCCTGAATGAAAATAATTTGGCAATGACTGGAACTCTTTTATGAAACAACCTGAAATATGCCCATAAATAATAAAAATAGACTCTGATCATCCCTACCTTCTTTTAATAACCTACTGTGGAAAACGACCCGCATGTTTATCTAAAGTCTTCTTCAAAATTCATTTACAGTTGCAATCGAGCTATAACTTCAGGGATTATTTTTACTAAGTCCATTCCTATATTACCTATAGTAAAAACTAATTCTTCCTTTTGTTTAAACCTAATGAACCTCTTAGTTTCAAAAGATTATCCCTCGTTCTGGGTATCTGAAAGCTAGATGAAATTAATACACGTTTATGACTTTACATCTTCACAGGACTTAACACATTTCATCAGTTCTAAACCTACTTTTTCCCCTCACATCTCTGTGAACAACTCTGAAATTGGAACATACCGTACAGAGGCAAAGTGGTCTAACTGGCAGCAATCTGTTTCTTTCTTAATTACTGGCACGTTAAGTAACAGTGTACCTCATGAAGACTGTGTCTCAGAATCAAAGAACTGAGATAAGTCAACTTACATATCCTCTGCTTGTGGGATCCTCTTCTCTAACTTAAACACTAAAATAACGTCCCCAGTGACTCACCGTTTCATTAGCCAGAAGCACTTAATGTGATATCTAGAAACTTAATTCTAATAAAAAAGATAGCCATGGAGGGACTCAACAAACAATAAAATTACCAGAAGTGTCCTTACTATTAGAATTAAGTAATAATCAAACAATAAGTGTTTATTATTCTCCCTACTGCTTCTGTACTCCAAGTGAACACTTTGCCAAGAAACAGCAGGATCCACTTTCCTCAGGCACTTCAGCATCTGACTCCTAAGGCTGAGATAGGATCCACGTCCTGGGGTTCTACTTCCAAATTCTGCATGGGGACCTCCATCTCCAGAGGCAACAAAAATACCAATCTCCTTGCACAATTTTGGCATGTGTCTTTCTATTCCTTTCTGCTCTTGGGCAAATATAGGATATAAAAACACCACTGTCATCTCCCCTGAGAAGAATTCTGAGAATTTATGATATTACATTCTTCCCCCAAATAGCTGCCTGCATTGCTCATTCCCTTCCTTCTGGTCTTTGTTCTCCTAGAGAGTCACCTTCTTAGGAAGGTCTTCCTGGGCTGTCCTATTAAAAAACACAAACCCTCCTACCCATCACCCCCAGTTCCAATACTCCCCAATTCCTTGCTGCGTTAATGTTTCCCACAATGATTATTACCATCTTGCGTGCGTGCTAAGTCGCTGCAGTCGTGTCCGACTCCATGCGACCCTATAGACTGCAGCCCGCCAAGCTCCTCTGTCCATGGGATTCTCCGGGCAAGAATATTGGAATGGTTTGCCATTTCCTCCTCCAGGGGATCTTCCTGACCCAGGGCTCAAACCCACATCTCTCATGTCTAATTTGCACTGGCAGATGGGCTCTTTACAATCTTAAGTAATCTCTATTATTAATCTTACAATTATATTACTTATTTGTCTCTCTCTCTCCTCCCATGAGAATGGAAGCTCCACAAGGACATAATTCTGTCTGTTTTGTTCAAACCACGTCCCCAGGGCTTAAACGGTGCTTCCACCTCTCTCCTGATTATTTATCAAGGTACATGCGGGACATTCACTACAATCTCAAGTATCTATGTGTGCAAAGCTGATGAAGATCATCAGAGATATGATGAAGTAGAAAAACATTGTCCCTATGCTACTAAGTGAAGGGGGAAAATAACAATGAAAACACAAATTAATAAAGGCAAAACAAAATTGAAGAGGAGAATGTCCAGTTCAAAACAAAGCAAGGAAAAATTATAAACTGTTCCACTGGAAGGAAATCTTAGAGTTATATACTCCTTACTTATAATGAAGTAAATGAAGACAAATGATCTACCCAATCCAAGGTAATGCCCAGAGGGAGGGTAACTCTGAAAGTTCCTGATACTAACTCCAGTGTCCTCTTCACTCTGCCTAGTCCCTAAACAATGTATGACCTACCTCATAGCTAGAAACACTTTGTCAATTCAGAGGTAATAAGCTAAACTCTTTATCCTCATCACTTGTTACTGGTAAATCATAATAAAGTTAAATTATACTTTGATGAAGTTGAAGGGTTTGCAAAATCAGCTGATATCCAAATACAATATTTCTGAACTTCACAGTAAGAGAAAAATAGCATTATTGAAAAATAATTTTTGTCCATCATTAGTATAGTATGTTTCTTCCGATATGGCAATAAAACTCACTTTTGCAAACATTCCCAGATATAAAATACATGCATATAACACACAATCTCCAGTGTCAGTGAAGATTCAGCATGCAGTACTCTACCTGTCATACACTGAGAGAGAGGTGAACTCTTGTTGTAAGAAGACCACTGTAACCATCACCAGTCAGGTAGGGGTCAGAGGTCTATGTAACCAGCATCCTATGCTGGTCATAGACTTTTATTTAACTGACTTTTTCACCCACTTATGTTTCAAGTTGATTATTTTGTCTTTAAAAAGAAAACAAGCTACTAAGAATCAATATGTCACTTTTACTAGAATAATGTCCAATGGACACCAGTGCCTTAAGCCATGGACCAACATTACTCACTGAACCAATCACTGATGAAAATAACATTCTTGTCTTAAAATGAGTGAAACTGAAACACATATTTCTCAAGAGACAACTTACCTGCTCTGAGAAGGGCCTCGGGGCTTCTCTTCGTTCTCGAGTTAATCTCCAAGGAGTTACAATTTCATAAGAAGAGAGATGGGAGGTCTGGTGAAAGCCTACAGAATAAGGAACAACAAACATTACATAACAGTTGAACCTGAAAAACTACATGCCTCCCAAAATACAATGGAATCAAAAGCCAAATGTTCAAAAAAAAAAAAGCTGAATGTTCAAATCATAGAAAAATCATCTGACATTCTCACATTAAAATACATATAGTTTTAGAACTTTTCTGGTGGTCCAGTGGTTAAGACTCTACACTGACAATGCAGAGGGTGTGGGTTCGATCCCTAGTTAGGGAATTAAGATCCCACATGCCATGCAGCACAACCAAAGTTAAGAAAATAAAAAATTAGTAATAAAAAATAAAATATTCAGTTTTATATAAACTTTTATAGGAAAATAGCAATATACTAGATAGTATAAGGGGGAAGAAATGTATTTCTTAAAAACAAGGATGTCAGCCTTTATCCAAACAGTGTATACACAGCAATCATCTTCAAACAATTTTTTAGCTATAAACCCTAACGCTCTGTCTTAAAAGAAATCTTAAAGATATAAACACAAGGGGAAAAAAAAAATGCTTCCGTGGGGAAATGGAGGGAAGGCTCTGTTCACTTCTCTCTCATTTTCCACCTTCACCCAACATGAATGACATCCCATGATGGTATGGGGATGCCTACAAAATGGTCAAGGACAATAAAAGGAAAAAGTTACTTTTAATGCCTGATGTATTAACTCTAATAAGTAAACACCTAACAATGTAGCAATTATCTCCAATGAAATTACTACTATTAATCTGTTCTAAAAACCTGAGTAGTTAAAATGTATAAAAAACGAAGAACTCAGAACCATCATACAAGACTTTCTCCCAATTCCAACCTGTACAGCTCACCACAAAGTGGAATCACGGCTGAACCAGGCCTGGCTTCTAAAATCATCACTTGAAAGGGGAAAGGGGTAACCAAAGAGTGTGGAGTTCACAGATACACACCACTGTATGTAAAACAGACAGCAACAAGGAACTACTGAAAAGAAATCTGAAAAAGAATGAATATACATGCATATATATACACAGATATGTATATAAAACTGAATCACTTTGCTGTACACCTGAAATACACACAGCATTGTAAATCAACCATACTCCAATAAAAGCTAAAAAAATAAAATAAAGGACCTTGTGCTACTGAATAGCATAAGGAACTAAATTCAATCTTACAATAATCTATAATAGAAAATAATCTGAATATATATGACTGAATCACTCTGCTGTACCCTTGGAAATAACACAGTATTATAAGTCAACTACACTCAATTTTAAAAAGCAAGATCTACCTAAGAGAATAAAAATGAAAATAAATAAGTAAATAAAACAATAAGCACAAAGTCATCTTGTTTCATTGTCACTGAAGTAATCAACCAGGATTTATGTATAAAAACAAAATTTTACTGTTAGGATCCCATTTGGTATTTTTGAAATTATCAAAGGTATTAAATAATCATGTATTATTTGAAAAATAACATAACTATAAAAAAATAAAGTCATCACTTAAGCAAAATTTGGACATAAATAAAACGGGCCATATAAATCCCTTAGGAAGACACACCCCATGCTGGCATCTGATACAGCCTCATTTTAACACTGCATAGACATGTGAGAATCTAAGTGTAATAAGCATACTGTGGGTAAGGTTTTCTCTAAAAGTGCTCATGTCATAGAGATTCATTCTAAATATTCAAGGGCAACATGACATGACATCCAGGATTTGCATCAAAATAATTCAGTGTGCATTTGAGGGATCAGACACATAGGAAATTATATTAAAATCTGGATTATATTTAATTATATTAAAATCTGGGTACACAGGAGTTCACTACTTTTTTTTTCTGGCTGTGGCATGTGGGAATCTTTGTTCTCCAACCAGGAATCAAACCTGCGCCCCCTGCAATGGAAGTGCAGAGCCTTAACCACTGGACCACCAGGAAAGTCCCTTTTTTTCTTTCTTTTTCCTTTTTATTACTCTTCTCTCTACTGTTGTGTATGTTTAAATTTCTTATAGTAAAATAATATTTTTAAAAGTAATAATCTATAGGGAGTGGGAGGAGGGGAGAGACTTTCATTTTTACCTTCACTTTATAAACTCTGTATTATTTATAATCTCTATGAAACATTACAAATACAACACATATCCTATATGTGAGACCACGGTGCATGCTAAGTTGCTTCAGTCATGTCCAATTCTGTGTGACCCTATGAACTGTAGCCCACGAGGCTCCTCTGTCCATGGGATTTCCCAGGCAAGAATACTGGAGTGAGTTGCCATGCCCTCTTCCAGGGGATCTTCCCCATCCAGAGATGAAACCCATGTCTCTTATGTCTCCTATGTCGGCAGGCGGGTTCTTTACCACTAGCACCACCTGGGAAGCCCTGAGACCATGGTGCTGGTGGTTTAATTGCTCAGTTGTGTCCAACTCTTGTGACCACATAGACTGCAGCCCTCCAGGCACCTCTGTCTATGGGATTTTTCAGGCAAGAATATCAGAATGGATTGCCATTTCCTTCCCCATCTATGAGACCATAAGGTGTGTCATAAACAAACATGTTAAGTATCATAAGTAAACATACGAAACTTGTTTAAAGTGGTTACCACCATGGAATAGAACTAGGGAGTAATAAGATAAGGATTTTTATTTCCTGCACTCAAGCCTGACTATATTGTTTGAATTTGTTTTTATGAGTATTCTGAAACCCCAAATTACTGTTGAAATTAAAAGGGGAGGAAAAAAGGTGTTTCTTCAACTTAAAAAAAAAAGCACAAACAACTTAAAGTACTGATTATCTAGCATCTCAGCACCTGCTGTCTACCCATCAGTCTCATTAACTTCATGTCTAGATTATGACACCTTCTACTCCCACTCACCCCCTTTCCATCCAAACTCTTAACAGTCATTCACTCCTTAACTGCCTTATGTCCCTCAGAGGTCTCAAATGCAGATTAAAATGAAGTCCAACCTTTCACAAAACACCACTGTGCATTAAAATGTCTAAATCTTGTCTAGTTTGGAATTTTTAAAGATACAATGTAAACAGGAAAATATAACTTATTTCATGTTCAATACAACACGTCACACTAACAGTTTTCAAACTCTTTACCCTGTTTGGCATAACAACAACTAAATGGGCTTCATGTCATGACATAAAAACAACAGAAATGGACTCCAATACCCACAAAAGCAATCAGGGGCTGGTTGACATAAGCATCCTTATGATACACTATGACAAAATACCCCTCAGATATTTGGAGTTGTCAGTTGGGAACCATCTCAAAAGAAATCCATGGCCTTAATTGATGCAGGTTTCAAAGCACTAAGTAAAAATATCCTTAATCCTAAATTAACATTTCCTCGCCCAAAATAAATCTTTCAAGGACCTTCAATTTTCTCAAATTCCCTTAATATTTTTGTTCTAGATCATGGTCATTTGTTCAACTACTAGGACAGTCACTCTAGAAGTAATGATAGGAATAAAATGCTTTCCATGAGTAACAGATGAGAAGCTCCGTGTGATAAAAAGTCAATCATTCTGGGCATTTATATGAATTTCCTGAGATTCTATAAATATTTCAAAGTAAAAGATTTTTTAAGTAAATCATTACAGGCAGGGATATGTTAGCAGGCTCGGGCAACCGTTATGCGAGGAGCTAAACCATATGTAACTCAACTGAAATTTCTTTGTTACAACTCAGAAACAAACATCACAGAGAAAAAGAAATACCTCAGAAAAGATAACTACAAATGAGCAGGCACATATCTAAAGAGCTCTCACGCTGAAACCTGAGAAGGTCAGGACTAATTTCCAGCCAGGACTGAAGCTATAGATTTTTTTTTTTTACCAAGATTGTTAGCAAAGAATGAAAATCCAATAAAGGAATATAAGACACATCCTTTCCTGCCATACATTTTCAACCACAACTCTTGTTTTGGGGGGAAAAAAAAAAGCGAAATTAATCATTTATCTTTTAAAGGCTTTCACAACTACACCACACCAAAATAACTTCTACACATAAGAGCTACTATTCTGTTACTGACTTCTTGGTTTTAAAATCCAAAGATCCACTTTCTGAGTGCCTTAGGAGTTCAAAACATCATAAGAAATGCACATATTGTGGTTAGGTCATTCAAAAATAAATATATACTAGTTGTATGAAAACCCTCCTTCCCATATTTTTTCAACACTTCTTTATCACTAGTCTTGGCTTATTTGTATTCTTTTTCCCGTTCATACCTTGCATAGATTTTCCCCAAATTCCTTTTATTTTTTAGTCTTTAATTAGTAGCCCTTTCTCATGGGAATCAAAAGACCAAGTTTCCCATGCCACTGTTAAAGACGTGCATCCACATTATTTGTATTACAAAGCTTCAGCCTCAGCACTATTGACATTTGGAGCCAGAAAATTCTATGCTGTGGGTGTTTTTCTGGCCAAAGCAGGGTTGTGAGGACCTCTACCCACTCTATCCAGAAGCTCCACCAGTGTGACAACTAGAAAATATCCTACAGATGCCTTCCAGGGATAAAATCACCCCCCCAAAAAAACCACTGGTAGAATGGCAACCCACTCCAGCATTCTTGCCTGGAGAATCCCAGGGACAGAGGAGCCTGGTGGGTTGCCGTCTACGGGGTCACACAGGAGTTGGACACAACTGAAGCAACTTAGCAGCAGCAGACAGTTCACAATGCAAATCTTAATACAATCAACTCAAATGTGACAGAATTTGATGCTTATGTGACCTTGTGCATAAGGTGACAAAAGTTACATTACTAGAAAACAAGGGCTAGAGATAAAAGAAAGAGTTGAAACAGGAAACTTAAAATGTCCTATACTTAGTAAAAGAAAGAAAAAGGTGTGAGTTAGTAGCATTTTTTTCTTCCTCTGACTCCTTAGGTATTTTTATGTACTGTGTTTTGGAGGAAGTCTGACTACATGTTGTATAACAGCACCTGTGAAACTGAGTCCCCTTAACGAGTTTATGATTAATCTCTCTATTCCAAACT